GAACTGTCTATCTACACCAGCCAGTTCCTCCGTATATATAGACTTGTTTATCACCATTATCACCAGTGATAATGTCGATTATCACTCGTCGTTCACCGAAGGCTGGTGATAATCGTGATTATCACCCTTGGCGCTAGTGATAATCTGACTCCCCCACTTTTCCGTTCCTAGTGGTTGGACGGGTCGCGCCCCGCGCTCCCCACTTATGTCAGGTCCGTGACAGTGCGGCAAGCCTGGCCATAATATCCGTACGTGCCAGGAGGTTGCAGAAGAGTCTGATTTAGCTGTTTCTGATGTAATTGTAGTAGGTTAGTAGTATTGTTGTTTTGCAATTGAGGATAGTTGTAATAGGGTAGTAGAATTCGATCCACTCGCTTGTCCGATCCGCTCGCTTATCAAATACGTTAAACGGAAATAAAGGAATCCACGTGCTTACCGGCCCACCTTTCCAGCTCCTTTGGAACAAATTGATGCTGACGAAGTAGTTGCATGAGGGTTGATTTACCACAGCCCAGCTTGCCCGCGATATGGAATATATCCTCGCCTGTTTGCAACCATTTGTGAAGCTTTCTCCGCGCGTTTTTCGTCATTGTCAGCTCTTCGTCGCGGATGTGGCCAGCGGGCACTGTGAGCTCGGACTCGAGAAGCCACCGGAATGTTCCTCCCTCCTTCTTCAGCTAATTCTGGATATCGTTGACCAGAACTTGCACCCCGTCGCGGCGACTTGTCATCTTATCATAATGGAATGCCTCTACAATCCTGACATGAATATAGCCGCGTAGCTTCTCATCTTGGATACTGATGAAGTTGTTGGTTATCCTTTGAACCGATTCATCAAGTCAATCGGGCGCTATCTTGCGCATTTCGAGCTCGGATTTCAAAACCTCGAGGTAGCCTCGAAGTTGTTCAAGGGTGACATTACTTTTTTCTGTGACTTCAACCACATTCTCAAGCATTAATCTTGCTTGCAGTTAGTCATATCGGGTACCTGAGTGTATTAACCGCGGACAAACGAACCTTGAAGACCAAGTGAGAACTGTGATCAAGTGAGTCTGGCAGCTGCTCAGTCTGGCCTCCAATTCTGCTTTTTCTTTGCGGAAACAATGCTGTTCCACCATGCAGCCAAAGCCTTCCATTTGGCCCTCAACCCCTTCGAATCTGAGTGTTTCGTGGAGCGTAGCAGACGGATAAGTTCTGAAGATATTTTGCGGCATTCCTCAGCAAGGGTACAAAGATTTCTTTCTTCATCTAACATGTTCTGTTGCATCGAAGTGGTCTGTTGTAAGTTGGCGTGGAAGAGGTGCATCTTGTCCATGACATCTTCAAGTTCTGCATGCTCGGTTAAACTTCTTTGTCGGTAGATCTCCACGCCGCCCTTTACGATCTTGGATGCAAAAGTAACAAAAGACAGAATGCAGGAAACAACTCCAATCGCCGTCGCGGGGTCCATGGCTGGCATCCAATTCAACGCAAATTCGATGTTGAGGAGGAAGGCACCCTTCCCCTCATTAGTGTCTGAGGCTCAAGGTGTCACTGGATCATGGATGCCTGTTTTCGGCACGGAAGGAGCCAATCATAAAGACGATGCTGACACCAACCTGGAATTTCTACACCTCCACTATCTGTACCAGCTAGTGATAGCCCATACAGCGGTACTGCCTCCCACTGATAACGGGAAGAGACAACATTGGCCTCTCTTCAATACCGCAAGACACCGACATTAGATGTTTTCCCACTTCTTTACAAGATTTGGACAGGTAGATGACCCAAACTTCGAGTGTGGTGGCACTGTGCCGTATCTGCCAGAGCTTTTGCGGCCCAAACAGCGACGACCAACTGAGGGCCCTATCAGGCCGCAGACCACAGTGGACATAGTTTTGCAACAGCTTTCCGGTTGCAACATAGGCCGCCAGAATGGTCTGCAGACCCATAGAACCCAGGGGCCAACCCAACCTCAAAAAAACTCTTTGATATTGACATGGCCTTGCAGTGGTCGACCAAGCGGTGAAACCACGCTCGCGGGTCAATCACGACATCTTCCAGCTTGTACTGCAACGATTACTCTTAGTAACGAGAGCACTTTCACATGTACCCTTGTCTCACTTTCATGACAGCGAAGTCTTATAAGTCCGGCAGTCTTCAATTCGAGATCCACTCGTCTGTCTATCTATAGAACTTCATCCGAACTTGCCTTCTCGACACAGTGAAGTGACATTCAAACGGTAGTATCGGAGCTCATCATTCCTGTTTACATCATCCGTTACATGAGCATCTTCATGTCAATCTCATCACCTCAGTGAGGTCCCCACCAAAATGTTCACCACCAAAAACCACAAAACCACCAAACCACAACCCCAACCTCAACCACAGCAAGTCGCGATCCAAGATGGACAAGTAATCGGCACGTCTCCCCCTTCCCCTTTCCCTCCCTTTAAGCCCCCTACTAACCCCTCCCAAGGCGTCCTCATCCGCCGAACCTCCACCTGGAAAAAACTCAAAACCACCACCACCAAAGCCGTCAAAGTCGTCACCCCCAACAAACGCACCGCCGCTCCCCCTCCAGGCCGCGAGTACCTCCGTCGCGCCAAACCTACAGGCGAAAACCAATCCTTCTACCGATCCTCCTACCTCGCCCTCAACCCCCAACGCCAATGGGACCTCTACATCGCCGGCCTCGCCCCGCAAGGCGTCCCCGCTCCTCGTGGTCCACCACCTCCCCAGAAGGGGGTGACGCCGAGACAGTTCAAAACAGTAAATGTGATGTACTTGACCAAACCCAGCCCTAGCGGGGTGCAAGCAGGCACGATAAGCTACCTACCTGACGCGTTTGAGGTTGCAAAGGGCAAGAAAAAGATCGTCAAGAATCCGAACCCGGATGCCTTGCCTGCTTTTCCCACGCCGGGGCAGGGGAAGGTTGTTGTGAGGCCTGTTAAACAGGGTCAGGGGCAGCAACAACAGCAGAAGGTGAGGGTTAGTACTCAGGCGCAGGGCAGGCCGGTGCAGCAGGCTGTTAGGGTTCAGCAACAGCCTCAGCTGCGGGTGAGGGTGCAGGTGCAGCAGCAGCAGCAGCAGCAGTACGTCCAAGTTGCGGTGCCAGTTACCCAGGTTCAGAGGCCGCAGACGCAGCAGTTCGTTGCTGTGCCGGTTGGTCAAGTACAGCAGCAGGTTGTGAGGCCGGTTAGCCAGGTTGTTCAACGGCCTGTTCAGCAGCAGCAGAGGCAGCAGAGGCCGCAGACACAGTTTGTTACTGTGCCTGTTCAGCACGTGCAGAGGCCACAACAGCAGCAGCAGCAGTTTGTTGTTTTACAGACTGTAGCTCAGCCGCAGCCTCAACAGCAGGTTGTGATGATTCCGGCTGTTAATACTCAGCCGGTGAGACAGCAGGTGAGGACTGGTGGAATGAGAGTGCCTGGGCAGAGTGTAGTTACTGTGAGGGCTTGAGTTTGTTCAGGCGAAGTGAGGTGCTGGTTAGACGCTGGGCCTTATGATGTCTATGAAATTATGATTGACGTTTCCTTTGTCTTACGGGTCAGGATTTCTTTGCCAATAGTTCAAGACTAGATTTACATACAGCGATTGATTGCCAAATCTCAATCTTGTTGGTCACCGGAGAAGTAACGGTCATCTCACACACTGCGGTCAAGTTCAATCTGGCCCCCACTTTCATCAGGTCGATTCCTGATGGGTAAATTCGCTTTTCCCTCGCTCTGAGAGAGTGCCTCGCGCCCCAGTTGAAACATTCTTGTAGCTAAAAGCGGGTTAGCCAGACAGATTACAATGAGAGCGGGATGGCATCCTCACCATTATTGTCATGAAACCTGAGCATTCGAAATCCCTTCGGGTAGTGAAATACCTGTTGATTTCCATCACTTTTCATCTGAACAAGCCATGTTGGGGCGCTGAAACTGGGACTTTTCCGAACCGCGGTGAAGCAATCATCAGGTACTGTAAAACCATGATTGTGAGACTCCAAACCCACGTAAGTTTGGACATTAAACAAACTTACGGGCTTGGTTGAGTATTGTGCACTTGTTCTCGCTGACAATAATCAGCCTCTGTTTTCCCTCTCTGTCTCGGGTGATCAAGAGCTCTGCGTTCTGTATCAAGACCACTTCAGTCTGGACCTGCGCAACTTGGCTGGGAAAAAACAAAAGTCAGTGCATCAACTCGGTAATAAGACACCGGATCCACTCACAGCCGTAGTGCTACAATCTCGTCTCGCCTAGGGGAGCTTAGAGACTGGATAAATAGTTCCCTTCTCATGTCTTCGATATTCTGGTAGAGTGCTTTGGCAGCTGTGTTTCGATTAGAAGGCGTGCTCCGCTGTTTGCGTTTGCCTACATACCTTCGAAGGAAATCATTTGGAATGAAACCTCTGCTCTGGTCAGCTTGTTGACCTGGTTGTCATCAACGAAGCCATAGCAGTCAATTTCGTCCAACACAATCCTTGCATCTCCTTCGATCAATTTCATTACCGTGTCATGACGTACTATGTTTCGTTAGCAAAGTTAGATGCGATTCTGGCACCTCGAACTCTTACGTTTGAGAATGCTTTTCGTGATATCTTCACTTTTGTTGTAGTAGACCAGTAGCTCTGCATATTCCTCCCCTTGGCCTTCGCTGCTTTGACCAAGGCTTCGATATTGCAAGAGCGAAATCCCACTGATCCCATTCTTGACCAAGGATCTGTGGCCGACGCCAAAGGTAATATCGGCCATCAGTTTATAGAGATTCTTTGTATCACTAATCAAGCTTAGGGCGTTAGCAAACAATATCTACTCTGGTGGCATGAATGACTTGAGCTAACCTTTGCGTGTACAAAGTCCGAATCCCTGTGTTATCAGGTACTGGGTGAGCAAGCATATTGCTCATGCCTTGCTGCAGCATTGATCTCGCAGTGGCTTCAGCAAGACGATCGATGAATGATTCTTGAAACTCGCGGATATCTATCTCCGGGTTAGCGATAATGGCAATGAGTAAGCTTGGATTTTGCCGATTCACGTTCAACTGCAACATCACTGATATTTACAGATACCAGACGGTTCGTCGACCTTTCCAAAACTTTGTAGAGCACCCATGACCTATTCTTCCCACCATGTTTAAAGGGGAAAGTTATGGGTGACAGTCCAATGTCTCTGAGCTTGGGGTGGTCGGCAGCCTTATCACAGCCACACAATAACAGTTGAGAGGTCCAATGGTTCAAGTCCTCCTGGTAATATGATCGAGGACAGATGAGCTGTTGTGCGTTATCCACAGCAAGCGATACCTGAAATTTAATTGAGCCGATGGTCTTTGCTGAACTGTTCGATAGGGACTGGCTCTCGGCGGTAGAAGTGGTGGCACCTTTGAGATTTTGGGTCCACCAAGAATGAATTTCTGTGAGCATTTGTGTGTTTGTTGCGAGACTTTCCTCAATTCTGGAAGTACGGGAGCTATGATTGATCATGTTAGAACGAAATCTTTCATGAAATTGTGACATTGAAGATTCACTGACTTTACGATGGTCCCCAAAACCAAGTGCAAGCTGTTGGTATGAACCAGGAGCTGACTTCGTAGGGTTGCAATGTCGCCGGCCTCGGTTGTCCAAGCAATTTTCTTGTAGTTTCTGAGCAAGGTGTCACTCCATCGTCGAAAGCGTGGCTCTGGATTTTCCTGACCTGAGCCGGTTGCAAGAGCACTGTACTTGTCGATGAGCTTCTCGAGATGCCTCAGCGTCTCATTGCAGCTGTTCAGCAGCCAATCCACACTCTGCAGACCTTCGTGTTGTTCTTTGTCTTGAAATCGGTTGGGAAGTGACGAAGACTCGATAGAGACTGCAGCGATGTCATCGCCACATGCATCTTTGAAAGCTGATAGGGCCGAGCTGAGGGAGTAGAGCTGGTTCTCAACCTCGCGAAATTCAATGGGCGCAGACTTGCGTCCGTTGGTGAAGGCTTGGGCAATCTTCCAAGAGATCTTGGACATGGCGATGATATCGCCAATTGAAACTGGCGACCCCATCCTGTCTGGTGCCTAGCTTAAGAAGTGGAAGGAGATGAGCGGTAGCTAGACATGATGAGCTTGGATGTTATATGGGGTTAGTAGAAGTAGATGATGACCTGCATGCACAGCCCGAGAGTGTTACGCCAACCATCTCCGGTGGGGGCCGGTGTTAAATGTCTCTGCATAAGACAGGGGTAATCATGGCGCAGGTGAGGGGGTCTTACTGCGTCCCATAAGGCTCCGATGGATGCCTTGGGACAGACTGATAAAGTGAAGGCAACCCCTCTGGGCTCATGGTTTTTTCTCGTTGGGGTCCTATCATCAGAAAGTTCTGAACATGTTTGGATATCGACCAAATCGATTTGCGGGTATTGTCTCGAGATACGATCCTCGAGAGCCTCTTCCAGCAGAATTGGAAGGTGCGTTTCACGAGTCACATGCCCTGCAGACCAATTTGCACCTGCCATATCCAACAACCACACAGGCTTTTCACACACACCCCGCCTGTGCGCCACCATTGCTACATTCAAATATCCCAACCTACACAATTCAAGAACCATCTCTTGGTCGGAATGTGCTCCCGCCAGTCTCCATCTCGATTGAAGCCTCCGTCATTCAAGACACGGCCAGCATCACAGTTACGCAGCTCTTCTGGAACGACTCGTACAACATCATCAAAGAGGCCGCCTACACGTTTCCTCTTTCATCTGGCTGCACCGTGACAGGCTTCCATTGTCGCATCGGTCATGGCAAAGTCTTGGCTGGCAATGTCAAGCCAAAGGAAGAAGCCCGCGAGGAATTCCAGCAGCATGTCCGCAACCGTACCACTGGAGCGGCGTTGCTCGAGCAAGATACCGAGGAGATATTCACCACCAGCCTTGGAAATCTCCCAGCAAGAACCAAGATCAGGGTCACTGTCACCTACATCACCCTTCTCAAACATCACTTTGCCGATCGTAAGGGGATCACGACACTGACGATTCCAACTTGCATCGCAAGCCGCTACGGTGACAAACCCCAAGATTATAACAATGCTGCCTCCACCTCCATTCCAGAAGGCCTCACGATACAGATTGAAGTAGTTGAAGCCGGCAAGATTGCCTCAATCGTCAGCCCAACACACAAGGTCACTGTCGAAAACTGGTTGGGAACACGTGCGGCCAGTTCCTTTGCCGACCTGGTTGGTGAAGACACCCGAAGTAGTGTCGAAACAGCCCTGGTGAAACTAGAAACAGGCTCTGCTTTTCTCGATCGCGACTTTGTCCTTGATATCGCAACAGGAGGCCCGAATGATGAGGCCGAATCACCACAAGCATGGATCGAAAAGCATCCCACCCTACCCAATCAACAGGCACTCATGGTGACAATTCCGCCTGGCTTTACCACGCGCACATCCAATCCTACCGATCAGACTGAGATACTTCTCTTGGCGGATCTGTCAGGGTCCATGGACGACAAGTTAACCTCGCTCAGAGCTGCCATGCAATTCTTCCTGAAGGGTATTCCCAATGGCCGCAAGTTCAATGTGTGGTGTTTTGGCTCAAGTTACAAGTCGTGGCAGCCTCATTCGGTGGATTATGGCGAAGCATCGTATCAGTCCGCTTCTTCATGGGTTGACACCAACTTCCATGCCAACATGGGGGGTACTGAACTGCTTCCCGCGGTCCAGGCCATCGTGACTGCGCGTGACAAAAGACTGCCTACAGACATCATCATTTTGACTGACGGAGAGACATGGCGCCTGGACGAAACCCTCGAGTACATTCGGAAACAGAGGGACTTGACTGAAGGGGGTATACGGTTCTTTGCTTTAGGTATTGGTCCGGCAGTCTCCCATGCCTTGGTTGAGGGCATCGCCAAGGTTGGTGGAGGATATGCCGAAGTGGTTCGAGAGGCGAGCGAAGGGGATTGGGAGGATAGGATTGTCAGCATGGCAGAGGCAGCACTGATGACCGATCACTTGGGGCCTATGCATTTGGAGGTCAATATCATGAGGGGTGATGGCAGCAAGCAAGGTATTTACACAACAGCTCGTCTCTCAGATACTTCGCACCATTTTACTGACCGTCCGACAGCTTCCAGTATTCACAACGCCGAACAATCTCCAGCAGACATATCCACGCTCAGCCCGTTCAACAGAAGCCGGATCTTTTTCCTCTTTGATTCCTTCAAATCATCCGAGAGCATCACCGACGTTACACTCAAAGCCGATACTGCCCACAGGACCAAGACCTTCCATGTTCCTGTGACGCTTCTCGAGAAGCCAAGCATAACAATTCATCGGCTTGCCGCCCGCTCACTGCTCAATGATCTGGAGCGAGGTCAGAGCCAGATTCACCTGGGCTCTACTCGCCCCTATCCTGGCTCTTGGGACGAGAGAAATAGAGTACGAAAGGAGGCGGAGAAGATTGGCTGCAAATGGTCACTTGTTTCCAAATGGACGAGCTTCTTTCTGAAAGAGGAGCTCTGTCCTGCTGAGCCGGATGATATTTGGTGCGCAGAAGGCGGTGCTGAGGCTATTGATGAGCCTGGAGATGACTTGTTGCAATCACACGGGCCGATTGCTGGCGTTACTATGGTCGATAGTGGTAAAACATCGGTGCCTGCCTCTGGCTTGCTTCTAGTTGGGGAGCTTGTCTCTACACCCAGGAACTCAGACGACTTGTTCGGACTTCCAGCCGGGCGACACTTGCAAAGGCCTGTGCCTCCTAGCTTTTCTGTACTGAGCAACCCTATGAGACCTCCAGAGCTGCAACTTTCAAGACGTCCTTCCTCGAACGGGAGAAAATTACGACTGGTTGAATACCCACAGTCTGTCGTTGCACCTGACCACCTAATCTCCCTCAGGATGCGGAAGTCCACTGGCGCTGCAGACCCTGAAGGTAATACTCTCAAGAAACAGAGCGATATTGCGCCAGGGGCGGGCGCTTCAAATGAGAGCCCCATCCTGGGATCTCTTTCTGGAGATCCTCCGAGGGATCCTGGCCCTATTTTCGAGTTCGACGACACCGATGCAGATGATTCAGAGACGAACAATACCAGTGTTCCTGACAACGGATTAGAAGGTATATTTAAACCGAGAATGCGTCGCCTCTCAGGTGGAATACTGCAGCACAGAACGGCCATACCCAGTGAAGACGAATGGGGGTTCGTCCAAGTACTTAATCTGAAAAGTGAAGAGCACAAAAGTATACAAGCTCAACCACAATGCTGCCGGTATGCCTTTAATGCCTCCTCGCTTCCACAACAACGCGACCAGACATATAGCTGGGAGTCGGAAGAGGATGACGCGATTGAAGTCTCGGCGTATCTTCCTCCGTGGGCACCTTCTTCTGATTTACCTCCGATGGACGCCATGCTCAAGAAGTTGAGATGTGGGCTGACATTACCCCAGACAAGCAGTCCAACTTACGCACTTGATGTGAATATTGAAGAGATCCCAAATATACTAGCTAAACCGGCGTCCGGTCCGGATTATAATTTGGAGTCCGAAGACGATCAGGCGATCGATTTGTATACCGATGTCCATTGGGGCAAACCTTCTCCCGATTCACTTCCAACGGACCCAATGTACGCGCGTGGGGCGTACGAGGAGGCTAAAGCGAAGATCGAGGAGAGCCCAGAGGAGACGGAGAGGCGGCGGAGGCGTCGCAGGGTGAGAGACGAGCACGAAAGAGTTACACAACCCAAGAGTGGCGACAATAAGCCATGGACAGACAACCGCATCATTTCTGAACTTCTCAGGTTCCAATCCGCCGAGGGGTATTTTGCCAGAGGGTACTCAGTCCAAACCGGCCAGATCAATGATCTTCACCCTTCTATTATCACCGTTCCAGAGGAAGAAGAGGGCCGACACGGTGAACAGGTCATTCTTCTGCGGGATTTCCTCGAGGAAGAAACCACCAAGGACCCAGGCAATCTCTTGTCTAAACACAACAAAGGCCAACACAACGAAGATGTCGTCCTCCTCCGTGATATACTGGGGAAAGAAATTACCAAGAGGCTACGTACTCTCCGGGATAAACACGACAAAGACCACATGTTTGGTAAAGACATGGCCTTGAAAGAAAGGATCCTCTTCACTATTGCCGTTTGGGTGCTCCTCGAGCGGGACTTTGCCTCCAAGCGGCGTCTGTGGGTTTTGATGATTAGGAAGGCAAAGTCGTATCTAGGGGGGCGTATCGACCGGCGGTATGACGCGTTTGACGAGATGAAGGCTGCTCTGGAGGGGGCCAAGATTCATGGGTATAAATCACGGCAGGATAGTCTGGCAGCTCCTCTCTATGTGCATGCGCGCAGTTTTGAGGTTCAATTTGCGGTTTCGAAGACCGTAGACACTGCGGCTAGGATGACTGCGGAGTCTGAAGTTCTTGAGGGAGAGCAAGATCGGGATGAGGTGGGTGTGGAGCTCGAGGTTGGCACAGGCGAGGCTCAAGGCAACAGTCAAATGGCAGGAAAGGGCTCGGTCGTGTAATTGGGTATACAAATGTTTGCATCAGAGGTAGCTTCTGATGATATTTGACTATGCTTCTTTTTTTTGTCATTCGATCCTCTTGCATATGTGATTATGGCAACTGCATGCCCGCATCCACGTCGTGGATCGTGGAATAGGGATTGGGTCTTATGAAAGCAGAGAATTGAGAAGATAGATGACACTGAACTACCTATTGATCACGTCTTTTTTAGCCTTGACTATACATCACAGTTTGTATATGAGCGCCATATGACCAAATTCAATTTCAGACTTTTAGAGGCAAACAATCTCGGTTTCATATCCGTGAGCTATTGAATCGCACATCCCCCAACCACACAACGTAGTCCTCATAGGCCACGACATTCTCAGGCTTCACGGGCGCTAGGATTCGAGTTTAAATGGCCAGGACGTTCTGTCGTTTTGGATATAACCCGCGTTACAAACGTAGTTGTGGAGAACTGGGCTGGCTCTTTTCGGGCTTTCCTAAGTTGGCTTGGCTATCCGTTTAACAGGTTTCATGTTCCGGGAAACGAGGCCACTTTTACTTTGAAGGCTCATCTCCTTTTGACAGTGACAAAGATGACAAGGTGTTGGATCTCTTGATTGATATTTCAACCGACCCCCACCTCCCCCACCCACTTCCTACGTATTTCGGCCCTGAATTTATAGCGGCAGAAAAGCGGGAAAAGAGGCTGCTGGAACGGAGGAAGAACCAGTCAAAGCTGGAGTGAGAAGAAGCAGTATCAGACCCATGCTGTGCGGGAAACAAGACGGTTGGAATATGCCTCGGGCATGTAGAGCCGGGACTATCCTCTGTTGGTTGGACAAGCAATCATAGAACAACAGTGAACGTCGATCGACTTATTACCATTACTTTCTAGCAACACTTTCACACTAACACTATCACCACCACCCCCTTTCATTCTGGTTGCTCTTCCCTTACGATATAGCACTAAACTCCCTACTCCTTTGCCCAAACGTTTCCACGTCCGCTCAAGCGTGAATAGCCTGCTGTACCTCAGGGTAAACCGCCACCATCCTGTGATACAAATCCGGATGATCCCGGATCATGACCTCGGGGTCCCAAGCGCTAGCCACGAAGATGGTGTCGATACCGCTGCTGAGCGGGGTGGTGAACACATTGCAGATCTGCAACCCGATCAAGAAGGCAAACGCAACCACCACCGGCGTGAAGCCCCCGCCAGAGTTGTACGAGGGGTTGGTGAAGACCATGTAGCAATAGGCCATCAGCGCGGTGGCGTACCCGACAAACATGGCGCCCATGCCGAGGACAGGGCCGATGAGGCATTCGTTGACGAGGGCGTCGATACCGCGGTCCTTGATCATCCTGTTTCATGGTCGTTAGTAAACTCCACAGAAGACAAAAGGGGCAAAGAGTGTACATACTTCCAAGTATCCTTCGCCGCCGGCACATACGCCTTCCCATAAAGCGCAATGTGCGCAAAAGCGTACCGATTCAAGAACTGAACCGCCCAGTCCAACAACCCAATAAGACACCCCACAATACACCACAATATCATCCCCAAAATATCCCCATCCGATGACGCCTGAGCCCTCGCCACAGACGCCAACTGCCTCAGGAAATTGATAATAGCCACCACCAAGCTCCCCAAGCTGATACTCCCAAAGCTATACGTCAAGCACCTCTTCAACGCCCCCCTCGTCACCCCCGTTGGAAAGTTCCTCGAGTTGAAATACCACGACCCATAAACCCCCGCAATAGTAGTATGAATCGTGTTCTTCAACCACTCCGAAATCCAATACGCCGCAAAAGTAATAAACGCAATCAGCCCAATCACCTTTCCACTCGAACATCCCCCCGCGCCCTGCCTACAAGCCGGGTTATTCGGATCCGGCTGATACTTGACATAGACACTAACCAGCGTCACCGAAAACCACGCCGCAAACAACGTAGCCAACAGTCCACCAATCGCGCTGACAAGATAAACATGCCCAAAATTCTTGGCCACATCAATGGCCGTCTGCAGCATCAGCACGCTGAACGGAATCCGGGACCGCCAGCTGATAAAGCAGATCAGCTGAAAAATGGCAAAGATCAAAAAAACGATCCCGCCAGAGTAGTACTTTCTCGACAGCATGTACAAGGCCGTCGCAAAACCAAGCACAACGTTGAGAATCCCCGTAATCCAGATGAACTGCTTCGTAAACTTCCTCGCAACCCACATGTACCCGTAGCTGAGCACAATAGCCGTTATGAGCACCCAGCCAAACAGCCAAATCGTATGCGTCGTCAACCCGAATCTGTTCCGCTGCCCATTGAGGCCGCCCGAGTTGATATTACGAGTCGCAGCTACACCCCCAAAATGTCAGCCATAAAACCCCCAATCATCCATTATACCAATACATACCATATCCCTGAATCGAAATAGCACTAACAGCCACAAACCCAGCACAAGTCGCCAAAAACAACACCCCCGCCCACAAATCATTCCACTTTGGCTTCTGCACCGCAAAAACCTCGTCATAACTCGGGGGAGGTCCCATCTTCCCATCTGGTCCAGTCGGCGGCGGTGGAGGCGGTGGCGCCCCATACCCATTGTGATACCCCCCATCGTTCATCGGCACGTTACTATACCCCCCACCCCCAGCAGGAGGAGGAGGAGGCGGCGGCGGAGGTCGGTTGTAGTATCCATTCTGCGGTTGCTGCATTTCGTACGAGTTGTTTGGAGGGGGATACTGCGGCCCACCACCACTGCCATGAGGTGGGCTGTAGTAATTAGCGGCTTCACCGCCCTGGTAGGCCATTTTGCGTTGCCGGTTTGGCGAGAGGTTTGTTGTGCGTGCTGTTGTTCCAATCAAGGTACCTTAGCTTCTAATAGCTATCAATAGCTAAGAGCTGGTTCGACCTGCGAGCGCAGTATGAGAGAGGCAGCCGTTGAGTCCTCGTTGAAGTTGCGGAAAGAAAAAGAAGACAGGAAGAAGTTAGAGAATGGATAAAAATCCCAAGGTCGTGCAGATAAAATTGGGCTTGTTTGACAGCGTGACAGGGCTGCGGCCAGCCGTCGACTTGGTGGAATGTCTTGGATGTGGAGGATGACGTAAAGAATGTGATTGGGGGGGGCAGGTGCCAAGCACTAACCTTGATCGACGATGGAGCATCGAGCTCTCGCTAATCTGGTGTAGCTGGGTGGATCCGGGATTTTCTCCAGCTATTTGCTCTAACAAAGCTCCCGAGCTCCCAAAGCTTCAAGGTCCAGGTGCAATGTCAAACCAGCTCAACAAGGACTTCAAGACAGTTTGTGAGAATTCAATGGATCAGACCTGGGTCAAACATGAGTTGCACCATCTTACCCCAAGACGAGTCTGAAAAAAAACGGATGGCGTATCGCATTTTCGCCTACAAATCTGCCAAGTTGCCAAGACGGCCTTCGGCACACCAAGACGGTTTTCGGCACAGGGCGCATGCATCAAGCTCCAGCCCCTATCCGTTGCCCTGTCAGATGTTTATTTTACTCTCCAAAGTGATACTATTCACCACAACACTTCAGCAGTTGCATCTTGGCGCCAACACACAGGACAAGCCAGTCTTGTAGGACACATCTAGTATTCTATCAAACTTTCCCATCACAAACCGACAGCAGAACATACAACCTTACTTGGATCCAGTCTTGCCAGTCGGGATGTTGAAGAGGACAAGCCTCTTCTCCTCACCCTCCTTCCAGTCATCGAGACCCTTGTCCACACGGTAGTAACCACGCCTCTCCAGCTGGATGATGTCGTTCCTCTTGAGCTGGGCCGTAGCTTCATCACAGAACGCCTCCTCCATAGTAGAGGTGGTGGGGTTCAGGAAGTCCTCCATGTTGTCTTCCTCCTGCAGCGTGTCCTTGGTGATAAGGTAGTCAAAGTCCCAAAGCTCGGCAGGCACAAGAGTCTGGCTAGAAGCGAGCCAGGTAACCTTCTTCTCCGTCGTCTTGACATCGCCCTTTGCCACGTTGAGCTCGCACGTCAACGAGGTGATGGGGTCACCCTCAGCAATGTTGCGAACAAAGGCATTGCCCCAAGCCATGAGAGTGATCTCCTCGCCTTCCTTGAAGCTCTTGGCATCGGCTTGATCAAGCAGAATCTCGGGACCAAACGCCACCTTCTTGGTACCGATATCCTTGTTCTTGGGATGCTTGGGTCTGTCCTCCTGGAAGGGCTGAGCAGGAGCCTCGGCGCCTGTGACGGGCACCTTGACAATATCCTTCTTCAGGAGAGCAGTGTGGCGGGGAGCGATAGGATCAATGTGCTTCTTGTTGGTAGCCCAGAACTTGGTCCAGTCCATGGTAACAACGTTGCGGCTAGGTCCCTGTTTTGCTGTTAATTTTTGCGACGGCGGAGATAAAAGGCCAGAGAAATACCTGAGCAATAATGAATTCGCGCAGAGCCTCGATGCCCATTCCTCTTCTCCTGACACCACGAATGGTGGGCATGCGGGGGTCATCCCATCCCCAAACCTTTCCAGTATCGACGAGCTTGGCAAGCTTGCGCTTGGAGAGGAAAGTCTTGACGAAGTTCATGCGCGCAAAATCCCACATATGGACCTTGCGGATCTGCAGGGTCTTCTGGAACCAGGCGTACTGAGGGTTGCGGTCGGTGTACTCTGTGGACCTCAAGGCGTGGGTGACGCCCTCGTGGCTGTCGACAACTGCAGGTGCTGTCAATATCACGTCTTTCTCATCTCAACGGCCCCAACGACGAAAGGGAAGGTCAGAAGAGGTCAAAAGAAAAATGACAAAACTCACCAGGGCAAGCGAAATCGTACATGGGGTACATCTTCCATTTGGTGCCGGTGCGGTGATGAGGCGTGTCCACGTTGCAACGGTAGATCACAGGATCTCTCATGGCCTTGTTGGGGTTGTCGACCGAGAGCTTTGCGCGAAGGCAGTAGCGGACGCCTTCCTCGGAACCCTTCTTCATCTCCTCAAAGATGCGCAAGTTCTCTTCCACTGGCGTGTCGCGGCGCTTGGAAGCGATGCCGTTCCATCTCTCGTTGCGCATAGTTTCCTGGTCGGTATCGTCGGCATAGGCATGTCCCTCCTTGATCATCTTGATCGCCATATCGTAAAGATAATCAAAGTAATCACTGGTGTAGGTGAGGGTATCGCACTTGATGCCCATCATGGCAAGATCCTCGATGATGGCATCCTGGTATTCCTCCTTCTCTTTGTCGGGGTTTGTGTCATCGAGACGGAGGCGAAGCTGGCCCTTGTACTGCTGGGCAAAGTACCAAGAGAGAAGAGCTGCCTTGGCATGTCCAATATGGAGGTATCCCGAAGGCTCGGGCAAGAATCTGGTAACAACGCCCTGGTCTGTTCATGTCTGTTAGCACAATGAGTCCAATACGCATTTGACAGTCTATATCAACCTACCTGTATTCTGCAGATTAAGAGCATAAGAACCACCGGCCTTGCTGGCAGCAGCGACCTTCGCCTTGGCAGCAGCATCCTTGGCCTTGATCTCGTCCTGGATCTCAGGGTGCATCACCTCGATGAACTCAAACCAGCGAGCGAGGTTGACAAGACTACCGCGCTTGATAAAGGAGAAAGCGGCGCGGTTGCCGCGGAGGGCCTGCCAGACCTTGGTGTCCAGCTCGCTAAGAGTGTAGCCATGGAGGTAGGTGCGGAGGATGAGATGCTTATCGAGGGACTGAAGACGAGGCTCGATTGAGCGGAAATCGGCCGTGAGGAGGGCCTCAATGGGATGGAGCTCTTCCAGCTTCATGGTGGACGGTGGGTAAGGGTGGTGAGTATAGGAATAGGGGACGTGATGAGAAAACAGTCACCGATGATAGCCTGGGATTTTGGAGGGGCAGCAAAAAAGCCCCACATTCACCCGTCCCAGCGCGGGGTTTCTGCCGCGAGCGCCAACGGTTTTGGTAAGGCGGTGAAAACCGAAGCTCTCAGGACCTTGTCTGAGCATTTGGTTTGAGCCTAACATTCAAGGCAACGAACCTCAACGGGCCGGGGTCCAACTTTTTTCTGAAGCAGCGCAACCGACAGCGACAGAGAGAGGCGGAGGCTCACGACGTCGCCGTTTGTGTCCTACAGCTCGCAATGGCTTCCACACATCATTGCCTTGCCTCTCTGGCAAGGCTCAGCCTGTCCACACCAGCCAGGTCAACGGTCGCCTCGACAATACCAAAATTCCTCGTGCCATCGGTTGCGACACCACAGGTCCGGCATGCGTCTGGTGGCGGTGGTGGAGGCATGCGCAAGAAGCCCGTGAAGAAGAAGAAGACCTATAAGACATTCCGCAGCTATGATCTCTCACCAATGGAGCAGTTCACACTCTGCGATGCCATGAGGTAAGCTTCCTTCCCAATGTCACCCCATGCCGGCGTATTGTCGCTTACTGTCCATAAAGGTACCTCCGCGCTGCCGAAGTTGGACGTCCACCTACCACCGTCAAGTATGACCTCGCCGTCAAAGTCAAGACCCAGAAGAGCGGTCCCGTTCTCCGAAGTGCCATTCGTCTGCCCTTCCCAGTCAAGACCGATACCCGTATCGGTGTCATCTGCCCCGAGGGCAGCGCCCTAGCGACCGAGGCTCAACAACTTGGTGCCGTGGCGGTGGGTGAGGAGAGCTTATTCGAGGCCATCCGACGAGGAGAGATCGCCTTCAACAAATTGATCTGCCACACCGACAGCCAAGAAGCTCTGAAGAAAGCCCAGGTCGCCAGAATTCTCGGTCCCAAGAATCTGATGCCCAACCCAAAACGTGGAACCATTACCAGCGACATCAAGGAGACGATGCAGGAGTTGATTGGCGCGGATGAGTACAGAGAAAGAAGCGGTGTTGTGAGAATGGCCGTGGGCCAGCTCGGTTTCTCCCCCAAAATGCTTGCCGACAACATCAAGGCGTTCATGTCCAAGCTCAAAGACAACATCAACCAACTGGACGACAACATTCCCAAGGCTATTGACGAGGTTGTTTTGAGCACAACGCATGGCCCAGGGATCAGTTTGAACGGTAACTTTGCCCCAACAGACGACAAGGTCAAGCCAGAACACCTGGCTACTGTCATGTAGTTTTGTTGTTTTTCAATGTATATTAGATGTATGCCATGTATCATAATCCTTGTATGAAGTTAAAAAAAAATCCTGGAAAATTGGGTATCTTGATGCCAGTCGCTCTGCGCCTTTTATGCCCCCTGGATTTTGAACTGAGACCATCATTTCTCTCTCAGGACCCTTACAGCCTCCGCCTGCGCATCCAAGGCCCCGTAAATCGCCAACAGTTTGATAACACGCCCCTGACCTTTGACTCCAGCTTTCCGTGCTTCTCTTACGGCTGTGCTCAAGTCGAGCAGTATCGTGTTCCGACACCGAAATATCCTCTCGTCAGTCTTCTTCACAAACGGAAGATCCCTACCAATGGCCTCGGCCAGTTCATCCACATACACACACTCCCTCGCCAAAGCAGCTAGCTTCGCCGGCCTGCTACTGACAAACTCCACACCGTCTTCGTCCTGAGTCTGCTCATCATCGCTCCCAAAAATCTCGTCGTCATCATCCCAATTCTCCTCATCACTGCTATCTCCATCCCTTTTCTGCTGCTGCTGCTGCTGCCCCGTCCCTCCTACCGCCAATCGCTTCTCCAATCCGCTCACCCTCTCATCCAACTCGAGCATCTTCCTGCCCGTCTCCACCGCCCCCTTGACATCCCTCAACTCCTGATTCAGCCCCCCTACTTCCACCCTCCGCTCCCTAACCCTAGACTGAACCTCCTCTACCGCTCTTCGGAAACCTAAAAGTGCTACTCTCACATCCTCGACGCGCTCCTCCCCGCCCTTGAGCTCATCCCCTAGCCCAAGAAAGGCCGTGTAATTCGAGTTGACCAGTTCAAGCAGTTCGGCACTGATAGCAGAGCTTCGATCGCGGAGTTCAGAGCGCAGGTCCTCGAGGGTTTGATGCCGAGAGGCTGGGCCACCGGTGTGAAGGGTGGAGAGGTAGCTTGCGGGGTCGAAGTCGGGAGCGAGAAAGTCGCGACGGGAGAGGGCGGCGGGGAAGGGAAGGGAGGAGGAGTTTTCTAAGTCGTCGGTGGCCGAGGAGGAGAGGGAGGAGCGGCGGCTGGGGAGTTGGGATTTGGGGGACGGGGGGGAGTAGAGGTTGAGGTTGGTTGAGTAGGAGGATGTTGGGCGGGAGTTTGGGGGGAGGCCGAGTTGGGCCATTTTTGTTGGTTTTATTGTTTGTGGTCGACGGTGGGAGTTGGCTGATTTTGGTTGACAGAATGTTGATGGTACTTCGGACCGCGATGCTGGGCTTCTGGACATGTTCCATGTCTTGGCGGACGCTGGGCCCGTGCGTTGCAACTCTGCATGACAGCTTGGAGTTAACGGTCAGCCATATTGTGAATATGAGGATAATACCAGATGGCACGATGAGACACTCAAGTTGGTATTCCCCAAATCATGTTGGTAGCTAATACAGCTTTCTTTCAGTTGTGGTGGCAGCATTGACCCAAGCTCCCTTCTCTTACACAGATACACAGAATTCGAGTTGACCTCAGTCAGGCACGCCTTCTTGAGGCCCGCCTGAATCACCTGGGCAAAGCTTGCTCCAAGAGCCCCCACATGATTTACGGGCAGCAATTAGCTCGAGGAGTGTCCTCTTCAGCCTTTCCTTCTGGGCGAACCAGAACTTCCGGGCGCTAGTTGCTGATGGTCTTCTAAAGACGTCGCAGTATGTCCGATATCGCTCGCCTACTGAACGGCTCGACAAATCGCCAAGGAAAATTACCATGTTGAATAGAAAACTTCAGCAGAGAACCACAGAATCATCAAGCGATAGACCGAGCGGATTCCGGTGGTGACCGAAGTAATGACTGTGTGATTATCCGTGTTCCGGTTGGGATCTGCTGTCGAAGCGGTGACCCTCTCTCAGCTTTCGACCGTGGGGTTCCTTGACGCAAGCATGGCACCACCACCCCTCGCTAGGCCGCTTTGGATCTAGCGCGATCCTATAATCTTATCAATCAAATCAGTGGGCCGACTGACATCTCCATCTCTCAACCTTTACCGAATCAAAGCCCTCAGACTCCTTGGCCTGGGCGAAAACTCCGGCCTCGCTAGCCCACACTGAGCCCGGGCGTCTTCGGTTGACGCAAAAGAAGACCCTTTCCTCCGTCTGCTTCAATTTTTCAGCATCAAGACCCTCAAAATTCTCTTCCCACAACATCGGCGTCATCGTCATCGTCAGCTCGATACTTGACCCTGTGCCGGCACACCGATTGAACAGTATCACGTGTCACTCACAACCTCCTTCTCAAACAAGACGCCGCCATCTAAAGTGATCTTGCGAACAACTTTGGAGTCACTCGTGTCAAAATTCTCCTTGACTGCGGAGCGACTCGTCACATACCAAAAGCGGCATTTACAGACAACCCATTCTCGCAGTTCGACACCATCAAACTTGGACTTCCTCATTGAATGCCATCTCCCTGCCTTTCGGATACCGAGGAGAACTCCCTAAACGGTCGGCCCTAGCCCGTTTTACTGGTGACATAAAATTCGGCTGCAACCTGCAGTCAGTTGCCACTAGTTCGGTACAGTCCTCGACCTCTGCACCACCAACCCTCGTGGTCCGTCAAATCATTCCGTTGCCAGTAATCATGGCTGCCGCTGCCGCTGCTTCCCCAGTCGGGCTTGGGAACACCGACAAAAGAACTCTTTCCATCACGACGACACTCGGCAGAGATTCCTCCAGCCCTGCCTCCACCCCCGCATCTGCGGCCTCTCCGTCCAACGTCTCCACTCCCACATCGTCAACCTCCGTGTCAGCGCCTCCCATCGCCATCCGCCCAAACGCACCCAACAGGCCACCCTCCATCAAAGCCTCAACCCCTTTGAACATGGCGTCGCCTGGAGTTATGTCACCGGGCCCAGGGCAACAACCTATGGCCATGAGCATGACCAGCAAGGAGTGGGTCATTCCTCCCAGACCCAAGCCAGGTCGAAAACCTGCCACCGACACTCCACCAACCAAACGCAAAGCTCAAAACAGAGCTGCACAGAGGGCCTTTCGTGAGCGTAGGGCTGCTCGGGTTGGGGAGCTGGAGGAGCAATTGGATGAGCAGAAGGAAGAGCACGACCGGGTCGTCCAGGAATTTCAGGAGCGTATCAATCACCTGGAGGCCGAGAGACAGACACTACGATCTCGTTGCCAGTGGTTGCAGTCACAGCTTGACAAGGAGAGACAAGAACGCAACTCAATGTTATCAGCATGGGATTCTCAGTCACCTTCGTCAACTGGAAATCATGGACGTCTTCCGGCACCAATACAGCCTCAAACGAATCCACTTGCCAATATCTCACAGCCCAGACGACCTTTGCAGCCTGCTCCGCCGAAGAGCTCGGGGCCAAGTGCTGTGCCCATTGCGGAACCCCGACCAACCACTCAACCATTTTCCATCTCCAACATCATCTCCCCTCCCGACGAAATGATGGCGCCTCTAGGGTGTGGTGGCTGTCAAGCATTTGGGTCATGTGCATGTGCTGAAGCTGTGCTTCAAGACACCGACACAGCGATGGGATGTGGAAAATGCACACTTGGGTCAAGCTGCGAATGTTTGGAGGAAGCCCTCAGAATGTCCGACCTCAAACGACCGCACTCACCAAGCTCACCACCTTCGGCACCCGAGGAGAAACGGCATCGTTCGGATGCTGGAATACCTATGGAAACAGACTTTACCGCCATGTTTGCTAAGGACAACAGAATGTCACTTCCAATGGTCACCCAACCACCACCACAGTCTTTACAGCCCATGATGTCGCTTGAGGCTAGGGACTCGTGCGGCTTCTGCAAGGATGGAACATACTGCATGTGTGCTGAGGCTCTCATGAACCCCATGTCCTTCCAACAACCACTACCATCAGTTGCCGAGCAAACACAGACTCACACACCACCGCCATCAGAGGACGATGTCGTCCCAATACCTATGGAAGTGACCGCCACCGGTGCTATCAAGCTTCCTGGTCCACGGGCAAACCAGAACCGCTCTTCTACCAACTCCAACGCCACCCAAGCCAAGCCCTCCGGGAGTCGGTGCGGCCCCAACGGCCCGGGTACCTGCGCTCAGTGTCTTTCCGATCCCAAGTCAGGCCTCTTTTGTAGGTCCCTAGCAGCCAACTTTGAGAAGAACAACCCGGGAGCCAGCGGTGGTGGTGGGTGCTGCGGCGGTGCTGGACCAGGAGGTGGATGTTGCAAGTCTGGCAACAGCGACGCTTCTCAATCTGCCGCACCGCAGCCGCTTCCTCCTATGCAGACTTCTGCGTCAGAGTCAGGTTTCCCTTTGGCGCTGTCTTGTGCTGAGGCGTATAAGACGCTGGCTAGTCACAGGCATTTTGATCAGGCGGCGGATGAGATTGGGACTTGGCTGCCCAAGTTGAAGGCGCTGCCGGTTCCCAGGCCGGGGAGCGGTGGACAAGGGGGGGGGAGGAATGGTGGGGGGCAGAGGTTGGCGCCTATTGAGGTTGAGGCGGCGAGTATTATGAGTGTTTTGAAGGATTTTGATATCAGGTTTGGGAGGGGGGATTAAGGGGGTTAGGTGTGGATGTAGGAAGAGATTTTGAGAAATGGAATGGATTTGCGTGTGTAGTATCATCTGGAAGGAGTTCTGGAGGGCTGGTGCATAGTTGTAAAGTCACCTTGATTTCATTTTGGGGTGTTTTGATGAGGTGTGATGTGCTGGTGGAGGGAGGATGAGGTAACAGAGATGGCATTGGGACGGAGGGTACCAGGAGCCGGTGCATGGCTGTGAACCTGAAGTCATATGGCTTGTTTTTTTTCTCTTTGTGAGATGGGATAATCTTGGGCCAGCTTTGAAGGGTGAAGTGAGAGGGAGAGGGGGTGGGGGAGGGAAATGGAAATGGGTGGCAGATGGGACAATTGCTCATGCGGCCGGATATGCGACCTGCGCTGGCGGATATGGGGCGCGGGGGCGGGTGTCGAACCATGTGTGTGAGCTGGCGGGTTTTGTTTTCTTCTTGCTGACATGCTTTTTGGGGTTTATGTGTAGGTCAAAACGAATGAGATCTCACTTGCATGATGTATTATGTATGCCAGCGTTTAGCTGCTCCAGAGTGGCCACGTCTGGGTGGTTTTAACTGAGGGCGGTTGGCTGGTGGTTGTGGGTGGGGAAGGGGGTGGTGGAAAAGATCCATGGATGCTTTGTACCTGAGTTATGTACTGTATGTATGTCATGTAGAGATATTCTCCCTCGGGGGGGCTTTGATTGGGTTTTTATTGGAAGAGTAGATGGTTCTGCGAAGTGTGCAGGGATATCGATAATTGCTACCCTGTTCTGGTGTGGTTGTTATATTGACCAGGTTTTGTGTAACTTGCTCAAGGACACGCATGTATCAGCTTCAGAAATATCTCGTTCTGAGAACGTGGGTAGGTAGCTTTAATGCCATAGTATTATATACCGACAGCTCACTTGTTCTGGAGAGATATCATCATACAGCTCTGGCAGTCCTGCCATCTGATACACTCCCACAACCAAGATGTATTTGTGCAGAGAGGTTCCTCGCTTACACCAACTGGACAAAACACCGTCATGGAAATTCCCCATCTCAAGCCTTACACTTGTACCCAGCTGATATCCTTCGCACTGCACACTCGTGGTCCAAAGTACCTATCACAGAGATACTCAACTCACATACACAGACACGACACCACACACACACACCGGCGACCCCTTTCTTTCTTGTTTCCTGTTGTGACGCTCTAGAAAAGACCAAACTGGGCGAGGTGCATGTCCAGCGCATCGGATACCTCGCATTTTTCTTCTTCTTGTAAAGCTGTCTACGTTGCTGGCCGTGGTGTCGAGGGATTCCTCGTCCTACGTTAAACCACCCACCCATGACCCGTCTGACGACCTCGTGGCCTGTTGTCTTACACATCCACAAGGGAACAAGCAGCAGTGATACCGGAATTACAGGTTCAGATGAAAATAAAACAACCAGAACAAAATCATGGGAAAGCTGAAAGGGGGTGTCGTTGTGACGCTTTGTGAGAATATGCACGACATAACAAGAGCTACAGTTGTGTCATTTACCACAGCCGCCCGAGAAAAAAAGACGAATCTGTCCACACAGGGCGATACGAGCTAAGATCCAGCTCAACCCAGTTGAAATGGTTGGATATGAAGCGATTTGAAACCCCTGATAGTCGGCAGCCGGCAGACCAATGGCGAGCTGCATCTTCTCAGAAAAGAAAGCCAGCAGCCACTCGGCCTAGAGATGCAGAAAGACAATAAATGGATTGCTTCGCTTTCCGGAAGCCGACAGAGGTGTGTGGTTATCTTACTTGGTACCTAGCATCAGGGACCTGCCTTAGATGGTGCGTTAAAGTATGAGGCCCCGCTGTGTTTTGCACGGTGGGTTGGGGAACAACAGATCGTCCAGGTACGCGTGGTAAGTTGTCTCGCCCTAGGCCACTAGTTCATCTCATCGCCTTGTTGAGGTGGTGTGGTTCCTGAGATCAGACCTCACCGTTCTCGCGCCTAGGTTTGGGTCCCTATCAGGGTAGGGGTTGGGCCATGGCTACACATCGAAGAGATGATCCAAGATGGGCACCTGAATGATCTCGTGACACCAGAAAAGCGAAGCCAATGGATGGGACTGGTCAGCCTGTCAAACCAGACCCTCGGGGGGTGGGCGGTTCTCGCCGTAGCAGTAGGTAGCATGTGCCGTATGTACAGCATGCGGCAGAGAGAGAGGATTGATCTGGATCGCCCCTGAATCGCGGGATCCCAAGGCCAGGAAGGAAACAGGTTGACGCATGCTTGAAATAGTGGCGGGGAATGATTGGTGATGGGACGATGGGAAGCTGAGTTGGCATCTTGAAGCAGACCAGGCGAATGCTGGGCTCACGATGCGGGCAGGTTCCGTCCGGGTGGTTTTTGGGTCGTGGAGGGCGGAGATTGGACTGTTTGAACTGCGCCGGCCGCCAAAAATGGGTCCCTGGACAAAAGGGAAGGCGGGGCGAGCTGCAAGGCCAGCGCACCAGGCTGTGGCCATGGGAGTTGATGACTGACTGACTGACCTACCCTCCTCCGTACCCCTCCTCCTGCATCAAGTGAAGAATCGAAGCAGGAAAAAAATTGCAACAGGACGGGAGGTGGGAGGCGTCAGCGAAGGGAGACAATAATAATTTCCCGCATAATATGTTTCGGGGAGGCGGCAACTGAGGTATACTTCGTATGGGTATGGTCAGGTCTCCATCGCCACCACTACGACGGGACTGTGAACGCGCGGTGGGATGGGGTTCCGCTCGTGAGCGCGTCTACTCTTTGCTGGCGGGTGTGTTGGCACTCACCATGACCGCTTTCGGCGAGAGTCGGTATGAGACGGTGAGAGGTGAGGTGGAGGCCCTCTTGAGCTTTCTTGAGTCTTATGACGCAGAAGGAAGAAGACGCGCAGGCGGCAGGCGGGAAAGCAGAGCTGAAGTAAGGGGCACGAGTCGGGCAGCAGCAGCAGCACCAGCAGGACCAAGAGGCCAGTGTCGCGGGGACGGGTGCAGTTGTAGATGCAGAGTGGATGGCGCAGTTGACCAGCCAGCTCACAGGGTATGGTTGACACAGGTCAAGTGGAGACAGCAAGTGATGGGGCAGATGGGCTGCGTAACCCAATTGGGCCAGCCCGCTACCCCACGCTTCGACGTCCACTGCATCGACATGTACACACCTGGAAGAAGGGCAGGGAAGCTGCATGGAGATGGGAGGGAAGCTCTCCTCTCGCTCTCTCTCTCATGAGACAGGACAGCCAGAGACAAACTCCCTCTCCCGACACCTACCTCCTACCTCGTCCCCTACCTAGCAGCGCCTCATCGCAACGTCACCCGTTCCATAGAGTTTCCCCAACGCTTCCACCACCTTTCCCGTCATCGTCAAGATCGCCCGCCAACACGCGCCCCTCCTTTAATTTGTTGACTGACGAGACCATGTTCTCGCGGCACTCTTGAAAGAGGCCACCCCGTTCCCAGTCGCAAGTCGACCGAGGCTCGAGCTACCTATACATACATAACTGTCCTCGCAGCGGCTCTCGTCGTCGCCGTTGCTGCTGCTGTTGTTACCCACTATTTGTTGCTGCCGATTGATTGATATCTTGTATTCGTCCAGCCTCGGCCCCTCCCCCGCCTGCTCTCTGTGTATACAACCTCCAGCCCAACCCGGCGCCCGATTTGTCCATAAACACCACGAGACCGCACTCCACCCGCCCTCGCGTTTTTTCCGAGTCGAGCGGTCCTTCCCACAGCTATCAGCACTCGGCTGGTAGTACATGGGCGATCGCAACCCTCGACTCGAGCCCCCTCATGGGCCCATTATGATATCCATGCAGCGTTCTCTTGAGTCGCCCGTCGCTATTCGCCCGACACCGTGTATGTTGGAAACGGGACTGGTCACCGGTCAAGAACAAGACAAGAGGAGGCCCACATGCTAACTGCCATGTCTGGGAGTCCAGCTCGGTCGAATACTGCAACGCCTGCTTCACGCTCACCCACCCCGACCCCGTCCGACAACCATGTCGAGATCTCCCATTCGAGGCGCAATAGGTCCAGAAGCCCGTCCCGTTTGGCAAGAGATACCATGACGTCCTCTGTGCGGCGCTCCGATGACCTGTCCAGGCGCTCGTCTGTTCAGAAGCCCATCATCGACCAGGCCACCGCACCTGTGCCGATGCAGCCGCCCCACGACTCCTCCGACAGCTTGGACTCGGGACCGGACGACAAGCTTGGGAAGATGAACTTTTTACGGCCCTTGCTGAAGGATACATCTATCTATACCACCCCCTCTCTGGCCCCGGTGGAGGACAGGACCACTTTGGAGGAGCTAGCTCACCTGGTGCGCCTATCCAAGTACCAAGAGCGCAAGCGCGCAAACACTCGCATCCGTCTTCAGAGAAGCTTGATTTCCACCGCCTTGTCTGCTCGTCTGATGAGATGTGGCGAGGCGGCCCACAGAACCTTGGTGGACAGCTTCCGCGGGGACGACAAGAAGGGCTTTGCTGCTCTTTTCAATGCCGTCATCGATGTTCGGAAAAGCTGCGACGAAACCCGCCGCTATGCATTATTGGAGCCAGAGATGGAGCTTCTGCAGTCCCCTGGCTTGACTTCATCTGACAGCTTGGACACTCCTACAGGATCGGTCTCTGGTGCTAAACCTGCCTCTGGAACCTCCAGTCCGTTTTTGAGCGAGCTCTCTGCGTCCGCTAGAGAGACGTTTTTGACTTTCTTGAACCAGATCAGGACGAACCCCGACTACCTGGCAACGCGCATCTCATCGTTGAATAGTTCGGAGCTCACTGCGCTTACTAGCTTTCACCAAGCCCTGGAGCCCATCGAATCCGTCCTCCCGTATCACGGCAGCCGCACGTCCACCCGTGTTGCCTCGGGTGGCTCAGGTACCCTGTCCGGTTCGGGATTTGGAGCATCCAACGGCCTGGGCAAGGAGCGCAGTGCCATAGAACGACTTCTTTCCTTCCAGCGACACGACCCCATCTCAGCTCTGATTTACACCTGTTTTGCTAATTCCGCAGGACCAGACAGCGCCGAAGACAAACGCCGAACCGAAACATGGGCCACCACGTGCGCTCGATTGATCTCAGGCCAGAAGACGGGGAGTGAACAGACCGTCACTGCCGTGCTCAATGTTTGGATCTCTTTGCGTGACTGGGCCGGAAAATCCAACATGGAATGGTACCTTATGAAAATCCTCGAGGATGGAGCCTTTTTGCTCGACCGCGCCGAAGACCAGCACGGAACCCGGTTCAACATCTCGGATTGGTCTTCCAAAGACCAGATTGCGGCCGAGGAATTCTATGCCAGAGCTGTCGAGGAGCTTTTCGAGGTTATTGATGACGAGGATACGACCGGCATTCCGGAGGGGCTGATCGAGCTCGGCACAGAAATGCTGAAGCGTCTGGACAAGAAGTATGTCGAAAGCACCCGCCGCTGGTTGATTACCAAATATCTCTTTACGAACTGGTTGCTCGGGGTCATTATTCACCCCGAAGCCTATGGCATGATGGCCGAATATCACATTACTGAATATGGCCGGCAAAAGATCTTGAAAACCGTGGCCATGCACGCCCAGAAGTTTGTCGTGGACATGCTGACGAGCAAAACCCCTGTTTCAACACCGCCAAAGATTAAAAAACATATCGAAAACATTTACCTCCGGTTCAAGGACTCCTCCAAGTTCAAGAAGAAGCCACGCCTTTTGCCTGCCAGGTCCATCACCTCTCTAAGAGAGACAGCCGAAGTTCACCCCCATTTGGTTGTTAGTCCAGCTGACCTTACGACATTGATCAACGCCCTCTTCCCCGAACGCAGACCGCGGTCAGCGCATTCCGGTAGCTTGCGCTCAGGGGCACCTTCGGTCTCGGGCTTCTCAGCCATCTCACAGCCAATGTCGGTCAGGACGGCGCCAAGCACTAACTTTGACACCATGTCTGTCATCAGCACAAGTGCCGAGTCCTTCATCAGCGATGCCACGACTTCTCGAGAACCCCTTTTAGAAGATGGCAGCCCACCGCGCTATTCGCCCCCGATTCCAGATCTAGGCACCCCAAAGCAGCAGCCGCAGAACAGCAACTATGAAGAAGACGGATATCGGCTTCGCTTGGCCATACATGAGATGACCCAAGCCTTGGGCCAAGATGTTGTGTATGGCCTCTGCCACCCTTGTGCCGAACGGTGGGCGGTGCTGTTCATCTCAGGCGACGGAACACAGCTTTCTACCCAAATGACGTTTGATCCAGATGACGACCCGGAGGACGAGAACTCCTCAGAGACTAGCGACACCGAGGGTGAAGACACCGAAGATGACCGACCAGAACTTGACAAGGACTATCACCAGCTCCGAGATTCGATTCTGAAGCTTGTACAGGAATATGAGATTCCTCAAAATCTTGAAAATGACGGTGCCAAGAAGCAAACATTCAGCAATCGTGCCTCATCCACTTTGAAGAAGTACCGGTCCAAGAACCGGGTCATCACAACAATGGGCAGCCGAAACCCCTATCGCCAGCGAGCAGCAAGTATCGCCAGTAGCGTCGCAGACAGCCCGCCGGAGAACAACAAAGGGAAAGGACTCGAAGACTCAGCTGATTCCTCGCCGCTCATTGCCATGTTGACAGCAGCCTGCTCGCAATCTCGCGCCCAGTCGGATTTCGTTTCTGCACACCTTTACTGGAGGACTTTGCAGCAACTCAACGCGCTGGGCTCTGACTCACTTCGTAAAGATGGATTTGCCACCTTGTTGAACATCTTCTCGAGGGGTCCTCGTGATTCGATCCGTCGGTCAGCGGCGGCAATCGAGATATATGACGCCTGGCTTGTATGGCTCAAGCAGAGCCAGGAGCGCGCAGAAGGTCTCATTGAGAGTATGATGCGCCGCTTGCGTGCTCTCCGGGATAAGATGTGGTACGTTACAGACGTGCGCAACTCGGCTCCGTACGAGGACTCGCGGAACGTTGCCGTGGCGTTGAAGACGATGGGCGTGCCTCGCAGGTGGAACTCCTTCCAGCGCATCAAGAGTCTAATGCAACGCGGCCCTGCGTCCAACTACATCTTCCGCACCGAATCGCAGATCCTCGACCTGCTGGCGGCACCAGAGGACCAAGGCGGCCCCAACAAGCTTCGCGATGAGCAAGCTGAGAAAACAAGCCGCTGGCTGCAGCAGTGTGGGGTGGAGAATTTCTGCCAGGGCGAGGAGCGTATACACCGCTTCACCTGCGAAGTTGACAACTGTGTGAGCAAGCTTGTCGGGGATAGCATCATCGATGGACCCGTTCTGTGGTCTAGCGAGCTCTACGCCCGAGATCGCCGTACCCACGAGACAAGCAAACCTGGTAGGGATCGGGATCGGGACAACATGTCAGTCTGGGATGATTCGGTCAGTGTCATCAGCGACCCGGAGAACAGGTTCCGATCCGCCAGCAGGCCTCCTTCCCTTTCTGACAGGGGATTACGAGCCGTGTCAGGTCAGAACATGAGCGTCTTATCCTTTGACACGTCCAGCCGTTTCAGCTTCTCGCGGGCTAGCACTGCCATGTCTGAGGTTCTAGACGGCCCGGAGTATTTTGGTGCCTCATCACCAGTTCACCAGATTGACCCCAACGCTACCTACTGGTCCCCATTCCAACACCGTGCCACCTCTCCCAGCGCTGTGTCAAGAGCCCACTCGCCCACTACTAGCGTTACCAACCTGTCCGCTACGTTCCATCCACCAAACCATCAGCCGCTCCCTTCCCATCACTCAGCGGGTCGTCCAGGGACTTCCATCTCATCCAATGAGACAGTGTACCAACAGCGACTCTCTGAAGAAAAGTCCCGCTTCCTCACAGAGTTGAAGCAGACGTTGACCAGTCTCTTGCTTTCCGATTTGGGTAACCTTGTCTTTGCCCGTGGTTCAGAAACAGACGCGTGGTTTGAAGGCTTGGGGCAGGAGTGTATTGACAGGCGTGAAGCAATCCAGCGCCGTGCCCGCAAGGCGCAGGTCAAGGAAAAGAGGAGGTCGGCCAGATCTGGACTGGAACGCCGGGTGCTTGAGAGGAAGAGAAGTACAGGAGATCTTAGCGAGAAGGCCTTATCCGATACCCAGAGCGTTGGCAGCCATCACGGAAGTCATCATGGCGGTTCTCATCGTGGGAGCGTACACGGCGGCAGTGTCCACGGCAACGAGAGCTCGGCAACTAACGAGACCATTCGATCCCACCGAGAATCAAAGAAGGATTCCATGCCCGAGTTTCCCTTTACCAAGGCCTACAGGCGGCTCCTGAATATGTTTTGTGTTCATCCGAACCCGATGGTCAAGCTCAACGCGCTCTATGAGCTTGAACACCTCATCATCGCCTCCTTGAATTCAGGATCTCGACGTGCACGCCTGGCGTGGGCTCGATCAGACATGGGCTCAGCCTCCTCGGCGACCGACGAGCACGGCACCGGAGGCCGTCCCCAGCCATTAGAAGAGACACTTGACAATGTCAAAGAGCGTCGCTCCCACACCATGATGCAGGCGCCACCGTTTGACAGCGCACCAAGAGGACGAACCCCAGGTGGAGGGGGTAACATGGAAACGCGATCAATCGCCTCGGTCCACCCAGCCAACGAAAATGCGATTGCCAACATCCTCCAGATGCTCTTCCGTGACGCCAACATCCGACCCAAGACCCTCTTCCGCGACCTGCAGTTCATCGCTGCTTTTGTCCCGTCGTCCATCTTGGACAAGACGGAGCGTGGGAAGGCCTTTTGGGATGCCAGTATTGCGGCACTGAACCTCAAGCAAGATGTCTGCCGGACCATGGTGGAAGTGGCGGATGATATAGTCAAGAATTATACGCAGTCAAGGGGGGGTGGATTGGGTGCTCCCTCCCGTTCTGGACCAGGCAGTACCGCGTCGGACAACTCTGGGATTTTGTCTGCCGGCGGGGAGCCACTTTCGCCACCGTCGCCGCCCCCGAGCCCGCTGCCGCTGTCGACGCATTCGCTTGCTGATGCGGCGAGGATGTGGACTATTACTGCCAAGGAGGGCATCCCGACTGCGCAGAGAGAGCTTGCCATCTTTTACCTGTCCAATCCGGAGTTGGTAGAGAGGACGACGCTGCCGCTTAGCAAGCCTAGAGAGGTGTTCAAGCAGGCGGTTATTGAGAAGTATGGTGGCAGGTCTGGGGGTGGTGGCTCGGGGAGGTATCACCCTGGGATTGCCCAGGCAAGGATGCAAGGCATGGGCGGTGTTGCGGGTGCAAACAAGGAAGAGGCGCCGGGAGCTGGTTCTGGCGGCGGCGGCGGGGTGGGGGATGTCAGGAGTGATCCGGCGCTGATGTGCCTGGCTATTCACTGGATGGAGGCGGCCGAGAGGGGAGGGGATGAGCTGGCGAGGACGTTTATGGCGCAGAATGAGATGGGGTTGATGGGCTGAGTCTTTTTTTTTGGAGAGAATGGTGTGTGGAGTGAATTGTTTCTCCTCTTGGGTGATGGATGTTGTTCTTCTTATAACCTTTGTTTTTGATATTTATTCCCCACCCCTTCAGTTGCAGTGCAGCTATTTTTTTTGTTTCTTTCCTTCTTCATTTTGGGATATCAAAGAAAGACATATTGCATACTGGGGCGAAAGTTCTATTGCATTTGTTTTAAAAGGAAAGCCTTTTTTTTTCCATCATTGCGTTCTCAACAGCGCGTGCGCCGGCGGGATGGACTGTTTCGAGTCGATGGATATTATCTTGGGCTGGTTTGGTCGGTCGATCGGTCGGTCGCTTTTGTTTCGAAAGCCATGGATGGATGGACTTTATAGAGATGGGATATTTGTCTTGGTTAAGAATTGGGGATGGATGGCCTCTGCATTCTTATTGTTTTCTTAATTCTAAGTGGATTTTTGTTTTTCTTAAATCTGCGACAAGAGATACCATTACTTTTTTCTTTTTGTTCTTTCGCTTTTTGCGGTTTTAGTTTTTTTGCGACCATATACCACGGTAGGAAGCAGATGTTATATAGAGAAGAGAGACTTTGACACAGGAGCGAGTGTTGTGTCTTGTGGTTGTGCTACGATACGATAGCTTGTTTTGTTGACATGCAAGTCGCGACTTCAACGCCACGATGACATGATGTGATTGGGACATTTGAACGAGCGGCCTTCCAACACCCGAACCCATAACATTTTCAGCTTTCCGCATTAAAAATCAAGACACTGATGACAATGCGAATGGGAATGAAATTTTCTTCCTCATGGCTCGACAGAATCAAGCGCACAATGAAAAAAAAGGTGTGGAAAACATCAAAAATTACAGCCATGACGATCCCGTAGGACAATCAATGACGAAGAACTCCTCGATGTGCAATGAAGGCTCTTCGCCATACCTCTAGGAATTCTTGATCTCCCGGAGGCCAGCCAAGGTAAGTATGAAGAAAAAAAGGAAGAAAAGGCAAACGAAAATATGGGAGGGGAGCGGGCAATATATACTGGAGGGTAGATGGTCTGTGCACGCTTGCAAATTTGAGAGCAGGTGCAAATTGTCTGTGCGCTGTCGGTGGGGCACAGAAGGAGCGCGGCGAGTGGAAGGTGAGCAAGGTGAGTGGGGGAACAACCCCTCCATCAGAAATTAAGCGGTGACGCCCGGCAGTAAACCCGTCCCGCATTTTGAGTCATCCCAGCCAAGTGCGGCCCCTCCAGGCCGGACTGGGGGCGTTGGATGAGTCGAGTTAGGCCTGTGTTGTCTGAATGTTCACGAACCTAGCCGCCTTGGAGTTTTAGAAAGACAACCGTTCCGGAGCAGAAGGCTTTTTACGTCGTTTTCAATTCCGCTCCACTTGATCGGTTCGACGACACAAAGGAAAAAGAAATTGATTGGCATTTTCTTCAATATGCCTACCATCAACGTCGACAAGTACCGGCTCTTTGAAGAGCTCGGCGAGCAGTAAGATTGCGCACTGCTTATCCCACCATGACCAGGAGGAGGTTGACCGATTGTTGTTCTTGGGAAACAGGTTCACCGAGGAGAGCTTCCAGCAGCTTTGTTTCGACTTTGGCATTGAGCTCGACAAGGACACCGAGAATGACCCTTCGCGCCCCAAGGATCAGAAGCCCGAGTTGGCGATCGAGATTCCCGCCAACCGTTATGATATGTTGTGCTTCGAGGGTATGACGCCCCCCTTTTTGGTTGGAGCCTTAGGGAGGAGAGTTTGGAAAAGGGGAAAAGACATGCTGAGAGGAACTATTCAGGAATTGCGATGCACCTAAACATCTTCCGCGGGAAACACGGGACACCAAACTGGAAGCTGGCCGACATCCCAGAGGACAAGATGCAGACCCTCATCATCACCAAGGAAACAGAGCAGGTCCGCCCCTATGCTGCCGGCGCGATCCTTCGCAACATCAAGTTCACCCAGGACTCCTACGACTCCTTCATCAGCCTGCAGGACAAGCTCCACCAGAACCTTGCGAGACAACGAACACTGGTTGCGTACGTGTGGTGGCTCCGACTTCGGCATCGAGGCTGGCTTTGCGCAGAAGGAATAGAATGCTGACGGCTGGAATGTAGCATCGGTACCCACGATCTCGACACAATCCAGGGCCCCTTCACCTACGAGGCCCTCCCACCCAAGGACATCAACTTTGTCCCCCTGAACCAGACCAAGAAGATCAACGGTGAGGAGCTCATGAGCTTCTACGAGACCGACAGACATCTCGGTCGTTACCTCCACATCCTCCGCGACAAGCCCGTCTACCCGGTTATCCTTGACGCGAACAGAGAGATCTGCTCTCTCCCCCCCATCATCAACAGCGAGCGCTCCAAGATTACCCTCGATACCAAGAATGTCTTCATCGACATGACTGCAACCGATCAGACCAAGCTGGATATTGTCTGCAACATCATGGTCGCCATGTTCTCTCAGTACTGCGCCGAGCCCTTCACAATCGAGCCTGTCAAGGTGGTTTCCGAGCACAACGGCACCACCCGGGTAACGCCAAGCTTGGCTGCCCGCACTATGGATGTTGAGGTTGACTACCTGAACCAGGTTACTGGCCTGAGCGAGTCCCCCGCGTCTATCTGCAAGTTGTTGAGCAAGATGGCGTACAAGGCTGAACCATCTTCGGATCCCAAGTTTGTCAAGGTTACTGTGCCACCAACTCGTGCTGATGTTTTGCACCCTTGCGATGTGGTAAGCTGTTCCCGTTTTCTCAAGGTTCGGTATGGGATATTGACAATTTGGTGTAGATGGAAGATGTTGCCATCGCCTACGGTTTCAACAGCCTCCCCCGCTCATCACCAAACAGGTCTGTAACCATCGGCAAGCCTCTCATGATCAACAAGCTCAGCGATATCGTCCGTACCGAATGCGCCATGGCCGGCTGGGTTGAGGTCATGCCTCTCATTCTCTGCTCGCACGAGGAGAACTTCGAGTGGCTTAACCGTGTCGATGATGGCAAAACCGCCGTCAAGCTCGCCAACCCCAGAACCGTCGAGTATCAAGTCGCGCGGACATCCCTCCTCCCAGGTCTCCTCAAGACGCTCAGCGAAAACAAGGCGATGAAGCTGCCTCTCCAGATCATCGAGTCGGCGGATGTCGTCTTCAAGGATGAGTCCCTTGAGCGCAAGGCGAGAAACGAGAGGCGGTGGGCGGCTGCTTACTATGGCAAGACGAGCGGTTTCGAAATCGTACACGGCTTGCTGGACCGCGTCATGACGATGCTGAAGGTTGCCTTTGTAACGCACGAGGAGGGCCTAGAGGGCAAGAGCATCGACTATGCGGTCAAGGAGAACCCAAGCAAGGCCGATGGGTATTTCATCCAGGAGATTGACGAGCCAACCTTCTTCAAGGGGAGGGCGGCTGCGATTTATGTGAGGTTGGGTGGTGAGCTGAAGAGGATTGGCGAGTTGGGTGTGTTGCACCCGACGGTGTTGGAGAAGTTTGATCTGAGATACCCGGTGAGCACTTTGGAGATTAACCTTGAGGTGTTCCTTTGAGGATGAGAGGGAGGGGGTATAAGGTTTAGAGATCAAAGGTCTGTCGATTTATTGTGGGCAAAAATAAAATCAAGTAGGGAATAGAAGAAATACATTGAATTCTGGGAGTAGCCGCCATGAGCCCTGTATCCTCACATGCAATTTTTATAATTTGAAGTTCGAGAGGTTTGCTCTTGCCATTGTTGTCTCAGGGGCTCCTTCCTTCAAGGGGGGTTGGCGATATGGTCCGAGCGTCTGCACCAACCGCCACCACCCCTGCAGCAAAAGCCAAGTCGCGACTGCTCAGCGGTGCCAAGGCGCAATGCGCGTTGCCTGAACTTGAGCTCTCACTTTTTATTTTTGGGAGAATTGACCATCATCATCCAACATTAATTTCTTTTTCTCTGTTAGACAAGGCAAGCAAGGCATTGATCGTACCTTTGTTGATTGTTATCTTTCCGCTTGCTTGGGTTTTTTTTTTATCTCCCTCATTTGAGGTTTCTTCTTATGATGGGTATGGGGTTATGAAAGTACAGTGTTTAATTGCTTTTTTCATGAGAGGCTTCTTCATTCAACTGGATTTGTGTTCGTCTCCGAGTCAACCAGCCGCAAGCAGAGAGAGGCGAGATTTTCACCATGACACTGTCTGACTTTGTCCGTGGACTAATCGGTGGTATGTCCCCCCCATTCCCCTTTTTATCTTGTGGACTAACACACCTCTTTAGAACCCCCAATCCCCTCACCATCACATCCTCCACAACCCCATCCCCAAACCGCCAACCCCTACGCCAACATCGCCCAGGGCTCTGGGTGGACCCCCCGTCGTCGACGATCAACAAGGAGGTTCCTTCCCAGGCCCCTGAGGAGAGCGATCCGCTTCCTCAAGTCAAACTGGCTGTCTTTTCCCCTTTTTGTCATTGTCTGCTTTTTGCTCGGGGCGGCGGTGCTGCCGTATGATTCCACGCTGAGGTTGGGGGTGAGGTGGAACTGGAAGAGACTGGTGACCGGGGGAAGGCCAAGTGAGGAGTGGGTTTTGAGGGAGAGGCCAGAGTACGAGGTTGATTGGGGGAGGGATGTGGGGGTTGTGTTGAAGACGGGGTATGGGACTCGGGGGAGGGTTCCGGCTTGGTTTGAGAGTGTTGGGGGGTGGGGGGAGGTGGTTGTGATTGCTGATTATGGGGGGGAGATGGTTTTGGGTGATGGGGGGGAGAGGGTGGTCAAGGTGTATGATATGGTGGAGAGGGGGTTGGAGAATCCGATTTTGGGGGGTTTGTTGGGGCATAAGAGGGTGGGGAAGTATGAGAGGTTGACTGCTGCTGTTGGGGCGAAGGATGAGGAGCTGGCGGGGGGTTTGTCAAAGGAGTTTGGGTGGGAGTTGGACGCGTTGAAGTTTATACCTGGGCTGGAGTTTGCGTATCAGAGGTGGCCGGACAAGAAGTGGTATTTGCTGGTGGATGATGATACTTTTCTGGTGGAGACGAGTGTGAAGAGGTTTTTGGGACATTTTGACCCGGAGGAGAAGCACTATCTTGGTAATGCCGTTGGTGACTTTCGGGCGAGGTTTGCGCATGGGGGGTCGGCGGTTATCTTGTCGCAGGCGGCGATGAGGGCGTTGGTGAAGGAGAATCCGAAGGCGCTCAAGACGAGTTATTTGGAGAGTTTGGATGAGGTTTGGGGGGATCGGTTGTTGGCGAAGGCGCTGATTAGGGTGGGAATTTATCTGGATGAGAGGTATGCGTATTTGTTCAATGGGGAGCCGCCGAGGAGGAGTAAAATCAGAGGGGACAGGATGTGTTCTCCTATCTTGAGCTTTCACACGTTGCCTCAGCCGGAGATGATGAGGGACGTTGGGGAGCATTTTAGGAATGTGACGGAGCCGGTGTTTTGGTTGGATTTGTGGAAGATTTATGGGGTGCCTGCTCCTTGGAGGTGGGATCCTGAAATGACGAAGAAGACGATCAAGGATCCGAAGCAGAGGGAGGAGATGTCGAGGATTGTGCTGCGGGATGTCAAGAGTGAATGGGAGTGCTTGGCGGAGTACAACCGGCGGTTTCGCGCTAGTATCGGGACCGGTTGGGCTTGGGGGAAGCCAGAGCCGGATGTGTGTGTTATTTTCCGGTCTGCGCCGCCGTTTGATTCAGAGGTGGATGCTTGGACTTTGGACTGGGATTATGTTGGGCCGGTGGATGAGGCTGTTTACACGCATGAGAATGTTGCGTCGGCGCAGGATTGCATGGAGAAGTGCACGGAAAAGGCTTTCAAGACGTGTATCGCTTGGACGTGGGAGTCATCCACGGGGAGGTGTCATGTCAGTCCGTGGATGATAGTGGGGGAAGAAGTGAAGGAGCAAGATAAGGTGTCGGGGTTTAATATTAGAAGGGTGAGGAAGCTGGAAAGGGAGTGTCCTACGTTTGATGGGTATGAAAGTAGGAGGGATTGATCACCAAACGAAGAGATTACGAAAGCATAGAGTGGATTTGGAGTTGGAGTTGAGCTCAAGTGCTAGGCATAGCGATATTGAGTTGAGGCTGTATTGATAAGGTGAGATTGGACTCATTGGCCGCTGTTAGTTGGATGATGCTGACTGGTGTACAGCGACGGGGGCTGGTGGCATCACAGCCAGCGATTATACATGGTCAAATTAGACACTGAGACAGCGACACGGGAAGGATGCTCAGTGAGGCTTATACCACCGGAGGGATTTGGGGAACTTTTCGGATAGACAAACATCATTAGAGCATGACCATAGAGCTAATAATTGTAATAGCAGTCACCGGCAACCTGTCAATTCTTTGTCCGGGCTAATGCCAAGACAAGCCCGGGCACATGTCTGTCATTTGTCATTCTCAGGGCCGATCGTGATTCAGCGCCAGCCGAAGGGTGCTGCTGTGCTGCTCGTACAGTGCGCAAGCGCGCGTGGTGCAGGTTGCACGAACGGTGTCCCCCATGTGTGTGGAAGGGGAGGAGGTACATGCGGTGCGAGCAATACACAGCCGCAAGCCACGCAAACGGTCTTGCTTTTTTTCGTGGATCTGGGTGCCTGCCTTGAAAGTGTTGGAAGTTCGGGTTCGGGAATCCCGGGTGCTTTCCAGCCCTCCCTTGTAGGTAATAAGGGAGGTGCATGTCTCGGGAGCGGTAGGAACTCGGGAAGGGAGAGAGGCTGAACTTTAAACTTGGCCTGGGCTCGGGGGTTCTGTCTCTCCCTTTTTACTTTGACGTCGGACTTTGGGCGGGAAATTTAGGGCGGGGGGTTGCCTGGGAAGTTTTTGGGACTGACATCACTTTTTGTTTCTCTGCCTTTTTCTCCTTTTGGCAACATTGTTTTTTGTTGTTGATGCAGAGAGAGCCATTTTGGATGTGACGTATTGATTTCGTGTGGGTATCTGCTTTTGTTGTTTGCTGCTTGCTATCCTTACATATATTACTTTTTTGCCCCCCGGCGACGAGCCAGCCGACCGACCGAGTACAGTGGACGGGGAAAGACAAAAGATGCGGATCTCGATCAAGATATCCGTCATCCTTTGGGCGGTGGTGTTGTTGGCTGGAACGGGGTACATTCTCGCGCGGTTGGTGGCGTTTGTGGGCCTCTTTTTCCAGCATGCCGGGATTCAGCTACGGCAGGCGGATGCGCTTGAGGCGTATAACCAGGATGGACATGGGTTGTTGGGGGGGGGAGGGAAGAGGGTTCAGCATATTCCAAAGATTGTGCATCAGGTTTTTCACAATTGGAAGGAACCGGGGAATGATAGTTTGCCGGGGGATTGGGAGGGGGTTAGGGGAGGCTGTGTGGAGAGGAATCCGGGGTGGGAGTTTAAGGTAGGTTTGTGTGGTGGTACAGGTGGGGGTTGTGTAAATGACGGGGATGGGAATGCTGACTTTGGGTGGTGATGATAGTTGTGGACCGAACGAACCTCGAGAGAATTTATCGAAAGGGAATACCCTTGGTTTTTGAGGACGTATGATGGGTATCGGTACAAGGTGCAGAGGGTGGATGCCGTGAGGTACTTTTTGCTGTATCATCATGGGGGAATATACATGGATCTGGACAATGTCAGTCATTTTCCCCATCCTTCAACTGGACAAGATACTTATAATACTCTGCAACAGGGCTGCAAAACGGACTTGACACCTCTACTATACTATCCGTTTTGGATCACCGACGGCGGCCGCGGAGCTCTCTCGAACAACATCCTTGCGTCGAAGCCTCGCCACCCGTTCTGGAACCTCGTTACAATGTCACTGATGGAGTACGACTGGAATTATTTCTTTCCTTACATCACCATCAGTTTTGCGAGTGGGCAGTGGTTCGAAACGGCTGTGTGGGAGAAGTACCACTCGTTGCTGCCGAAGCCTGGGGCAGATCCCGAGATGGAACACAGAGGTTACCGGTTGATCATGGACGACAGGCCGGAGGCGGACGAGTGGATCTTTTTTACCCAGGAAAGAGGTGGGACTTGGGTGAACTGGGATAACAAGATGTTCTTGGCTATTGGTGAGCATCTGTTCTTGCTGTTTGCGTCCCTCGTGGGGTTAGCAGCGGTGGTGTTTTGGGGAGGCTCGAGATGTTTGAGGAGATACAACAGAGCTGGATATACGAGACTGAAGAACAGGAATGTCGTCGGGAGCTCTGTTTGAGTTGTGGAGTCGAGATTGCCGGCATGGTGGGGGCGGGATCGACCGTTGGCAGCAAGGGTGCGGATGAAGCAACCGGTTCTGATTCGAGGCCCGAGTCTGGGGATGCGGCACGGATCTGTGCCAAGACCTTGGACCAGTTGGAGGCCATGATGCGATTTGAGGGAACATATTGTACACACTTTGGTAGGGCGTTTGGAGTTGGGATGGTGTTTTTGCTGGGACTGGGGCTTCTGGGTCGGTATGTTGATGAGATTAGTATTGATTCTACCAAATGCATTCTGTCGTCACCATTATACTTCTGTCAGGGTACTGTCCTAGCCTGCAGCCAGACTCCTGAGCGTGACACGTATGATGGCGTAGCTTCGAGGTTGCTTATGTTGCTCCAGAAGCCGACCCTCCGGCGCCAATATTCCTTGGAAAGGCTGCATGCTCTGTCAACCGACAGGGGAGAAACAGTCGGAGGTTTGAGGTATTGCTGCTCCACAACTACGTTTAGAGACCCGGTGATTCATTTGTAAGAAGATATACTGGCTATTTGGAAGGCCTGTTGGTAATTTTAATGCCTGTTAATCATTCTTGCAGACATACATGGTTACTTGCTGTGAGAACGGCGGCCGCCCATCCCTGTGTCCAAGACGTCCCCTCTCTCACCGTCTTCGATAGGTCTGGTGACATTCTTCCAATTCTGGCCATCAGACCCCGGTGATAATGGCACGCTGCCAAACGCCCCCACAAACAATTGTGGAAAGTGTCCTTGAAGATTCTCTTCTCGCAACTTGTTTCTCTGCTCCCGTCGCTTGCTCACCCACCTTTGAAAAGACCCCTATTAAGCTAAAGCAGCGGCTCTCGACCCCAACTACGGTCGCTTGCTCCCAGACGAAATACAATGTTGGGACGAGTCTCTTGGTCGATTATGGCCCATTTTGCGTTTTAGGACTGCTTTCCAGCAAAGATACGTGAACAGGTCTTGCTGGGCGGTTCCTTGCATTCGATATCAATGAGATCTTGGACATTGTCATGGTGATGTGTTTGACCGATGCCGGCGCCTGACCTACGATGTTGGTTTTGATGATGTGGCTGGTGTCACGAGAAAGACAGGGAGGCAGCGAGGTGTTTGAATTCGAAAACTGAGGACCTCAACCTCATAATGCTTGATATTCTATTCTTGAAATCCCCAACAAGAAAACCAGCCTAGGAAGAGATGACACCGCAGTTTTTCGAGTTAGTCGGGTGCTAGCTGAATTAGCTTCAAGATAGGGTGATGTTGGTTTCTCATTGCAGCTCAGTTTCTCTCTCGCGATAGGAGGAGCATCATCACCACCAGCATGCATTTTACACCGGGCACGCATTCCACCAATGATAATTATGTCTCTCCACTTGAACGCGCACATATCCAACGCTCCATGAAGCGCTGTCGGATGTTTTACTTGCAAGCTAGAGATGATGGTCAGTCTTGTTTTGGACAACGAAGCCGAAAACGGGGCAGTGGTGGGTAGACCTGCGTCCGAGAGGGTGTGCTGCTCGGGCAAACATGGCGCGATTCCACAGCTCTCACAATGGGAACTCTTTCAAAACTCAGAGTCACACATGAACCTCAGGGCCGGCCCTTCCAACTTCTCAAGTCGCCCACAGTGAGGGACATCATATCAACATCATCGCCATAGTCAACAACAACATCGACATGAATGAAAATCTTGAAAAGAAAGAGACTGTCAGCAGGACAAGAAAAATCAAAAACTAGAAGATTCGAGACAATAGAGGAGAATCGTTGTAGTCGATGTGGGCCTCTGTGGTGGATAGTAGCATCGGAGTGACGGGACGGTGGCGGTCGTGGAGGAGCCCGCGCCGGGAAGCCGCGCGTGAACTTGGCCATCTGATCTGAAATTCCTGCTGCCGAGCCTCTCGCGAGATGTGAAGCTTGAGCCTTTGCAAGCCAAGTGCAAGTTAAGCTGGAACAGATGATGACGTTATGCACTACCAGAGTGAAGCCTTCTTGCCCCCTTTTTCAGACGAAGTCTTGGCTAAAGCGTTTAAGCGGCCGAGAACAGTGGCGGCAGGCACTATCGGCGACGATCTCCATGCGAACCGCAGAAGTTGGGGGAAGCTGTTTCGCCTTGTTCGTCCTCCAATTTGGTTGGAAACAGGCCATCTTATACTTTTCCCATTGCCTTCCCCACGCCGTCAATGCAAAATGCCGTCCACCACGTTGTCTGCTGGGAGCGCTACTCTTTAGCCGAAACTGTCAACCACGAGCTCTCCCGTTCCCGTGCTGCGACTCGGTATTGAGCCCGTCGAACTAAAGCGACCTCGATATTGCGAGAACCTTGGAGTCGGGTTCAGCGCAGGCTGAGGGCATCCCCGACCTGTCTCTGGCGAGGTCGCTTGTGTCGACCTGGATTATCCGCTCCACTGCCAGACTTGCCAACTTTTTGCCTGAATTCAGACTGCAACTCTACACCTCTCGGATGTCACCGAATTCATCCGTCCATGACCGTCCAACACCACCTCCCTACGGCGCGCTAAGTTGAAACGCCGTTACATTTTCCCCACAAACCAAGTGGGGACCACCCCCCCGTTCCCCTGGATCGCTCGTCTTTCCCAAGACGGCACGGAAGAGCCTCTCCACGATCCAAGTAATCCTAATCCGGTTTGGTGCCTCAGAGCGTTGAACTGTCTGCCGGGAACCAGCATCGAGCTCTTGTCAGCCTTCGCCAATCACATCGTTTCTTGATCCCTCTTGAGGCTCTCTTCCCCGGGCTCCAAGGCGGGAAGGCAGTCCGATATCTCCTTCAGTCGACCTCGGATTCCAAGCAGCTTTGTCTTGTCACCGGCCTCCCTGCCGCCGTCTCCCTCATTTTGGTGGCGCCAACATGTGCAAACAGGGCACCCCAAATTGGACCAGACTCTTGGGAAGCTCGCTACCTGACCGCATGCTCCCCAGGTTGGGGTGCATGGTGCCTTGAGCCTCCATCACCACGGCCTCGCCTACCCCACACTGCCCTTGGTTGGTCGCCCCTTGTCATTCAACATCATTGCCGATGATCGATTCGGCCCCGGGATGCCCTCCTTCATGCTCCGCTAGCACCGCGCCCAGACCTCCTCCATGAACACCCAGAACGCCTTTGGTCCACCTCACTGGACGTGATATGTCGTGAATGCTGCGGTAACATGGACCGAGATGCCCAAAGCCATCGAGTATAAAGATCGCCGTTGCTGTCACCCTTGGTTCTGGTTCTTCATCCGTCGATCAGCACTCCAGCCATCACCAGCCCACGGTCAAACATCCTCACCTATTCATTTCAGAGTGAGATTCAGCACACACATCTCTTCACCATGTCTAACAAGGCCGCTACCCTTCTCGCCGCCCTCTCGGGTGCTGCCCTCGTTGCCGCCCACGGCCACGTCTCCCACATCATCGTGAACGGTGTCTACTACCAGAACTATGACCCGACAACCCACTTCTACCAGCCCAACCCCCCTACCGTGATCGGCTGGTCTGCTCTTCAGCAGGACAACGGCTTCGTCGAGCCCAACAACTTCGGCACCACCGACATCATCTGCCACAAGTCTGCTGCTCCTGGCGGCGGCTCTGCCACTGTCAACGCCGGTGACAAGATCTCCATCGTCTGGACCCCCGAGTGGCCCGAGTCCCACATCGGCCCCGTCATCGACTACCTCGCCAACTGCAACGGCCCCTGCGAGACCGTCGACAAGACCTCCCTCCGCTGGTTCAAGATCGGCGGTGCCGGCTACAACCCCAACACCCGCACGTGGGCCGCCGACGACCTCCGTGCCAACGGCAACAGCTGGCTCGTCCAGATCCCCGCCGACCTCAAGGCCGGCAACTACGTCCTCCGCCACGAGATCATCGCCCTCCACGGCGGCTCTTCCCCCAACGGCGCCCAGGCCTATCCCCAGTGCCTGAACCTCCGCATCGTCGGCAACGGCAACAACTCCCCCGCCGGTGTCGCCGGCACCTCCCTCTACCGCGCCAACGACGCCGGCATCCTCTTCAACCCCTACGTCGCCAGCCCCAACTACCCCGTCCCCGGCCCTGCCCTCATCGCCGGCGCCGTCAGCTCCATCCCCCAGAGCAAGTCCACCGCCACCCGCACCGCCTCTGCCACCCTCCCCGGCGCTCCCGTCGTCACCCCCACCGCCGGCCCCGTCGTCACCACCTCCTCCGCCCCTGTCGTCCAGCCCCCCACCACTACCCTCGTCACTGTCACCTCCGCCCCTGCCACCTCTGCCGCTCCCGCTCCTACCGGCGGTGCTGGTGTTGCTCCCAAGTGGGGACAGTGCGGTGGCAACGGCTGGACTGGCCCTACCGTTTGCGCTTCCGGCTCTACTTGCACTGTTCTCAACCCTTACTACAGCCAGTGCATCTAAGTTTCTCTCTTTGAGAATTCTTGGAAGGGGGGAGATGTAAGAAAAATTTGGGAGGAAAAGAAGGGTTTTTTTCTTTTTTTTTGCATGGCATAGCATAGCATTGCGTTTTGGGGGGAGGGGGGGGAGGATAAATCATCAGCATCAGTTTGGATGGGATGGGATTTGAGGAGGATTCAGTTGTATATACTTTTTGTTTTTGAGTTTTGGCTCTACCTTATTCCGGGAAAGAATGGAAATGTGTTTATAAACCTACTTACAAAGGGATTGGTGGTTGTGATTTGTGAATTGTACACTGCTGCTATTGTTAAAAGTTTTAAATTCTCCTTCGGCGGCGGAAGTATATGCTTTTTTCCCCTTAGTCATCCAAAGTCCTGGAGAGACGAGGGTTGTTAGATAGGTAAAGATGAGACAGGCATGCCAGGTACTTTGTGGACTCTGAATGACTACAGCGACACCCTGCAGGTGAGGAGGTGTACGAATCTATCTTCACGAGAACAAAATACCCGAACAATGACCCAAGATCTGCCCGAATCCCGTTCTAGTGAAAAGGTATACTAGCGGTACAGGAAGATCTCCTTCCCTTCCGCCCATCAAGATAGATGATAACATCAATAGGGCTGAGTCCCCCGCCTCCCTGGGTACCTACCAACATCCCCAACATGCAGGTCGTCTATCGGGGAAGGTAACACAAGTCAACCATCGTCCCTGCGAAGCTCAATTTCGCTGCTTTACACCGTCCGGCCGTGCACAGAAAAGCAGAGAAAGTGATGAAAGCATCCAGAGGCCCAAAAGATGGTCAACAGACCCCTCTGCTGATCGCTTGATGCTTCTCGACGATCCCGTAATATATATCCAAAGCCGTCCTACTATACTCAGTGGTCTATGGGTTCTCTTGTCAGGACTACCAATCTTTTCTTCAGGGCCCTCATCATTCCAAGTGGAAGGTCTTGTTTCCTTGTTCGTTAATAGGCCCCGGTCAAGCCGATATCGACCGACCCCCGTGACTGAACAACATGTGCGGGTGGGGGGAGAAGATCCTGGCATGATGCAGTTACCTGTCATCTATAAGGTGAACTTGATAGGTAGCTTCGCCCCATCCATCCCAGCGTTAAAATACCCTCCACCCCGTTAAGGGTCCGGTAAAGTTGCATTGTTGAGCTTCGTTGTGTCAGCCAGTGACTGGTCAGATAAAATCATCGAGAATTCTCGGTTGGGCAGCCAACTTGGTTGACCCACATCCAGCAGGACCCCTTCTTACAGGTTGGCTGGTGGGAGAGGTAGGCATGCGGTCAGCAAAGCCCTCCATCTTCTGACCAGCATATCCGAAGCCCGACCCGGGAGTAATCGGAGTTACTTCCGCTTCTGGTGACATGTCAAAATAAGGCAGACTTCCCAAAGAATACAGCGCCTGCAGCAGATGGTGATCCAGACTGGCAGCTGAGTTCCCTTTTCGTTGTTGTTGTTGGGGGGGGGGGGGGTTGTAAGAATAGTGTTGCATCTGGGTGATCCTATACAGTGACCCAACATCTCATGTGTACACAAAAGCAAACGACAGGATCACTGAAAAATACTTCAAAATGTGATTCAGCCCTCCCGCTAACTTCACACCAACCCACCATGCTGCCCATCCCATGTCCAACACAAAAAAAAACAAAAAAAAATTAAATATCGTCAAAGTCGTAAGAGTAGAGTTTTTACACACAAATCATGGACCGGTATGGAAACAAAAGCCCAATGATACCAACAAAGGTATCAACATTGCCAGCATGATCAACAAACAAACAAATAAAAAGGTATCTAGACCACCTCCCAACTTTCCCCTATGCTTCCCCCGGTCTTGGAGATAATAAGCCATGTACATGTAAAATTCCGCCATATATCCAAGGTAAAAAGACAGCAAAACCAAAAAGATTCTTTTGTCTTATCCACCAAAAATATTCCCCGCGAGCTCCATCCTTGTATCCCAAGAAAAAAGATCACCATTCTACCTGGGGGCCCATCCCAAAAGCGCCAAAAGATGAGCCTCCTGCCCCGCCATTTACCTGGTTCCCAAACATATCCCAGTCCAATGCGCTAGCATCCAGGTACCCCAGGAATGAGTCCAGATTGTTGTCCGGGATGCCTGTGTGTGCCCCCACTGCCAAAGCCGCCGGTGTGTAAGGATCTGGTGGTGTAGGCTCCGATTTGTAGTCATCGTTTGGCATCGATGTCCTTAGCCTGTCCACGTAGAACGGTGTCTCTGGTCTGTGGCCTGTCCTTTGCGTGAGTGTTTCTTCTCTCTTCCTCCACGCCTTCAAGATAAACACTGCAAGCGCGGCATGGAGTTTGTTGTTGGTGTCGAATAGCTCGGGGTGAAACGTGTAAACCACCTCAACCTGTCTCCAAGCCCGTTCGACTAGTACACCTTCTGTGCGGTGGCAGAGTTGGCCGGCCATGTACATGAAGATATCGATCTGGAAGTGTGCGAGGGAAAACCACATAAAGCCTTTGTCCTTGGTGGAGATGTAGTTTGCTTCGTTGTGCTCTAATGTGCCGATGGCGATTTTGAAGGTGTTGTCTTTGAGTGTGCGGACCTCTCCGCCCCATTCTGGCTGGTGTTTGGCTGGGGTAATGAGTTCCATGATCTTATCGATGATGTGCGTCCGCATGTTGACGGCCATTTGGTGAACTGGGCCGGCGAGAGGATCGCAATACTTGTCGAGAATGCTGAGGAGGTTGTTGCCCAAGGTTTCTACCGTCCGCCGGTACTCGATCATTTCTTGTTCAGGAGGGCCTCCTCCATCACGTTCGGATACAAAGTCGCTTTGTGAGGTTAGCAAGAACATGGTATCGAAGCCCGGAGTTTCCACCAGGAATTTAGCAAAGGCGTATATAAGTAAGCAGAAAATCATCTCTGTTGGCCCTTCGCGGTCCTGGAATGGCTCTGTCGCTGATGGGAAGATGTCGGCGTCGTTGAGGTTCTTGGGCGGTTTTGTGTCCCAGTTTCGTGGAAGGAGCGAATGGCTGAGGCCGGAGAAGATGGCATATTTGGAATCGACCATGATGATCTGCCACCATAACCGACGGCGCATTTCAGACTCGAATGGGGGGAGACCAAGAGTTTCGCCATCACGATGCATTCCCATTTTTTGGGCGATACGAATAACTACGCCGTTGAGAATCCACGCGGCATGGCGATTGTATCGACCTTGTAGAGAGATCTGTGCGCCGTGTTAGCAGCCGGAGCGCCTTCAAGACGATGCTGATGGACATACCAAGTAGATCACAAGGGCCTGCAAAATGGTCAAATCGTGGGTCTTAAGGAAGCCCAGCCTGAGCAAGGCCAACCGCACACCCGACGAGAACCTTTGAAGCGCTTCCTCTCTCGAGTAACCCAGCAGATTCTGACATTCATCTGCGTCTAGCGCGACAACAGCCATGAGAAAAATAGAGAAGAGGAGCGCTTCGACATTCTTCGGCAATGACTGCGACCCGCCGACCGCCTCGGCCAAGTACGGTTGCAAAGTCGGGACGTGTATAATCTTTGTCAGTGGGTTGACCCTGTCCAGATATATCTGCCACAGACGTATCACATGGGCGGCATCTGGCCAGAGTGTCTCGATTTTGATGTTGGGGGAGCCATCGCCAAGGAGGAGATCTGAGTTCTCATCAGGCGCAGTATCAGACGTGCTATCATCGTGGTCATCCGAGTCGACTATTTGCCTCATTGCTCGAAGCTGTATGGGACGCATCCTATGTGAGTGCATGTTTCTTCCACTGCGATACACAGGCGACAAGAACAACCCACCTCATCATAAACAGAGCTCAGCATCGGGTTGTCTATGAACCGCATGCTCCCTTCATCCCTAACCAGCTGGCCGGCTGGCTGCCATTTGAGATAGCTCTCATCGAAGGCGGGCTGTTGCGATGCTCTTGGCGTCGTCACACTGCCCTCGGGCTTCTCGGTCGCATACTCTTTGAGCAACTCTTCACAGCGAGCCAGCCTCTCCTGGAGGTCCTGGTTTGGTCGTCTTCGCTTGCGCGCAGGGGCGGGAGTGGATGGTGTACACTTGACATTGGCCTTGGTGCAGTTGGAGCATGGAAAATTTCTATCGCATTTGATCTTTCGGTGTTGGCATAGAACGCAGGCAAGAATGCGCGTGGGCTTGTTCGAGGGTGGCGGCGCGACGGAGGGGTTCGATACGGGGGCCGAAGTGGTTGAGCTTGGGGTGGATGAGGATGCCATGGCGACGGAAGAAAACAAGCCGTGGCACAACCTTTGCCTTTGCGCGCGTCGGAGAGAGCAGGAGAAACAAGACCAACAACGAAAGAGTCAGAAGAGGCGAATTGGGACTAATCAGCTAGCATGATGCTACGCCGAGTCTATTTTCTCGAATCCGTATTCTTTCGAACCTAGCAGCTACCGCAAGGAGTGAGTAACTTGGAACCTCGTCGGAACCTCAAGAACAAGGTCGAGGGCGAGGGCGTGTGGCGGGCGTTAAGAATGGAGGGGCAAAAGAGGTATGGGTATGGTGGGGGTTTAGTAGGTGCCGTACCGTGGGCGCGGTGTGTAGATGGCGGGAGAGATCTTCAACTCCACTCCCAGACCGTTTTCGTTTTCGAAAGAAGCTCTCCCTGAATAATAACACCCTGGATGCCTAAGCTCAGTCAGCGACACTGTGTGTGACCTGTGCCACCCACCTCGGCGTATAAGTACCCACGGTTAAAGTTTGAAGTGACGCTGCAGGAGCGGGGATATCTGATGCTTATTGGGAGATGCTCGTAAGTATCGAGTGAGGTGAGTTGAATCTGGCAGAGTCATCCAAAGTTCCTTCAAAGAGGATGCCCAAAGAGCTCCTTGTGTACCGCCGGAATCTTCCCGCCCTCGCTTTGGTCGACAGGGGCCAGGGGGACAGCCAGCACTCCAAGTGGAGATATCTTCAATTGGATTTTTCAGGACTGTGTCGATTTGGTCTTCTCTGGTCCACTGGCACCTCGCAAAGACTGCGAAATGTGGCCGGGAAGTGTGCGTGCCGGCTACGTAATGCAACTGGTGGAGTCTGGGCGGCTTCTGTGCATCTCTTTGTTTGTCGGACATCGGTGTTGGTGTGTCCCCGATAGGAAATAGGACGGCTTTGTCAGCCTCTTATTGGCGCATAGCCGCTGTGATTGGGCCACGAATTCCCCGATTGGGCTGATTGGAGCGCTGCTAACCTTGTCCCCTTGATCGATAAGATTCTGAATACGCGGATCTTGGGACGGGAGCTCAAGATGCGAGGAATGCGAACACGAGCACGCCCGGGGTGGCCTAAATAAGCTCCCATAACAGTATCTACCAAGCATCTGCATCTTCCCAAAGCTCTGGGTTTCCTTCGGCTGTAACCGCAAGTTTGTTTACTTTAACCTCAACTTCGTGAGGCTCAACAAGTCTGCACACATGGAGATCCCAGGTCACCCACAGTGTTGGATATGGAACTGTCAAGTTGGCCCCTTTTCCAGCCCTTACCTTACCAGCGCCTCTTGCCGTAACTCGAAACAATCATTCGACGACGACGGAAAACTCGGAAATTATCTACACATACCGCATACGTATACCATAGTCACCGCCTCACAGCTCATTTCTGGAGGCCTCTGGCGATACACAGGTCTGCGGAAGGTGTGCGATGTTGCCGGTATGGTCCCGTCACATGTCCGGGCAGGATTTGCTCCGACATACAAACTGTCCGGAGCCTGCGCTCCCCGTCCTGCGAATAAGAAGTACGGAGCACGGCACAGTATCCCGGGATCACATGCTTTTGAAGTTATGAAAGGTCCCGGCTGCGGGCTGATTTATTGTGCGAATTGTGGCTCATAATGAAACCATGTACATCAAAATGGCTCACCAGGGGTATCGACGCCCAAATTCCTCGGTGTTTTAGATGGTGCTGAGGTCATAGACGAGGTGGGTTCGGTATCATGGCACCGCGGTACTCCGTAAAGATGCCAAGGGCCACGGTGAGCCCTCTGCCGGTGGGCACGTGAGCAGTGCGGTGAACGGTGAGGGCGAACGGCAATCTGGGGTCCAAACGACAGGGGTCTTTTGCCGGCCGGTGGCCACTCCCCACTAAAATTTCATGTCGCCCGCCCACTCGAATTGGAGACATTTGCAATCGTCCCCTCCGATCCCGCAATCCACTCTCCATTCGTCTTGATATCGCTGTGTGTTTTTTGGAATTGGCGAGATTGTTGCTCTCTCAAGACAATCATGTTTGCGCCTGTGGTATGTCGCAATGAACAACAAGCTCGTTTGGGACTCATTGGCTAACCATCCACCAGAGAAGAAGTCTAGCTCTGGCCGCAAGCCGGGGTGGCCGCCAGGTCCTCCTGTCAGCGAGGAGTCAGCGACCATTGTCGATTCCTCGAGTGCGCACCGCCGCCTATTCCACAACACCACGCCTTCGTCAAGAAGCCTTCCACTCCCAGCTCGAGAACGCTGCCCCTCTTCCCTCCGCCAAGTCTGCCACCCAAACACCACAAACATTGACCGAAAAGATCGTCCAGAGATACTCGGTGGGCCTTGCGCCAGGCAAGACGGTCAAGTCTGGCGACTATGTGACCCTCGCACCACACCACTGCATGACGCACGATAACTCATGGCCAGTCGCCATGAAGTTCATGTCCATCGGCGCCTCCAAGATTCATGACAACAGGCAGGTCGTTATGACGCTGGATCACGACGTCCAGAACAAGAGCGAGGCCAACTTGAAAAAGTATCGTCAGATCGAGGAGTTTGCTGGCAAGCACGGCGTTGACTTTTATCCTGCTGGTCGGGGTATTGGTCACCAGATCATGGTGGAGGAGGGCTATGCGTGGCCAGGAACCGTCACTGTTGCCTCGGACTCCCACAGCAACATGTATGGTGGTGTGGGCTGCCTGGGTACACCCATGGTGCGCACCGATGCTGCCAGCATCTGGGCTACAGGGCGAACCTGGTGGCAGATTCCCCCAATTGCCAAGGTTACCCTCACTGGCATTCTCCCACCTGGAGTAACTGGCAAAGATGTGATCGTCGCTCTTTGCGGTCTGTTCAACAATGACGACGTTCTCAACCACGCCATCGAGTTTACCGGCTCTGAGGAGACCATGCGTAGCCTTTCCATCGATGACCGTCTGGCTATCGCCAACATGACCACCGAGTGGGGTGCTCTCAGTGGACTGTTCCCTATCGACTCTGTCTTGCAGCAATGGCTCAGAGCCAAGGCGACGACGGCGGCCATGTTCAACCCCGAGGCCGCCAAGGGCAAGTTCACACACGAGAAGATTGACGATTTGATCAACAACCAGCTCAGAGCCGACCCTGGTGCCACCTATGCCAAGTCACTCTATCTCAACCTGTCTACTCTCTCGCCATTTGTTGCTGGCCCCAACTCCGTCAAGGTTGCTACCCCACTTAAGGACCTCGAGGCCCAGGATATCAAGCTGAACAAGGCCTACCTCGTTTCTTGCACCAACTCCCGTGCCTCTGATATCGCCGCCGCCGCTAATGTCTTCAGGGAAGTCGCCAAGGACGGCGTTATTCCCAAGGTTGCTGAGGGTGTCAAGTTCTACATTGCTGCTGCTTCTACGCTGGAGCAAGCGGCTGCTGAGGAGGCGGGTGACTGGCAGGTGCTCCTTGCCGCTGGTGCCGAGCCCCTCCCCTCTGGCTGTGGCCCTTGCATTGGTCTCGGAACTGGTCTGCTCGAGCCCGGTGAGGTCGGTATCAGCGCCAGCAACCGCAACTTCAAGGGCAGAATGGGTTCTACCGATGCCAAGGCCTATCTTGCCAGCCCCGAAGTCGTTGCTGCCAGCGCCCTCAAGGGCAAGATTGCTGGTCCAGGCTGGTATCAGAAGCCAGAGGGTGTCGAGAAGGTCATCATTGGCGAGGGTAACGGAGATGTGGTGCAGGACAAGGCCATGAGCATTGAGGAGGCTCTCGACAAGCTGATCGCTCAGGCCGACAGCATGATTGCCAGTGCTGAGAAGGAGTTCTCTGGTGACGAGGCTGCTGCTGCTGAGTCCGCTGCCGAGGCCGAGACCCTCACCGAGATCCTCCCTGGCTTCCCTGAGAAGATCGAGGGCGAGATTGTCTTTTGCGACGCCGACAACATCAACACTGATGGTATCTACCCCGGCAAGTACACCTATCAAGACAACGTCACCACCGAAAAGATGGCCGAGGTCTGCATGGAGAACTACGACAAGGAGTTTGGCCAGGTGGCCAAGGAGGGTGATATCCTTGTTTCTGGTTTCAACTTTGGTTGTGGTAGCTCGCGTGAGCAGGCTGCTACTGCTATCCTGGCCAAGAAGATTCCGCTTGTGGTCTCAGGCAGCTTTGGTAACATTTTTAGCAGGAACAGCATCAACAATGCGCTGATGGGCGTTGAGGTACCGAGGCTGGTGCAGAGGTTGAGGGAGACTTTCAAGGCTGATGGTGAGGGTAACAAGGTGCTTACCCGGAGGACGGGCTGGAAGTTGGTGTGGGATGTGAGGAGGAGCAAGGTCACTGTCACCGAGGGTGAGGGTGGCCAGCAGTGGAGCCAGAAGGTGGGTGAGCTCCCACCAAATGTGCAGGAGATCATTGCGAGGGGAGGGTTGGAGAAGTGGGTTAAGAGCCAGATTGAGGCTTGAGATACCTGGTCTTGTAAAGAAGACTGGGTTTGGCTTTTGGTTGTATATAGCATGCATGTATGGCCCTCTTCTTTGCAGGTGATACCATTGTTTCTGCGTTGGTGGGTGGGCTTTTGGAGGATTTTTCTTTTGCTTGGTTACACAAAATTTATGGTATACAAAAATTGGGGGTTCATGAGCAGACAGACGATGGAATGGAAAACTGAGATTTTTGATGAACAATATGTTTGAGTTTTTTTTTGTAAGCAGGGCCGTGGCCCTCTGTGTTTTGTCTTTTTTTTTTTTGACTCTCTTTATACTGTCACTAATACTGTTTTGAAGAACTTCCCTCTCTTTTTTCTTCCTCTTCTTCCTGGCGGTAGTTGTCAAGGTCGAATGGCTTGGGGCCGATGACGGTTTTGGTGATGGTGAATGGGATGGTGTCGAGGGGTATGGGGGTGGTTTTGACGGGGCGGTTATCCAGTACGAAATCCAATATCTGATCCCGGCAGCCGGGAAAGTTGTTGAAGCCGTTGTATTTGTTGTAGACCTTTTTGGGCTCACCGTAGAAGCAGGCGTGTATGGTGCCGAAAGGGCGGGGTAGGACATGAGTGTGGAGGTGGAGGGTGGTGCCGGGGTTGTAAGGGTGAGGTTGTGGGTTGGAGGTGGTCATGGTTGCTGAGTTTACCTATTTGGATTGAGGAGAGAGGAAAGAAGTCGAGAAGTCAAAGGTGAATTGGTTGCAAAAGCCTGAAATTAAGTTTGGTTGTGTGGCCCGCATCTAAGTCTGCGGCATGGGTTCGAGGCCCGAAAGATGTGTGGTAGATAGTTCATTTTTATTTGCCTTCCAAATTTTGTTCTTGTAGATTTTCGTCCTCGATCTTCTGTGTTTTTGTCTCTGGCTCCAAATTGCTATCATCATCATCAACCTTCGTAAGCGCCCTTGATGGAACGCGGTCGGCGGGTATCAACGCCCTCTTCCTCTTTGCTCTTACCACCTTGCTGTGTTTCGTGCTCTTGATGTGCTGTTGCCATAGTTCCTCGGTCAGCAAAGTCTTTTCGCACACCTCACAGTATTTTCGACATGGTGTATCCTTTCGGTTACTCCTCTCAAGCGCCTCGGCCAGCACCTCACGAGCGGCCTCTGAGATTGAGATAGGAGCAGGGAGCGACTCCTTGCTGGTAAGAAACTTCTCGGCGATGTAAACGCCCTTTTCCAAGACTTCTTGGTGCCAGGTGTCGAGATTGGAGCTATCAAGGAGATAGAGCTTGTCCATCAGGTTCTCTTCCTGGAGAGAAGTGAGGGTCTTGGTAGACATCCACCTTAGCTGGTACTTAGCATACTGGCGGGTCGCTGTCTTGGTATCCTCTATCCCGGCAGCCATCAACTTTGCTAGATTGGCCTCATCATCCGGGTTTTCCTTCCGGGCTTGGAGATAAGGCTCGAACTGGCGAAATCCGATAGACTGCCAGATTCCCTTGGAACGATCGACTGTTTCCCCGGTGGCTAGACGAGATTGGAGGTACTCGTAGACTTCAGAAGTTTCGTCTACCAGACCGTTCTTGACCATTTTGTCCACTCGTTTGTCGAGACGAGTGTTGAGGGGGTCGCGATGGGCATAGAGCCAAAAGATGAGAACATCACCAAGACTTGGGTCCTGATATGGCGATCTGGCTCGTTTCTTGGTTTTCTGTTCTGCATAGATTTCTGATGCTGTGCGGCCCGTAGCAAAGTAGATTTCAAGCGAGGTTCGAATCTTGCGGACGTCATTCGGGTGCCATTTGTCGGCCATGGCAGGATCTACTTCGCGAAGTTTGGCCCACATAGCTTCGCCTGAGCTGTTGAGGATGGGATGCTGCGCTGCCAGTTTTTCGCGGTTTGAGATCCAGCCCTCTTCGGAGGTCTTTTGGTTCTCCACAAGTCTCTGGTCAAATAGGAGGCCATCGATGTAGTAGGAGCTGCCACCAACTAGGATGGGAAGTTTGTCTCGGGAACGGATCTCAGAGATCATACGAGTGGCTTCCTGCTTGAAGCGGGTCACGAACCAGGGATCTTCGCCCAGTTCGATGTTACCAAGTAAGTGATGAGGAATCCCCTTCTGCTCTTTGAGTGTGATCTTGTTGGTGATGATGGGCAGGCCTTTGTACATTTGCATGGCATCGGCGTTGATGACCTCGCCGTTGAAGCGGGTGGCCAGCTCAACGGCGAGCTATTATGGGACAGTGGTCAACAACGAACGCCAAGGCTAGATGAGATGCACTTACATCTGACTTGCCGGTGCCGGTTGACCCATAGATGATAATGAGAGGCTTCATTCTCTTGATAATGGGGATTTGTGGTGCTTTTGATACTGGTATCTGCACGCGGGATGCTGTGGAGAAGAGTCGCAGAGTTTGCAGAAAGAACTTCATGTGGGAGGTAGGACGGGATGTTGTTGTGTGCGGCCAGCCAACTATGGATAGGTAAGCCAGCTCATAATTTTGATGAGATTCTCTTTTTCCAGCTCCAAGTTCACTTTGAAGTGAATGTGAGGCTCCCCATGTCTCTCCAACGGTCAATTGGATAAGGGGACCCTTGGCGTTGGCAAAAAGCTTGGTCTGGTCGGAGCTGGCCGCAGGCTGGTCGCTGCACAGGGAAAGGGGGACGTGCGCAGCGTTTTGGGTGGTCAGGGGTCACGTGTGGATCCATTCGAAATTGGACACATCACAGAATAACTTTTGAAGCCAGATCTCTACGCAGCCGCCTCTGCTCCATATCCAGAGCTGAGCATCACCTTCTTCCTTTTTTTCTTCCCCCAATTGCGCCGACGACACTCGCCATCCCCCAGAGTCGTTGTCGCTCACTGACGCCCTTCCTTTTCTTCTGGATGGTTTACTAATTAATTTTTTTCTATTTCCACATCCCACTGCCCACCATGAGTTCTTGTGAGTACCTGACCTGGCCTGACCTGTCTGCCCACTTCCCTGGCGCGTCATGACGACAGCTTCGCGCTGGCCATCAACCTCGCCCAACAACAGCTCTCCCGCCTCTTTGGAGCTTTGCGCCTTTGCAATTGGCATCTCCTTTTGCCGATTCCGCCCTCTAGCATCGCCAGCTCCCACCTGAGAAGCTCCCGTTTGTGACAGTTGCGCTGACCAGTCTTCGCCATGCAGTACGATTTCTCGACCTGGTCAAGCCCTTTGTGCCGTTCCTCCCCGAGGTTCAGCAGCCAGAGACCAAGATTCCCTTCAACCAAAAGTTGATGTGGACCGGCTTGACACTGCTCATCTTCTTGGTGATGAGCCAGATGCCCCTCTACGGCATTGTCTCGTCAGACACATCCGATCCTCTATACTGGCTGCGCATGATGATGGCGAGTAACCGTGGTACACTGATGGAATTGGGTATCACTCCCATTATCTCGTCTGGCATGGTCTTCCAGCTTCTTGCCGGCACCCACATGATCGATGTCAACCTCGACCTCAAGTCCGACCGTGAGCTCTACCAGACCGCCCAGAAGCTCTTCGCCCTCATTCTCTCCGTTGGTACCGCCACTGTCTACGTCTTCACCGGTCTCTACGGCCCTCCCAGCGATCTCGGTGCCGGTATTGTCTTCCTCCTGATCCTTCAGCTGGTTCTTGCTGGTATGATCGTCATTCTCCTCGATGAGCTCCTCCAGAAGGGCTATGGTCTTGGCAGCGGTATCTCGCTCTTCATTGCCACCAACATCTGCGAGTCCATCATGTGGAAGGCTTTCTCCCCCACCTCGATCAACACCGGCCGTGGCCCCGAGTACGAGGGTGCCGTTATCGCTCTCTTCCACCTCCTCATGACCTGGCCCAACAAGCAGAGAGCTCTCCAGGAGGCTTTCTACAGACAGAACCTGCCCAACATCATGAACCTCCTCGCCACCCTCCTCGTCTTCGCCGCTGTCATCTACCTCCAGGGCTTCCGCGTCGAGATCCCTGTCAAGTCGTCCCGCCAGCGTGGTGCTCGTGGCTCGTACCCCATCCGCCTGTTCTACACCTCAAACATGCCCATCATGCTTCAGTCCGCCCTCTCCTCCAACATCTTCCTGATCAGCCAGATGCTCTACTCTCGCTTCTCCGAGAACCTTCTGGTCCGTCTTTTCGGTGTCTGGGAGGCCAAGGACGGCTCTTCGCAGCTCTCCGCCATCTCCGGTCTCGTCTACTACATGTCTCCTCCCCTCAACTTCAAGGACGCCATGCTTGACCCCATCCACACCTTCGTCTACATTGCCTACATGCTCACCGCCTGCGCCGTCTTCTCCAAGACCTGGATTGAGGTTTCTGGCTCCAGCCCCCGCGATGTTGCCAAGCAACTCAAGGACCAGGGTCTCGTTATGGCTGGCCACCGTGAGCAGAGCATGTACAAGGAGCTCAAGCGCATTATCCCTACTGCCGCTGCCTTCGGTGGCGCCTGCATTGGTGCTCTCTCTGTTGCCAGTGACCTCATGGGTGCGCTCGGCTCCGGTACCGGAACTCTTCTTGCTGTTACGTAAGTTTACCCACATCTTCACTCTTCAAGTTGTACATCATGCTAACCTGTGTATCCAGCATCATTTATGGGTACTTCGAGATCGCTGCCAAGGAGGGTGATCTGTCCGGCATGAAGGGGATGATCATGGGTTAAAAATAGCGGATAGCACGCTTGTGCTTCTGTTTTTTCCCATATGAATGAAGTTAGGTAGCCACGATGTCATGATCTCAGCGAGGTCGTCGATACGAAAGGACTACCGGAACATATACCATATACACATTTTTTGATTTATTGTTGTTTGTAATGGCCTGGGGGAGTTGATCATGGGCCGCCGTGTACTGTATTAAAAAGCAAATGTCATAAAGGGAGGCTTCCTAAAAGTGGGCGGGGGGGCGTATTGCATCAGGAGGTTATTACCCAGGAAGTCAATTTGTTAGATGTTTGATAGCGTGGAATGGTCTGGGGCTCAGGCGCTCGGGATTGTTCTCCAGAAACAGGTTACGAATGGGTGACGATTTCCGATGAGGGTGTGATAGTGTACATTAACGTCTGGATGTTTGGGTAGCCTGTAAATACGAAGCGGATATGGGTTCGGCAAGCTCAAAGGGCAGGTGACACGGCAACGTTTGTGTGCTGATGGATGGTGCAAGATGGACCAATCCTATATGCAGGACAGCGTGTACATGCAGCCAGAGGTGGCTCCCATGTGGGAGAGGCAGGATTTGTGTCTTCTAGTACCTTCACCGCAGTCGGATGTTGTGTAAGAGTTACTTGAGATAACGGTCGGTGTGCTGCACCGTTTCTGTCGGCCGTTTTGAGCTCAAAATCAGCTGTCTTGAAACAAATGTTATTGTGGGAGTTCCCTCTGATGTTCAGTTGAAAAAAAGATTCACACTCGATGGTCAAGCAGTTTCTCAGGTCCTTGGCATGTGGTCATGGACAAAATAATAGACTGTAACTTGAAGCAAGGGCCCAAAAGATAATAGGAACATCTTAGTTCAAAGCCCTTAACCAAAAGAGCAGCCTCCATTTCTTTTTTCTCTGATGTGCTTGGTTGGCTGAAGGGTGTTTAAAGCTTAAAATCTTAGCTCCTACCGAAAGCTACTTCAAAATCAATCAACCTTATTTAATTGTCCACTCCAACAGGAACTGCTATCCTCTGGTCCCTCTTCTTGCTGGCTCAGACTCGGGTTATTACTCGATTCTCGCAGGGCTCACCAAGCAAATTCAAGTCAATGTCCAGCAACATTCAGTCCGCGCATAGGCGTCTCGATCCCCATTGTTTTATTCAGCCAATCTCAGACAACAATGGAGATGCACCCATACAGGGAGGGCAACGTCCTTTCTATCAGAACACACGAACCTCCGCAGCCATTTGGATTCCAGCACGGGTTCTTCTACGGGGAATCGCCCCGGGAATGGAACAACTACCAAGGGGATGCTGATTTTCCTTCTCACCTCGACGCTCAAATATCGTATGTCTTGACAACTGTTCCGCTAGGCTCTGGGGCTTTTGAGTTCACGATTACAAAAAACTGTCACTAGCCCCAAACAACAGTCTTTCGACGATCGCCATCACCACCGCCCAGCGCTTTTAGACGAAGAAAGTGATGGCCGTCTCAAATATGACCCAGACTACGTCATCCGGGGGCCGTTACTACCCTGAGGAACTCCCCGAGCTTAGGAGAAAGGATCGACATCTGCCACTGGGTGACGAGCCGTACAACGGTGCGGTTGTGGTTGTCGGAAAGGTTCAACTTCGTGGTGATCAAGCACTACGAAAGTATGCTGCCAGGATTTATGATGGGGCTTACTACCCGGTTAGCCTTGAGGCTGAAGTTTGGAGAGCGGTAAGATACCCAGATGATGGAGTCGCTCCAGACTGCGCAACTCGGGCCGATTTCGACTATGCCGCTGAGGCCGCGGCATACCAACTGGTTCGGAAGTCGCCACAGCTAGGACCCGGCCGAGCTACGCTCGGGTTCCATGGCTCATGGACCTTTGCTCTACCTGGACCAGCGGGGCATCGATGGGTCCGAATGGTCCTGTTGGAGAAAGCCGACGCCAAACCCATGTCAAAGCTTCTCCGGGAGGCGAAACAGCACAAGGCAGGCCTTCCTCTACTTCCCGAATTCGACAGGCTCAACACCCTCAAGAGTGTGACCGACGCAAATGAGGAACTTTGGTGGTGGTGTGAGATCAATTGCTATTAGTTGCGCCCATACGATGTGTTGGTATGCAAGGACGGCACTGCTAAAATCATTAAGCTCAACCGAACAATTCTCCATTCGTTCATTGGAGATATGAAATTACTTCGGCATCCTCGTACGGTGCACCCCGACCTTTCAGAAGACGAGCTCAAAGCCATGGGCGAGCACATTTCGCCTGCGTGGCGGCATTGGCCCTTTGAAGCTGATTCCTACGGCGTACCATCGTGGAAGCTTGTGGAGGCAGAACATCCCGAGGATACGGAAAGAGGTCCATGGGAGGAGTGGGATCCGGAGTCCTGGTTGAAAAATCCAGAGGAGACAGGGATCTGGTTGTTGGGAACCTACCAGAATCACTCCCGGTTCAGCCCTTTGGACGAATCATTCCTTGATGATGAATACTTTAAGGAACTGGCTTTACAACTACTGCAACTGCTTGAGCAGTTAGGCCGTAAGTCAGAGGTGGAGCATGAGGCTCTTCGACTCGCTGGGGAATTAGATAGCAAGTGTGTTAGCTTGAACAAAGAGAGAAAAATGATGAAGAGAATTTTGGTGACTGAGAGACTCATGTATACCCGAGACTTCCCGGCAAGACCCAATAGAACTTTGTTTCCTTCCGGCTTTCTTTCCGACCGTCAAGCTATCATCTCAGGACGCCGCATCTGAAAGGCGTTGAAAAAAGGCCGAGTCAGGATGCCGCTCTCAAGGAGCGGGAGGCGTTGCCATTTTACTTAACCGAAACTTTGATTCTAGGGAAGCCTCCTTTTGAATTAACTTTCAAACCCCGATTTTAAATTTTCACCAGACACTTTGGTTTGCTTGCGCTGCTGCCTCGCTTGCTCACGAAGAAGATCAGTTCCATGTGTCGATGCCACACCTCGCACTCATGGGCCCCTCGAACCAGTGACCTTCACAAGGCTACTCGGCAGCCTGGTTATCGAAGCATGTCGTCACGGTCTTGACTCATTTTAAGCTCCGGCTGCTCGCGCGACTACCACGAATGCATTTGCCCTCGATTACGCTGTGTGATGGGTAAGTAAAACTGCGGAGTCCAGTCGAAGCCACTCTGCAGCCATACGCCATCAAAGATTCCAGAGGGGATTTGAATGGAGGTTTAGAGTTTTGAGGTGTTCGTGGCTTCAGCCAGGTACCTGCAGCTGTGTTTTTTCCTTTGCTCCCTGCTGCGTACACCCCAGCTTTATTCCCCTTAATCTATCACCATCTGAGCCTTAACAAGAAATTCAACATGGAGCAAAAGCAGGATCCAGAAGAACACCCTTACACCAAACGGCACGACTCTTCGCATCAATTCACATGTACTTCCAAGTCCGTTTGGAGAGGCGTATGGGTATGCCTACTGTGGAAAATGGGCCAGGGAGGTGAACAACTACGGTCGCAACTTTCCTCACACGAGAGGGGCTCAACTACAATTTGCTGCGGAAAATCACCCACTCGAGACGTGTCCTCCTGGTAGCGAGGAGTTGGTGTTCACGATTACCAAGACGATCCTGGGTCCCAAGGACTGGCCTTACGAAGAGGACTACGAAGAGGACTACTCTTATGCAGACCTTCCCAGTCTTCAACGCCGAAATCCCCATCTTCCCCTCGACGATGATGAGTACAATGGGCCCATCGTAGTTGCCGGCAGCGTCCAGCTTCCGGGCGAGGAAACGCCCCAAGAATATATCGCCAAGATCTATGACAGCGCGTACTATCCAGTCAGTTGGGATATGGAGTGCCGAAAAGCGGATGATGGTATAGAACCGGACTGCGTGATAGACGCATACAACGAGCTCTGGTGGTGGTGTCAAATCGACCATCGTGAACTTCAGCCCCACGGCGTTCCCATCAAAAAAGACGGTACTGCCGTTGTAATCAATTTTCAGGAAGCCATATTTCGAACGTATGACCGATGGTGCCGCGGTCATGGCTGGAGAATCCGGAGGGAGCGGGATTGTGGTTGCTTGAGAACTATTACAACGACTACCGGTGCCGTCCTCTTTCGGGGCATTTTGTTGACCTCGAGGATCACACGAACAGAAGCGACGAAATTTTGTGACTTCTTGAAAAGCTAGGTCGAAAGTCTGTGGCTGAGCAGGAGGCCGGTCAGTTGCTTGAGCTGAATGACGTAGGGAGCTCTGATGAGGAGGGTGAATCATGCTTAGATCGTGACGGCAGGTAGGATGGAGCCATGGGTAGTGGGGATAAATTGGGGGGGATTTTTGGCAGCATACATAGCCTGAGAAACACCACAATCTTTTCCTCCTCAGTTTGTGACCCTATTTTGAACACAACAATGTGGAAAGAACCCACCGTGACGGCTGGCAATAGATACGTCGTGGACAGAATAATAGAAATTACAAATTGGAATCACGGCTTCAAAACAGAATTAATATGCCTTAAAAGATAACGTACTTTATAAGCGAGTCGGTCATATAAGTGGGTCGGTCACTTTTGACCACCCTTCGAATACCCATCCTCCATTATGATACAACGAAACTATCAACCAACTATAATAACATCAGAAACAGCTGAGTCTGAGGCATCTGCAGCCTCCTGGCAAGTGCGCGCATTATGGCCAGGCTTACCGCATACACCACAGCACTGAACCTTCGTACGAGCCCCCCTTGCATTACTACTATCCGGCTGCGTTTCTTGCACTCCCTCCTTATCCACGGCCTTCTGATCCAGTAGATCCTGTGCCTCTTGTACAGTAAGTGACCCTCCAAGCCTCACACGTGTTTTTTTGGCTCTCCGGCGCTTACTTAGTGCCTCATTGGCCTTACGGAGCGAAGAAACCTCTGCACGAAGGAGAGCCACCTGGTGCATTATAGCCGTTATACCCTTAGTAAGCTGGTCTACCGCAGCCAGCATTGAAGTCGGGGAGCTATTTTGATGGTTGGTAATGCGAGTCTTAATGAGCGTTGACTGTAAGTTGGCTTCTCGAAGGTTATGTGGTATCTGGGAGACCCAAAGTTATGCAGTGCCGGGCCGTAAGTTTAGAGGTATTAGCGTACGAAGCTTTATATCCAGCTTAGAAAGCACCCTCTCTAGATCGTACGGTATAAAGCCAGTACCCGCAAAGCTACCCTGTATATTCTTCTCTGTTATAGAGGCGAAGAAGGCCTCGCGGAAGGCACAGAGGAACTCGAGCTTGCTTATATGGTTAATATACATGCGCATTAAGTCTTCGATCTGGCGACCGTACGCCTGTTTTAACGGCCCAAAGCAGCTAACATCGAGTGGCTGGAGGAGGTGGGAGGAGTGTGGAGGCATGTAGAGCGTGATAATGTTATTCTGCTGGCAGTGGCGCTCGAATTCGGTCGAGTAGTGACTTTCGTGGCCGTCGAGGATCAACAACCGGTATTTACCTTTTCTACGGGACGCTATATAATAATCGAAGTACTTAATCTAATCTAAGCCTACTAGATTAGTAGTCCAGCCATTATCGGTAGTTGCAATACGCCAGGTAGACGGTAGGTTGTACTCGGTATACTAGTTGGCAAGGTGGTACTACGCGGCTAAGATAATAAAAGGAGGGATGGCCCAGCCGAAGGCATTAATTCCCTGGATTACCGTTGCCCATTCGCGGTTACTAGGCTGGGCTAGTTTTGCCTTGCTAAGGCCGTCCGAGGTCGTAACCACCATGCCCGTGAAAATAATGCCCATCATAAACCCAGTCTCGTCGAAGTTATAGATATTGTTATCTACAATACCGTACTTGGCCTTAGTGTTCCGTACGAGCGCAAACCACTCGGCAATAACCTTTGGATCCTCGCACTTGGCCCTCTAGTAATCGTATCTACGCGTAAAACGCGTACGGAGCTATGGCTGGCGTTTAACGAAGTTGTGTGCCCAGAGCTTGCCAACAGGGGACGCGTCGCGTACACGTAGCAGTTGGTTGGCCATATCTTCCACACCACGCAATCTTGGTGGAAAAGCTCGCGTACATAGCTCAATAATGTATTGGACAATAGCATCCTCTTCGGATTGAGTGAGCTTCTTCGATTTGGGCGTGGTATCGCGTCGTGCAGGCCGGCCGGCGCGTCGGTCACGGAGGGTTGAGAATGGTATGTTATATAGCTTTGCTGCGGCCCGGAGGCTTAATTTCGGAGTCTTTTGAATAGCTTCAAGAGCTAAGATTATCCTGGCTTCATTTAAGGTAGGAGACATGTTGGGTTGTAGAGAAAGTTGATGTTGAGTGTAGGAGGACGCGTCGCGGTCGAAAAGTGACTGGCCCACTTATATGACCGACTCGCTTATAAAGTACGTTAGTGAATATGCCTCCGAATGGTATATGAAGACCTTGAAATATATACTATGTGTTGAAAAGATAGTCGAAAGGTATTGAAAGAAAGTCGAGAGGCGTAGTAATTATCTTTCAAAACCTTAACAGATAATTTATAGGTCATGAAGGATAGTAGGTACCTAGTCTATAGGCCTTTCAAAAGATTTGAGAGGCCTGTGATGAGAGTGACGACGTCGTGAAAGTATGTCAATACGCCTTCTAGAACGGTCGAGAGGTGTTTCAGTGCAGTTGAACGACTTTTCAAGATAGTAAGTAGGCACATTTAGCATAAGCTACAGTCCGGAGGGGTGTTGTGTGGTTACGCCATGGTCTCCCTTAGTGTGTTTCAACGTGGCGTCTCGTATTTAGGCTCTGAAAAGAGTTTCGAACATGACCTTCAACTGTTTTTAAAGTTTTTCAGGAAGGAAGGTTTAAATGGTTGTTCCTCGCACATATCCAAGGCACTCTTCGCTCTCACTTTCTCAATCTCACTTTCTCAACCTGAATTTCGAACTTGTTGAATTTCGAAGCAACGGACATCCACCCACCAGTCTCGAGCTCCCATCTGCAGCCATTTCTGTCGTCGGTCGCTGGTCTTATCTGTCCCTCTCCTTGTGGCTAGGTATCCAACAAGTACCCAAGCAAGTCACGTCAATAGCATGGGAGCGAGCAAGATGCAGCATGAGGCTCACCCATACATGGAAGGGTTCACACCCTCTCCATCCGAACACACGAACCCCCTGGGACATTTGGAGTGGTAAATTACCACAGCTATGGAGAGGAAGAGCGAGAATACAACAATTAGGGAGAGTTCGGCTGTGAGCCTCGAGCGCGAGTAGACCGGGTGGAATATGCTCTTGACAACCCACCCATTAGCGGAAAGATTGGCGACGAGACGTTTGAATTTACTATCAGAAAGGTTGTCATTAGTCCAAAGCCCATATATTATGACGAGGATTCGGGGCACGAGGACGATGACGACGATATGGAAGATGACAAGAAGGACAACAAAGAAGACAACACGGAAGATGACGAATACGACCCCGATTATTACATCCCTGGCTGGACGTGTAATTATTCGAACGAGACCCGTGCCAGCCTTGCACTGAAGGACCCCAAGCTCCCTCTTGATGATGACCGATACAACGGCCCAATCGCCGTGACGGAAAGAGTTCAACTACCTGGAGAAAAGGAACAAGGCCCCCGGGAATGTGTTGCCAAGATCTACGATGCAGCTTATTACCTCATCTCCTTAGACGATACCTTTGTACGCAACCCAGCGGGGGATGGCCTGCCTCCGGATTGCGCCACCCCGGGCTGATATGGACTACGCGCTTGAATCAGAGGCCTACTCCTTGGTTCGCGAAGCAGCCCAAGAGCATCCAGATCTCACCAGAGGCACAGTCAGATTCTACGGCTCGTGGATCATGGACCATCCTTGCCCCGAGTCCAAGGAAGGCTACTAACCAGTTCGCATGATGCTCCTCGAAAAGCTCGACGACGCCCAGCCCATGTCGAAACTCATCCGTGAATCTAAGAGAAAGACTGGCAAGCCCTTGCCTTCAGAACTTTTAAAACATCTTATCGATGCCGACAACGAGCTTTGGTGGTGGTGTGATATTATACACAGTAAGGTCAAGCCACACGACAATTCTCGTCAGAAAGGACGGGACCTTCGCGATCATCAACTTCCAACAAGCAACTCTGACAGCTCATGACAAATTTGGCGGAGACCGCTACTCCTCTATTCTTCGTCACTGGCCCTTGAAAGCCTGTATATATGGATATTCCTGGAACGTCATAGAAAACGACAGAAGGAGGGCATACTGCAATGAAACTTCCTGGAGAGAGTGGGTTCCCAAGGCGTGGTCAGACAAATCCTGACCTCGCTGCCCTCTGGCTGTTGCGGACAAATTACGGCGATTTAAATTATGCTCCTCTCCCACAGCACTGGCTCGATGATAAAGACCACGAGAAGCAAAGCAAAGAAATCCTGACTGCGCTGGAGGGCTGTGGCCGCAAGACAAGAGAGCAGGTTGATGAAGAGCTGAGGGTAGTGAGAAGAAGGGAAAAGGTACGTAAGATGAAGAGCTTAAGAAAAGTGATGGCCTTGAGGAGGATTACTATGAGAAAAAGAAGTACGGCGGTGAGAAGGATCATGTCGGCGAACGAGATCCGTTTGAAAAAGAGGATGAGGTTGGTGAGAAGGATCATGATGAGATCGTTGAGAGGCTCATATGCAAGTAACTCGCGGTCGATTGGATGAGTATTCTTTTTGCGCGGACGGGAGACGATGTTGCATATACATTTGTTCGCATGATACCTCTGTACTGAGAAGCAACGGTGAGGGTACCGAGATAGTTTGATGTTATAGCTCATATATTATATATCAGATCTTTCTCGAGTCTTGTGTGTAACGGAGGCTCTGGCAGAGTGCAAAACGCTGGCCGAACGGATGAAAAATCGAGCTTCTCGACGTTTGCGGCCCCACCAACGGATGCAGGTGGCCTTCCTAGCGCAAAGCTTCGCGCTGCGACCACCAGGGGTTGCTGGTTGGCGGACGGAGTCGCATTAGGCAGGATGTAAGCACCAAGCATCTATGTGCATATGTAAGCAGCTCCTAGGCCGAACAGTCATGTCACCGCCTAGGTAGTCGTCTCTAGATGTTCAGACTCACAGAGCAGAGCACGAGATGTAGCACCAATGGTCGCACAATACTTTGTGTAATCCTAAAATTCTACGGCAAAGAAAAAAAGACAAGGGCCTTGACTCGGCTCGGCGGGAACCTCTGCTGGGTTGCAGGGAACATCTGACATCATAGATGGCCCTCATTTGGTAAGCTCCCCACCTGGCTCAGCTTCTGGATCATCGAAGAAGGCTGCAAGTGCGACAGAGAACGGCCTTTGACGCCACAGACCACCATGATATTGCTATCCTATTTATCGGCAGTCAGAGGGCCGGTGTGTTTTTTCTTTTGCTGAAACCCGTCGGGACTGTTGCACGGGACCCCTCTCTCATCACTCAGTAGGTGGGCGTATAGATCTCCTGCCCATGAAATACATTCCCGGCCCGGCTACGAACCTATGACCCCTCCCGCCCGTGGTGGATGGCTCAAGTTCCTTTGCGTGCTCCCGTGCGTCGTCGGCATACCTCTTCAAGATATAGCTATACTCGCGGAAGTGGACAGATACAGTACATGCGCTGTGTGTGGGAGATAGTGGAAGATAGGTAGTTTTGCTTACCATTGCAGCTGCCTTTTTCCAGGACCACCCCAGACCAACCCCACCAGACTAGTGCCAAATGACAACGAAGTTCCAGTTCCAGTTCCAGCGTTTAAACCGCCGCTGGACCCGTCCAGGATTCTCACTTTTCCCCATTGCTGGCGATCTCAGAGGGAAGCATTTCCCATTTTCTTGTTTTCTTCCCGTCCACCACCAATCAACGACGTTTTCCCAGACGTCTTCCCCCGCGCAACACCGACGTCTGGTTCCAATTGACGAACGACAGACACACGTATCCGAGACAGTCACCAACATTACGATTTCGTGGTTGCGCCACGACAACGCGGCCGAAATGGCTTTCGCCGCATGCTCGTGGCCCATATGGCGGACCGACGATTTTACACAATGCTTCAAGCAGGAGTAGGTCCCTACTGTTGCACTCCGTCAAAAAAGAATAATCGCTGACAGTCTTGCTCGCTTCAACCTGTAGCTATCTTAGTGTCTTGCTGCCCTTAATCGTAATAGGAATCTCGTTTCTCCAGCTCGCTCTGCACAACACTTTCCGCGCCGTCAGGTTAAAACGAAGCCGAGGATACGAACCTCTCACCAATGGCGTCACTCCGATTTCGCCTCCGAACCACACAGACCTCCCGGTCGATGAAGAGCCAACACTCGAAAGCGACGACGATGAGGGTCTGGTCATCAATGGCGGCCGGCTTGCGCTGGTCAAAACCACAACCAAGGGATCCATCGTGCAAGCTGATACACCACCCGGGCAGACTCTCTCTGTGGTCGTGGAGGAGCTTGCTATTGCAGGCCTGGTCGCTGTCAGTGTGGTCGGATTGTTGTACGACGTCGAGGTCAAGAACGGCCTGGCTGGTATTGCTGGCCTGACCGTCTGGGTCTATGTCCTGCTCCTTGCAACTCTCCGACTTTTCCTGGGAAATACCCAATGGCGGGTCCCGAGGTTGTGGAATCACACGGCCGCCATCTACAGCTGCCAGTGGCTCTTCGCCCTGGTTCTCTTCCGATCAGTCTTGATTCACACGGTCTCTCAGATGACGCAGGTTCTGGTGATGACCGAGTTTGCCTTGACCTCTGTTCTTTTTGGCATGGCTATCAGCACCCGGAAGGGCAACAAAACGGTGCTTCTGGAGTGGGAAGATGGCATTCCGCCCGGTCGTGAAAACCTGGCTTCGCTGTTCTCGCACTACACCTTCTCCTGGGTCGACTCGATCGTGTGGGATGGCTGGAAAGAACCACTAGAGCTCAAACGAGTCTGGAATCTGCTTCCTAGGGACAAGGCCGCTGCCATTCTCGCAGCTTATCGCCAAGCCAAGAAGACCACCTCGCTGGCCTTCCATTTGGTCAAGTTCTTCAAGGGGATGCTTTTTGCCCAGGCTGCCTGGGCCATCGTGTCTGGTGTCTTCACGTTTGCGCCCACTCTCCTTCTCAAGGCCATTTTGGAATACGTCGAGAATCCAACCGAAGCACCCAGGAACGTCCTGTGGCTCTATGTTATTTTACTTCCTGTCACGGACATCATCCGGTCTGTTGGAGATGCGCAGGCCTTGTGGATTGGCCGCAAGATTTGCATCAACATTCGAGCTATCCTGGTCGGCGAGATTTATGCCAAGGCATTGCGGAGAAAGGCAGCTGCGGGCAAAGACTCCGCGCTTGGGGCTGACAAGAAGGACGAGACCCCAAAGAAGGACGGCATCATCTCCAAGGCCAAGAGGCTGTTGGGGCTCGGGAAGAAGGACAGCCAGGCTACCGCAAACGAGGAGGCTGATGCTTCCAAGAAGGACGCCAAGGCTGCCGACGCTGACGAGCAGGCCAACAACGGCACCATCATCAACTTGATGTCGGTTGACAGTTTCAAGGTGTCTGAGGTCACGGCCTACTTACACTTCCTGGTCGCGTCTGCTCCTACTCAGCTGATCGTGTCCATTCTTCTTCTCTACCAGGTCATGGGTCTAAGTGCCATCCCCGGCTTCATTGTCATGGCTCTACTTCTCCCAATCAACATTGCCTTCGGCAAGGGCTTCAACAAGACCCAGAAGAAGATCATGAGCGCCACCGACAAGCGTATCCATACGACCAACGAGGTCCTGCAAAATATCCGCATCATCAAGTACTTTGCCTGGGAGCATCGTTTCGCCAAGATCGTTGACGAGAAGAGGAAAGCTGAGCTACAGGCTTTGCGCAAGAGGTTCATGCTTTGGGCTGCTGCGGTGGCCGTCTGGAACACCGTCCCCATCTTGATCACTTTCTTCTCGTTCTTTGTCTACACCGTCATCGAGAAGAAGCCTCTGTATCCCTCCGTCGCCTTTACCGCCATCTCTCTGTTCATGCTTCTCCGGTACCCCCTCGATCAGCTTGGTGACATGATCGCCCACGTTCAGGAGTCAAAGGTCTCTATTGATCGTATTGAGGAGTTTCTCTCCGAGGAGGAGACTGAGAAGTTTGAGCAGCTGGGTGAAGACAACATTGACGAGAACGGAGAGAGAGCCATCGGCTTTAGAAACGCCACTTTCATCTGGGGTAGCAAGTCCACTGTGCAAGACGATGGATCTATGGCGTTCCGCCTGCTCGACCTCGATGTTGACTTTAAGATTGGCAAGCTCAATGTCATCACCGGGCCTACGGGCTGTGGCAAGACTTCGCTGTTGATGGCCTTGCTTGGCGAGATGACCATCATGAATGGCCGTGTTCTTCTTCCCGGTGGTCGCAGCCGTGAAGACGTTCGTCCGGATCCCGAAACCGGTCTTGCTGAGACATGCGCCTACGTCGCCCAGCAGGCTTGGCTTGTGAACGCTAGCATCAAGGAGAACATTCTCTTCTCTGCCCCATTCGATGAGGAGAGATATCGCGACGTTATTGTGGCCTGTGCCTTGGAACACGACCTGGAGATCCTCGACAACGGTGATGAGACTTTGGTGGGCGAGAAGGGCATCACCCTTTCGGGCGGTCAGAAACAGCGTATCTCGCTTGCCCGTGCCGTCTACTCGAACTCGAAGCACCTGCTTTTGGATGACTGCCTGAGCGCTGTTGATTCTCATACTGCCCAGTGGATCTTTACCAACTGCATCATGGGACCTCTGATGGCACATCGCACCTGCATTCTCGTCTCACACAACATCCCTCTCTGCGTCCCGCCTGCCGACTTTGTCTTGACCATGAGCAACGGCCGTGTCACAGGCCAGGGTACCCCCAAGGAGCTGATCGAAGCGGGCAAGCTCGGAGAAGATGCTATTCCCAAGTCTACCGCAGGATCTGCCCACGTGTCTCGTGTTCCCTCTCGTGTCCCATCCAGTGTTGGAGAGGAGAGTGGCGATACCCTGCTTAACGAAGCTGACAGAAGCTCACAAAAGAGCAAGCCAAAGTCGCCCAAGAAGGAGCCCAAGAAGCAGGATGCCCTGGAAGAGACCAAGGCTGTTGGTGCGGTCAAGTGGCCTGTGATGAAACTGTACCTTGGTTCCATGGGTGGCTTGGGTTTCTGGCTCTTGGCTGGCCTTGTCTTCTCGGCGCAACAACTTTCCGGTGTTGCTTCCAACCTGTGGATCAAGGAATGGGCTAACCAGTACACCCTCAACGAGACCGCTTCCGCCCGGTTCAGCATGAGCTCTTACAGCTACTCAGCCCAGACCTTGTCGCCGACGTATTTTGCTTCGATTGCTAACTACGCCAAGGGCGATAGCACGACGTTCTCGGCTGCCGACAATAAGGATGTTGATGTCATCTACTACTTAACTGTACTGGCACTGATTGGAGGTGCTGGTGCTTGTGCGGCGCTTGTGAGGGATCTTTGGATCTTCTTTGGCTCTCTGACTGCCTCCTGGAAGCTTCATGATCGTTTGATGAAGGCGGTGACCGGAGCAAGGTTCAAGTTCTTTGATGTTACCCCTCTGGGTCAGATCATGAACCGATTCAGCAAGGATCTGGAAGCTGTGGATCAGGAAGTGGCTCCTATCGCTATTGGCGTCATGGCTTGTCTTCTCGGTATTACTGTCACTGTGGTTTTGATTGCCTACATCACCCCAGCGTTCTTGATTCCGGGAGTGTTCATCACGGCTGCCTACGTTTTCCTCGGCCAGTTCTACCTCCACTCATCGCGGGACCTGAAGCGTTTGGAATCCGTCGAAAGAAGCCCGCTGTTCCAGCAGTTTGGAGAGACACTGAGCGGTGTCACAACCATTCGGGCCTACGGTGACGAGCGCCGCTTCATCAGAGACAACCTTGCCAGAATCAACAAGCAGTTGCGTCCATTCATCTATCTTTGGGCCGCTAACAGATGGCTCGCCTTCAGAACTGATCTGCTGGGCGACTTTGTTGCATTCTTCGCCGGTGTATTTGTTATCATCAGCCTTGGCCAGGTCGATCCAGGGTCTGCTGGTATCTCGCTGAGCTATGCTATTGGTTTTGCTGACAATATCCTTTGGCTGGTGCGTCTTTATGCTATGAACGAGCAAAACATGAACTCAGTCGAGCGTATCAAGGAGTACCTGGATGTGGAGCAGGAAGCCGAGGCCATCGTGGAGAAGAACCGCCCAGACAAGAACTGGCCCGCTCAGGGGTCCGTCGAGTTCATCAACTATTCCACTCGGTACCGCAAGGAGCTGGATCCCGTTCTGCGCAACCTCACGTTCAAGATCGAAGCGCGTGAGAAGATTGGCATTGTCGGAAGAACCGGAGCTGGCAAGAGTTCACTCACACTGGCCATCTTCCGCGCCTTGGAAGCCGATGAGGGTAAAATCTTGATTGACGGTGTGGACATTGGTCAGGTTGGTTTGCGCGATCTGCGTGAGGGTATCACCATTGTGCCCCAGGAGCCCACACTCTTTATGGGAACCATTCGAACCAACCTGGATCCGTTTGACTCGTACACTGATACCGAGATCTTTGCTGCCCTCCGCCGTGTACAGCTCATCGGCCCTGACGAGATGGCTCTTGGTTCTGCACCTATCCCTCCCGCCACGACCGCCGTCGAGTCTATCGCTGCTTCTGAGGAGCCATCACGGCCGCCCACGGCCACGAACAAGAACATCTTCCTGGATCTCTCCTCTCCTGTCACCGAGTCGGGCAACAATCTTTCTCAGGGCCAGCGTCAGCTTCTCTGCCTGGCACGGGCGCTGCTCAAGAACCCCAGCGTGTTGGTCATGGACGAGGCCACTGCCTCGATCGACTATGCCACTGACGCCGCCATCCAAGGCACGATTCGTGAGCTTACCAGCACCATCATTACGATTGCCCATCGCCTGCAAACAATCGTTGATTATGACAAGGTCTTGGTTCTTGACAAGGGTCAGATCGTCGAATACGACCATCCATACAAGCTCCTGAAGAAGGCCAACGGTACCTTTAGGAGCATGTGTGAGATGAGCGGTGATTTCACCTCGCTGCAGGCTGCTGCCAAGAAGGCATTCAAGACCACCCAGCTGGTAGATGTCGATGATGACGAGGAGGAGGTTGTGGCATCATCGTCAGGATCCCAGGCCGGAAGCGGAACCACTGCTACGGCCAACTCAGAGCAACCGGGTGGGTCAACTGCCTAGAAAGCTATTCTGAGGATGATATATGAGGAAGGAAGAATAATTGGGGTGCAAAAGAGGAGGAACACGGCGTGAAAGGTTAGAAGCACAATAAAAGAAGGGTGTTGGTAACCATTATTGGACTGGGATTGTGTGCATGCTGTGGTTTTTGCTTTTTTTCGGAATTAAGGGTACAAGGAACGTGAGGTGTTTGGAACTCTTGTACATAAAAGGGGATAATTGGTATTGTCTTGTCGAGCATCTGTGGACATGACTAGTCCAGAACAGCGGCAGCATAACTTTGCATGATAGGGATTGGAGGGGGAAGGGATGGATGGTATTGGTATGGCTTTTTGCTTGCTGGCTGGTCTTGGGGTTGAGACTGTAGGACTAGAGCATAGCGAGCATGATAGATGTGTATTTTGCTGTTACAGTCAAGAGATGCCAGTTACAGTTTGTGCTTGTCCGTCTGTTTGAGTTGCTGGAGGTATCACGTCTCACTTTGATTCCACCAAGAGGCAGCAAAAATATGCGAATGTCTGTGTGTTTGATATTCTTTCCGAACACTTGAAGAAATATTCTCATTGAACTGAGGAATGATGCAACGTAAATACTATTCGTCGTCGTCTTTATGTTTTGAGATCTTACATTGTATGAGCGGGCAGTGAGATGAGAATGGGCTTCCTACCCCGCCATTGTTGGGGCGAGCTCTCAGCTTGCCCCACCATGAGCCAAAGCTCCCTTTTGCAACTGCCACCACTCACTCGCTCACTCGCTCATTCTCATCACGGCTCAAATTGTTCTTACTCCAAGCATCATAGAGAAAACAGTTTGGTCTATACGCCGGCAAAATGAGCGCCCCAAACGAAAAGACCCCCGCGAAGAAAGCCGGCAAGGAAATCCCACACCCTAGACGGATCCTCGCTGTGTCGTTGGCGCAGTCAGCTGGGGAGTTGAGTGCTGTTATCAAAGGTTAGTTCATTTTACATTTCCTTACTTTCTCAACCACATAGTTGCGGGGTGCTTTGGTGATATCTTTCCAATCCATGCTTTCCTGTTTATCAGATCTCACCCCCTCCTCCTCCTCACTCCCCAATACAGTTATTAACATTTTATAGAACTCACCGGCTCCCACCCCCTCCCATCAGACTCAACCGATGATGAAAACACCCCCTCCCTCGCGGGTACAACCCACCTTTTACCCCTTTCCACACAATATTACACCGCCTCTGTCCCCATCTGGCTTGATCTTGTCTCTTCTCCGCAGGAATGGTCAAGTTCGTTTTTGTCGGAGGAGGCAAAGGAGGTGTTGCTGGTTTTGGGGGGGGTTATTATTGTTGTCGAGCTCTCTCCTTGTTTGTCTTCCAGCATATCAACATCAACGGTAACAGAGCATCAAAGATTGGTTAAAGAGGTTGGGAAGGTGGTCAGGGAAGGGTTGGGAGGGTGGGAGTGGGATGGTGTCGGGCTTGTTATTGGTGTTAGCCAGCAGGCCATAATGGGGGATGACGACGTGTTGGATGAGTGGGAGGATGTTGCTGCCGAGGCGGGGTTGGAGTTTGTGGTTTATACCAAGGGCAGAGAGCAGGAGGAAGGGAAGAGGAATGAGTTTGGGGAGAGGATGGGGATTGCGAGGGTGAGGGAGGCGTTGGAGGCTAATGATTGGTCTGGGGGAGGGGCACCAGGGGAGGAGGGGGATGGTTTGGGTTTTGGGGAGGGGGATGAGGATGACGATAAAGAGTTTGACCCCAAGGGGTTGGGGTATGGCTATGACAGGGAGGATTTTGAGGGGTTGAAGAGGGCGATTTGGGAGCAGATTGGGGAGGAGATTGACACCACGGGGGAGGGGAAAGGGAAGGAGGAGGAAGGGGAGGAAGAGATTGGGGATGATGATATCAGGAGCCTGGAGCAGATGATGGTCAAGTTGCGGGCTGTGAGGGATATGAGTGCTGGTTTGCCCGAGCAGCAGAGGAAGAGGATGGCTAAGCAGGTTGTGGAGGAGGTTATGAGGGAGCTGTGAGCTGTGGTGGTGGGTAGAGCTGTCTTGGGTTGGGTAGTAGAGGGTTGAATCTCGACCCGACTTGAGGACTGATAGCGACCCGGAATCTATACTGGACTTTGCCGAGGTCATACCGGTACCGGGATAATGTCTTTTCCAAAGAATATCCACACCTAAAGAAACACAGTATGGTACTGTATACATCACCACATATGATATATATATCCCCATACATTGTCAGAGATATCCCCCGCCAAGACACATAAACATCCAACTGACCTTCCGATCCCAGGTTAGACCTCCCGTTACAGATTGATGGGGCAGACAACCCTGTGTAGAAGGCCAAGCCGAGACGGTGAACAATGCCCCTCTCCTTCTGCCCGCCAGAAAGGCATTATTGCAGCATGTTCCCTTTTGTGGGGAAGAACGCTCTTCGGTTATGTCAGAGAGTTCCCAACAATGGCAGGTCAAGGTAGCAATCAAATGGCAGTGTAGATCGGTGCATATCCGCCTTTCTTGTTACCTATGCTGTTGTTCTGTTACAGAATTATTATTATCCTGCCGCTTGCATGATTCTGATGTTGACGTGGCAGGTGTTGAAGGGGTTGTAGGGTTCGGGAAGAGGGTGGTTGATGGCTTAAACCAGGTTGAAGTGAGCCGGTTTTTTTAATAATAGATCGATCCAAAACAGCATCGAAGGGGAGCGTTATCTGGGATAGGTCCATACATACACAACCTGTTCCCGATATTGACAGGGTAGGTAGGGTGTGTCGTCCAACCCCCGGAGCTGCTCAAAACGGTAGTTTACTTCAGATTCCGGACTCAACCGCGATTTCAATGGGCGGAGGGACGGTCCAAGCCGCCTTTCGGCACAGCCTGCCGTGCTGAGCGGGAAGTAGTCGTCGAAGAGGCTTGAATTCGGTGAACCAAGCGCCGGCTTCACAACCATGTTTGACTTACAAGTGGTCACCATCAACAGGGAAGAAGCCCTCACCGTCGGCAATGTACACCATCTCAACACCTTACCGGATTTCTGTAAGCGTCGTCTCTTGGCGTCCAATGACGGCGCAGAATCCAGAGTGCTGTCCAACCTCAGGGCTGACACCGAGCGCCACTGTCTTGGACAACTCCAGCTCCCCCACGGCCGATTGGACTGCGGGGTTTCCAGAACGTTTTTCAGGTGATGCCTCCCCCCCTTATGGCTTCCTTCCTTGACTTTCAACGGCCAATACAAGGTGGTATTTTATAGATGTTCTTCAAAGATCGGTACTTTTGGAAGCCTTGAAGGAAGAAACTGACTGACTTTGTCCAGTCATTTTTTTGGGGGGCCGCCATGCCTTTCTCACCACCTATGCATGAACAACACGTCGACCCTCCTCCAATCAGGCTGCCTCCGGTTCCAGCGCATGAACCTGTGCCTGCAGCCTCACGACTGCCCACCGATCTTGTTGTCAAGCGCGTGCCGCTTGTGTTGAGCAAGAGATCCTGAGTTAGGAAAGCATGTCAACATGATGAAGAGCATGATATCTGTGTGTACATAGACATAAGTTGTGAGTTGACCACCCCGAAGAGCCCGTGCTCCAGAGTTGCCGAGAAACCCCTCCGCAAAAACCGAAACGATGCTACCTACCATTGCCCTGTTCTCCTCGCCAAGCCCAAAACCGGCAGCAGGTCTGGCGGCTTGGCTTGGGATAACGTTTCTTTTCTCCCTCACGGGTAAAATCGCCACAACTGCTGAGAGAAGCATAAAAGGGGAAAGGCGCCGGCCTGGTTCTTGGACGCGCCGACCAATTGCGCGACCTTCGTCCGATGGGGGGGAGGAGGACCTGACCTACACGTGTGTTCTGTCGGGAACCCTGGCCAGAGATCCTTGGTCATCTTCAGGGGTAAAGTGGGGCGAACCACACCGTCTGACTTGAGAGAAAAGGAGTGTGACAGTGTGAGCACAGTGCACTACCGTAGCGTAGGGATCTGCTTTGCTGCTGTCTGTGTGTCGCTGTCCAGATCTCCAAAGTCTCGGAACCAACAGCTATTCCCCAAGGCCGAGAATTGACGGGTACATGATGTATATACCGTATGTTGTTGTACGCATGCCCCTGACTATCTATGCTGGTTGGAGCAAGAGGCTTGAAATGGTGTGGTGGGCGAATGCCGGAGTCGACAGGAATGGGGTTCCCTCTTTTCTTTTCTATTTCTGGGTCACTTTCTTGATCCTCCACAGGCAGCCCTGCACAGCATGCATTCCGACAGCCAGCTGCTAACGCCGTTCCCCTCTTGAAAACTCCTCTTTGGGAGGGGAACTACTGTACCTACCTGTCATCTGTCGGATAAGACGCCAGACTGTCAGAATCTCAGACCTGGTACGCCGGTGGTTTGAGACGATTTGGTCATATGTCCGTACCTACAGGTCGGTCCATAACTCGTGAGGCAGGTCGAACGGGACCGTCAGTACGGCTTGAGGGTGTTCTGCTGTGCGTTGTTTCTTAATGGTCCACACAATCCGATCCATCGCGACCGAAGGGAGACGCAAACCACACTCCTGCCGAATCGAGCGTCTACCTACTCGTGGGATTCTCCGTCCTACTGCACACAAAAAGGAGTGCTGCTGCTGACGCCGGCGCCGCAGGAACAGCAACACTAACGCAGGAACACGGCAGGTTGGCACACAGTGTCGAGGGAAACACTGCGCTTCTGCAGGAACAGCAGATGCATTGTGCCACAGGCGGTGGCGATGCTCTGCAAACATCAGGAAAAAAGCACCACCGGCCGAACCAAGGTGGGGGGGCAGTCGAAGTATGAAGCACAGGAGACTCTTGTACACGGCTGTTGCCATGGACTATCCGTCGAGCTCCTCCATATATATTCGTATCAGAACTGTACCTAGTGGAGGTTATCAGATCCTTGTTTCCGTGGTTCTGATATGATCACCACCGGGGACTTTGGCCGTCCTTTCCAGGGCCAGTGCCGGATGGCCGGTCAGGCCCCGAAAAGCTCCACGATGCGCTGCTGCTCGCTGCCCGACAGACGCACTGTGTACGGGATCGCGACTTGGCGTGGTGCTGGTCACTGCTGTTTCCCCTTTTCCTAACCCCCAACTGCAAGTGTGGAACAGAAAGGTTGTGATTGGTCCACCTGTTGCGCCGAACCTTTTGAAGTGAACACCGACAGATTTCCAGCAGGTTGTCTTGAAATGGGTCTCTCGGTCGAGGATGATGTTTCTGGGACCTCAAAGAAGATATCGGCAACCAACAATGGCCCTGAGCCCGGTATTCCAGCGAAAGTTGTGTTGTTCATTGAGTCGTGAACTCCTTGTCGGGTAGAGACCAAAGAGGACAAGCGTGGTGAGAGGTGGTCAGAGTGCGCCGTTGAGAAATGCTCTGGCCACGCACCAACACCCGCAGGACCCGCCAAACTGTGGGCAGCAGCAAGGGACTGGCGGGGTTGTGGTTCACGAGCTTCACATCGGGTTGCAGTGTTTGGTGACTCGAGTCGTGTCTGCGGATCGCTGTGTGACGAACGGCAGCAAAGCACACACAGCTCTCGATGTGTCCCTTGCGTGGGAGGCAGAGGTAGCTCATCCTAAGTGTCCTGGCAGAGCGGTGATGTGGCCTGGAGCGGCCCAGAGTGTAGAATATCGGAATCGAGGCTCGGGTTGCTGGGCACCTGGGGGGCAGAACGACCCCTATTAAGACCAGGCCACCATGCTGGCCATGCCTACTTGGGCACGTTGGGGTGCCAGAACGCCCTTCGCAGAGCCCAGACCAGGAAACCAGTGAGAATTGAGTGTGGTGAAAGGGGCTGATAAACGGAATCCTAGACACTGAGGCAAACACTCGGAGCTGGTCAGCTGTCGAGGTATCCGTAGTGCCTGGTAGGTGCCGCTGGCTTCGCGTCAGGTACGGATGGGGGGACGCGGAGAAGCTGGTCCAAATCGTGTCGCACTTGTTTCACTGCTCTGCATACATACAACAGTAAAAGCCCTGGCCCCGAGAAGCGAGCAGGCTTTTTCTTGCTGTGGACTGAACAGTTATCTTGGATTCAGAGAAACGAAATAACGAAACATACCGGACCTAAGAAAGTAGTACACTAGAATGCCCTGGCACTTGGATGCGGCGTGGGTGGGTGTTGTTGGTGTGGTCACCCTCATCAGGTCCGATGATGGGTGTGAGTGAGCTCTTGGTTCGTGGTGCGGTGGGTGCACAGTTGGCGCGCGCACTGTACGGCTGCAGCTGGTGTCCCGCGATTGGCTGGACAGTCGCTCTGGGGAGCGCTTGACGGGCGAGGGGCCGCCAGACCCGCCCAGTGCGTGGGAGTGGGACGCTGGGCCTCTCTCTGTTCCCTCGCTTTTTTGCTTTTCCTTCTTGAAGCCCCATGTCCCCGTGCTGCTCTTTTTTTCCCCAGTCTCTCTTTTCGTCAACCTCAATCGTCCACATCACCACGTCGCTCGCTCGGCAGCCCATCCTTCCCTCCTTCCCTCCTTCCCCCCCACTTCTTGCTTTGCTTCTCACCACAGTCACTCTCTTTAGAATAAACTAATTCAATTGTATTGCGACCCGTTCACTCCTTCCGGGTCCCATTTTTGCCTTCGCAGCCCCAACACCATAGCCCTAGCCCTCGCCCTCGCCCTCGCCGACGACGATCTCGATCATCGCCGCCGACCGACTAGTACTACTACTACCTACGACCTAACGCGATCGCATATTATTATTACCACCTCCTCCTGCTCCAGCTTCTTGGTTCAGGACCGACGCTCCTTTGCAACTGCTTTTTTCCCATCATAGTTTTCCAGCATTTATTTGTCGAGTCGCGACAACAATCTACACCTACCTCCCTACCAGACAACCGAGCTACGATTTGAAAAATATCGCACCATCTCGACACATCCGCCTAGGCCGAGTGATATCTGCGCAACAATCTAGGTGGAATTGAATTTGGACGACATCACTGCGATCGTTGCCTAATCGCGACATTTATCTACCCTTATTAATTGGTGATACCCCTTGGACGATAAAACAACACAACAAGAAGAATTCAGCAAGATCACCGGGCCCGAAATGGCTACCGACGTGGTCAAGCAAGAGGAGGGCCTGACCCTCCACACTCCTCAGCTCTCGACTTCGCCATGCTCCACCAAATCCTCATTGCCAGCATCTAATGCCACCACTCCCACCAAGGACATGAAGATGGAGACGAAGCCCGGGCAAAGCGCTTCGCGGCGCCCGCCCCGCAAGAGCACTCTCACCCAGCAGCAGAAGAACCAAAAACGACAGCGCGCCACTCAAGATCAATTGACCACGCTCGAGATTGAGTTCAACAAGAATCCCACACCCACAGCTACCGTTCGTGAGAGGATAGCGGAGGAAATCAACATGACCGAGAGGTCTGTTCAGATCTGGTTCCAGAACCGGTAAGTTTTGTGTGTGTTTTGTCGATAGTTCGAATCTTCGCTAACCACTCACAAAGACGTGCCAAAATCAAGATGCTCGCAAAGAAGAGCCTCGAAAGCGGCGAGGAGTTGGATACCATGATTCCTGAATCTATGCGCCAATATCTTGCCATGCAAGCCATGGAATCCGGAAAGAGCATCCCTGGCTTCTTCGGTCGCCCGGGTCCGTTCCCCTATGGACACCAGGGCATGATGGGCGCCGAGCAGGGTGGCCAGGGCAAAGTTTGTAAGTTGTTTTTCTAATTCGGCATAGCCAAGTACGTGAGCTGACTGATTGCTTTCAGTGATTCATCATCTCAACTGCCGCTCGCTCACCATCGGAAGATGGACCCGTGTTGGGCAGAATGCGATGGATCTCATCGTTTTCTACTCCCCTGACAAGTGCACCATGACCTACTACATCAACAACGAGCAGGCTGGCTACAAGATCGAGTACCCATTCTCCTACATCAAGAACATCTACCTCAACAACTCGGATGATCACCACGCTGGAATCACGATTGAGCTGCTCGAGGCTCCCTTCTTCTACATGGACTCGGCGACCACCTCGACCTTCATCCAGGTGAATGACTTCACTGAAGACCTGCAAGCTTCTCGCTGCATGACCCACCACCTCGGTGGTAACCCCAAGGCTTTGAGCGGTCAATTGGCCAAATTGGTCAGCCTGGAGTCGTTCATGCACCGTCATACCGCGCCGCCTCCTCCTCCTCCCCCGATGTTTGACCAGCTCCACACGCTCTCCATGTCTGCCCCCGTGTCGCCCCAGGCCAGACCCTCTTCTCAGCCAAACTTTGCTCAGCCGCATGTGGGCATGTTCCAGGAAACCCAGTGGGGAATTGCTGCTCAACATCACACCATGATGATGCGTGGGCCAGGCCACAAGAGACAGCGTAGTCGCAGTGTGCCAGGTCCCATCGACTTCCAGACCATGCAGCTTTTGCAAAACCCCCCGAGCTTCCACATCACTCAGCCAGAGGGCCAGCCACACACGCAGAATCCACACATCTTCAGCCCAATTCCCCAGCAGCCCAACATGCTTGGTCCCATCGGGCCAAATCTGCGGATCGACACCCGTGCTGGTTTCGGCAGTCTGGACATGCGCCAGTATCCTCTCTCCGCGACAACAGCCCCCTCGCCATCAGAGTTCTCGAGCCCCAACTACTTTGCCTCGCAAGCTCCAGAGCCCAACGGTCTTCCTGCTGGCAGCTTCACGCCATATAGCGGTACTTTCTCGCCCATGGTGAATCCTGCCAGCCTGGGTGTTCCTCCGCCTTCCATCTCGCCGCTCTCATTCAACCATCCCGACCCGGCCATTGTCGGCGAATCTCCTCCCATGTCGATGCCGCCAATGTGCGATGGTTCGGCCATTTCCGATGACGGCAGTATGAATGACATGTACCCAGGCAACAAGCACACCATGACGTTGCCGCTTCACCCACATTCGCCCTTCATGGAGCAGAGCCAGAGCGAGATAGAGCTGAACCAGTACATGGATCTCAAACATTACGACGTGGATCCGGCTTCTCTGTCGCCAGAAAGCGTCCAGGCCCAATAGGAAACGGTTTTCGGTTCGGCTTTTTCTGCGGCGTTTTGAGAGGATTTTCGTTGTACATACCAGGGAGCTTTCGTGGTTATCTTTCCTAGCTTCCAACACACCAAAAGTTCACGACATATTTCACTCATCTCCGATCTACACTGCCAAACTCGACCCCCCACCATCGAAATCTATTTTGAATTTCATTCTTGTCCCATTTCATCATTTAGCCACGACTTTGCATGACGATACCCACTCTTCGTGCTCGTCTGGCACAGCGGTTCCGGACTTTTTCACATCTCGTTTGGCATCCCACTTCGTTGCGTTTTCGTCATGTTGATTTGCGGATTATTTTCTTCGTCCATCAAATTTCGATACTCCGAGGACTTTTGTGTCTTGCAGCGGTCCTGGGAAAGGCTTTAATAACTATTCCCTTTTTCGTTATTTATTCCGATATTTTTCTTGTTTTCTTTGAGCTCGTGGTCTGCCAGGAAAACAACCTGGTGGGCTCCGAGAAAAGCGATGAATGGCGAGGCCCAGGAGGCTGATTTATCTGGTACCGAGGTTCTAATACTGGGGCTTTTTCTTGCGCTGCGTATAACTGGGAAGGCGGATTCGGGAACAGGGAGTTGATTTGGGAAGGCGCCGATAGCAAAATGGCGGGATCAGGAGAGGAAAAGAGACAGAGCAGGACCAGAGGCCGGGCCGGGGACTGAAGGGGAGAGGAGAGAAGGGGTGAAAGAAGTCTCGATGGATGGAGAGACAGAGAGAGAGAGAGAGAGAGGATTCCCGGAGTGGTGTGCATACATATAGGAATGGACTCGCCACTTTGTTGCTATTCAGCTGCTATTTTGGTGCTGTGGGGTGTTAGGTTATGACTTCACGGCAGGATCCTAATTGAAAACACAATACCACTGACTTTGTGCTCTTTCCATGTGAATGGATCATAGGTCTAACAAGATCTCACGATTACAAGGTAGATAGATAGGAACGGCATTACGTGATGAAGGCTACGCTTTGACAGCAGTGGATAAGGCTGATAAGCGTGGGGTTAGGTTGGGGAGGAGGGTAAGCTTCGTGAAGGCCCTACCACGGAAGCTCCCATCCCTCGAGTCCAAGCAGTGCCCGGAGGAGAGGGGATGAGATGCAGATGACCTGCAGCGAGCCGCCCGGATGAGTTACGCATGCGCTGGCTCTGGAACAACGGGAGAGGATGGAGGGGCCAAGAAATAAAATCGCGCCGTTGCATTCGCGTGTCGCCAGCCAGCTGGTGATGTCTTTTTGCCTGGTGGAAAGGGAGAGGGAAAGGGAAAAGATGGTGGTGATGATTAAGGCTGGACAAGCTTTCTCGGTTGCATAATTTGGGGCACAGCAGAGCTGTTGGAGGCCGGATGGAAAGGGGAGGGGAGACACTGTGCCCCCCTTTGCATGAAGTGTGAGATCTGATGTAAGGTCATTTTTTAGTTTTTTTTTGCCTGCCGCTGCTATGTAGGTAAGGTACTATATAGGGTTGGGTTCTAGGCCGGTCTCTGACAGGTTTGATGGATGTCAGGTTGGATTTAGCAATGGGTGCTAGATTGGGAGTGAATGCACAGCCGGGAGGTTTAAACTTGTTACTGTCAAACCTGTCAAAACTGTCATCTTTAAGGTTCCAGAGCCATGGACACGATTGCATGTCGTTGATATGACAGGTGGTGTCTGTCACTCGCTGCAACTTCAGACTTGGAAGAAGAGGATAGGGGTCCACACTACACACACCACACACACCACACACACCACACACCGCAATCCAAGATGTGGTGTGGCGTTGTTGGGGTCAGGTGGTGGTTTTATACGGGAGCTCAAACAGGCAACTCGAATGCGGTGAATGGATACCGGAGCTGGGGGTGGCATGGGGGGTGCCACTTTGTGTTGTGTGTACGGATCAGCCAAGAGGTTTAACCGGAGGTGTATTCCCAGAATGAGCGGTGGGGTTGGAACCGTGTAGTAGACTTTCTTTGCATATGCTGGGTAGGAGAGACGGGGTTTTAGAAAAGGCCGGACGGGGTGGAACGGAGGAGAGCGATTGATAACAGAACGGGGCCGGACGATGATGGCGAGCTGGCCGGATGGTGGATATGAGTGTTGCGCGGATGATGATCTAGTGGGGTTTCTTGTTGCGGTGCGGACTTGGAAGAGGACCTCGGCGGTGTCTGGACTTGCCAACTTTTTTTTTCTTGATTTGATGAATGGTGTTGTGTCGAGGACTTGTTTCCGGCCGGTTGCATTCCTATCCAATCACTTGCACAGGCCACCTGTTCTTGTAGACAGTTTTTTGCAACACTTTCTCAACATTATCACTACGACAGACGGCGAGAACGTCAGGCTGTGGATTCTAGGATCGGGCTTTGTCTTGTTCTGAGTTGACTTCTGGACCCATCTGATTATCACAGCCACAACACAAAACTCGGCACGCGCGCGCGCAGCGCAGGGGGGGGGTTGCGACAAACGTGGGACCGACAGAAGCAGCCGGGATCCTTGCATATCGGACTTCAAGCATTTCAGCCGCCAAGCATACATCGAGGTGTTCCCAGCTTTCTACCGAGCGTCACACTTGCTCTCTTTTCTCTTTTTGGCCTCACTGCTTGCAACACGTTTTTCCTTGCCATACCACAGCATCCTCCCACCTCCCTTTGTCCTAGACAAGCAAGGACACCACCAATCGGGTCATGCCAGCCGCACCTTGACACGCCCCCATCCCACCCACCTCATCCTCCCCCAATCCCTTTGTTCCACCGAGCCCTTTGTCTTTTGCGCGCGCAGGTCGTTCGTCAGCTCTAGCACTATTTCGGTGGCATGGCGCCAGGGAGCCACCATGACGCCGCAGAGGCGCTCAGGACGAGGCTTGAGCAAATCGAGTTACAGACCTCGCAACCCGCGCCTACTTCGCCCAGTGTCCCGCAAATCTCCCTGCCAGAGCCTCGCGAGCCGTCTTCTCGCAGCGGTACAAACACGCCCACGAGACCATCCCTGAGCTCGCCCCCAACTCTCGCCAGTGGTCTTCCTCGAGCTCGTCACTCCTTGGACAGCAGCAGTTCACGACGACCGCCACCAGCGCTTAGAGTCAGAACAGGACTGTACAAACTCGAATCATCGCAACAACTCGGCCCGTCACCAACACAGCTCGCGCAGGAAAACAGCACCCTCTCCCCTCCGCTACCACCAGGGCGAATCTCCACCAGCTCCCAAAGTGCCTACCGAGCCCCTACCGTCTCGCGCATAGAAGAGTCAAGGATCTCCCTCACCCGCCCCCGCCAAACATTTGACGAAAGGCGCAACACCGACGTCCAGCAGCTGGCCTTGGACAACAGCAGCAACAACAACGACAACAACAACAACAACAACACCTCGAACAATATGGCTCCCGCAACCTCAGCCACACCCGACGACGACGACGACGACGACGGAGAACCCCGAACAAGCTACACTTCCGTCCCTTTAAACTGGCTCTCCCGCCAAAAAGCCCGCCACCGACAAACAACCCGTAAACAATGGCACTCGTTCAAAAAGTTCGCAGCCCCTTATTACAAGAAATACGTCCTCGAAACCCTCCTCCGCCAGAAACCTATCCCTCCGAGCAAAGACGGTCGCCACATTTTGCTGTCCCCGGGAAGAGCAAGGAGGAAACCGTTCAAGGATGAGAGAACGGGGAAGCCATATGTGTCCAACGCGATTAGATCGAGCAGGTACACCATCTGGAGCTTCTTGCCGAAACAGTTGTTTTTCCAGTTTAAGAAGCTGGCGAACTTTTACTTTTTGGTGATTGGTATTCTGCAGATGGTGCCGGGTCTGTCGACGACGGGGACGTACACGACTATTGGGCCGTTGTTGGCTTTTGTGGCTTTGAGCATGGCGAAGGAAGGGTGGGATGATTATAGGAGGTACAAGCTTGACGTGAGGGAAAATAGGAGCGGGGCTTGGGTCTTGGATCCCGAGGCGGCGGCTGGGGGAGGGCAAGGGAGGAAGGGGAGATTACCAGGCGGTTTGGTTAGGGGGGGCAAGAAGACGGAAGGGGAGGAGGGGGAGATGACTGTGCTTGAGCTGAAGGGGACGGAGAGTGAAGGGGGGGTGGTGGAGGAGAAGCCGAGTCAGTGGGTGAGGACGGAGTGGCAGGATATTAGGGTGGGAGATGTGATTCGGTTGGAGAGGGATGATGCGGTGCCGGCGGATATTGTGCTTTTGCATGCGACGAACGAGAACGGGATTGCGTATATTGAGACCATGGCGTTGGATGGGGAGACGAACTTGAAGAGCAAGCAGGCGAGCCCGTTGCTGGCGAAGCATTGCGCTTCCGTGGCGGGGATGGGCGCGGTGGAGGCCGAGGTCGTGTCGGAGGATCCGAACATTGATCTTTATAATTATGAGGGGAGGGTGACGGTGGGTGGGGAGACGAGGCCGTTGACGTTGAATGAGGTTGTGTATAGGGGTTCGACGCTCAGGAATACCAAGGAGGCGACGGGGCTGGTGATTAATACCGGGGAGGAGTGCAAGATTAGGATGAACGCCAACAAGAATGTTAGGGCGAAGGCGCCAAAGATGCAGCGGTCGTTGAATCGGATTGTGCTACTTTTGGTGGTCTTTGTTTTTGTTCTTGCGGGCGGTCTGACGGCTGGGTATACCATGTGGAGGAGGGACGAGGAGTGGAGGGCTTTCTATCTCTCCGGAGAGACAGTTCAGCTGAGCCACGTCTTCATCTCGATGCTGATTGCGCTCAACACGTTGATTCCGCTGTCGATGTACGTCTCGCTGGAGTTGGTGAAGCTGGGTCAGCTTCTGCTGCTTCATGATGTTGAGATGTACGACGAGGTCAACGACACACCCGCGAAATTCAACACCACGACCATTTTGGAAGATCTGGGGTGTGTGGGCTATGTCTTTTCCGACAAGACGGGCACTCTGACTGAGAATCTGATGCAGTTCCGCAAGATGAGTGTGGCGGGCACAGCATGGCTACACGACATGGACGTGTCCTATGTTGCTCCTGAAGGCGGCCGCCCTTCCATATCTGGACGACCCTCCATGTCCCAGCGGCCTTCCTTTTCTGGTTGGAAGTCGTCTGTTCGCCCGACAAATGCTCAGCCTGAGCTGAGGACGGACGAGATGATTGACTACATTCAGAAGAAGCCCAACACGCCCTTTTCCCGCCAGGCGCGGCAGTTCATCCTTTGTTTGGCTCTTTGCCACACTTGTCTTCCCGAGGAGGACGAGAACGGCAAAATCGATTATCAGGCTGCGTCTCCCGACGAGTTGGCTTTGGTGAGGGCTGCTGCACAGCTTGGATACATTGTCGTCAAAAGAACCACGGAATCTGTCACTGTTAGAATGGAGCACGGGACTGGCGCGGACACTGAAGAGACTTACCAGATCCTGGACGTGATTGAGTTCAGCAGCAAGCGGAAGCGCATGTCGATTGTTCTTCGCATGCCGGATGGCAGGATTTGTGTCTTTACCAAGGGTGCCGACAGTGTGATCCTGCCTCGGCTGAAGCAGAGGACTCTTGCTATGCAGACTGCTACTGCTGTTGAGCGCAGGGCCAGCATGCGCAAGAGTGTCGAGCAAGAGAAGGCTTTTCAGCGACGTGCTAGTTTGCAGACCCCGGCGGCGGCACAGCGTCGCAGCATGGATCTCATGCGGAGATCGCTTGCCTTGGACAGGAAGAGCAGTTGGCGAAAGTCAATGGTTTCTGAAGGTCTTGACAACTGGCTTGCTCGGCGTGAAGCTGATGGCTTGGATGCGCCGGGTAATGAAGAGGCCTATCAGACTCCGCGCCAGTCCATGGCGCGAAACAGGTCTTTGGAGCTTGCTCGGTTAGCTGCGTTTGATCCTTTGGATGGGATGGTCGACGAGCAACTTGCTGTGAACGAGGGTGCCGTTTTTGAGCGGTGCTTTCAGCATGTTGATGACTTTGCTACCGAAGGCCTGCGGACCCTGATGTACTCTTACCGCTACTTGGAAGAGGATGAGTACAAGGCGTGGAAAGAGATCTATCTCGAGGCTACCACCAGTCTTGTCAATCGCCAGGAACAGATCGAGAATGCCGCCGAGATTATCGAGCAGGATTACGAGCTGGCCGGTGCGACCGCGATTGAAGACAAGCTCCAGCAGGGTGTCCCCGAGACTATCGACAAGCTCCGCCGAGCCAACATCAAAGTCTGGATGTTGACTGGTGACAAGCGCGAGACTGCCATCAACATTGCCCACTCGGCCAGAATTTGCAAGCCCTTCTCTGAGGTTTACATTCTCGACGTCAGCCATGGCGACCTGCAGGACCGTATTAATGCTACTTTGACTGATGTCAGTCGAGGCATGGCTCCTCATTCAGTGGTCGTCATTGATGGACAGACCTTGACCATAGTCGACGACGACCCCCAACTTCGTCTGCTCTTCTTCGACCTTGTTGCCCGCGTCGACTCGGTCATCTGCTGCCGCGCCTCACCCTCTCAGAAAGCTAACCTGGTCAAATGCATTCGCCGCCAAGTTCCCTCAGCAGTGACCCTCGCCATCGGAGACGGCGCCAATGACGTGGCCATGCTTCAATGCGCCCATCTCGGCATCGGCATCAACGGCCGCGAAGGCACCCAAGCCGCCCGCATCTCTGACTACTCGATTGGCCAATTCCGCTTCTTGTCACGCCTGCTGTTTGTCCACGGCCGCTGGTGCTACGCCCGCACGGGAAAGTACATTTTGGCCACCTTTTGGAAAGAAATCGTCTTTTACCTCATCCAGGCTCAATACCAGCACTACAACGGCTATACCGGCACCTCCATCTTCGAGTCCACCTCCCTCGCCGTCTTCAACACACTGTTCACCTCTCTCTGCGTCATCCTCCCCGGCATTCTCGAAACGGACCTCTCGGCCGAAACCCTGTTGGCCGTTCCAGAACTCTACTCCTTTGGTCAGAAATCTCAGGGTTTCAATTTCAAGCTCTGGGTGTACTGGATGGTGTTGGGAATAACGGAATCAGTCATCATCTTCAACTGCGTTTACTACCTTTATACTCTCGCGCCCTACCCAGTCGAGACAGACCTCTACTCGGTCGGCACGCTGGCTTTCTCCCTGGCGGTGGTGTTTATCAACCTCAAGCTCTTTTTGCGAGTGAGGAACAGGAACGTAATCATCTTTGTCGGGTTGTTTCTCTCCATCTTTGGGTGGTGGCTGTGGAACATCTTGTTGGCGGTCATCTTTAAGCCGTCGCTCGGTCCTTACATTGTCGGTGATAACTTCTTGACGGGGTACGGAAAGGAGGGGTACTGGTGGATTGTTCACTTTCTTGCTCTGTCTGCGCTATGCGTTTTTGAGCTGGGAGTTGCGGCGGTGAAGAAGACATTTTGGCCGACGGATCAGGATCTGGCGCAGGAGATGGAGGCGATGGAGGGTGTGATGGAGGTGTTGGGGATGCACGCTAATCGGTTGGAGAAAGGGGAGAGTTGCACGGTTGTGGTTGGGGGGAACGCGGAGGAGGGGGATGATGAGAGGGGGGGGAGGAAGCCTGGGTTTGGGGATGTGGCGAGCTTGAAGACTGTGACGAGCGCGAGTTCGCCCGGGCCGGGGTTGGAGAGCGGTGGTGGTGGTGGTGGTGGGGGGGGGTTGATGCCTGGTTGGAGGGGGGGTAGTGGGCAGCAGAGGCCGCCGGGGGTGAGGAAGATGGCTTCGGCGGAGTTTGGGAGGGCGAGCATGAGCCGGTTGAGTAGGCAGTTTACGCCGCCGGTGGAGGAGAGGGAGAATCCGATAGATGAGTTTATGAGTAAACAGGAGCGGCAACAGGGGGTGAAGAAGTGAAAGGGGGAAATGATGAGTGATGAGGGGTGAGGGTGTATATATGGGGTATGAAAAGTAATGTTTGGTTTGTTTGGGGGGGGGGGGGGGGGGGGTGGTTGGTTAGAAAAATTCCCAACTGGGTCGTTTCTTTTCTTTTTTTCTTTTTGTGGTGCTGCATTCTCAAGGGAAACATTTGGGTGTTTTTGGGCGTTCTATACCACCATTTTGATGCATGTTGGAAGCGCAAGCTTTTGTTCTTTTGGCAGAGATGTATAGAGAAGGAGGACATATTGCTGTATTTAAGGGGCCCCAGGGATGGGAGGCAAAAACTGGTGTAGTGTCGCATGTACACACACACTTTGCAACCGAATAAGCATCATTGTTATTATCAGATGTCAAGGCCTCTCATGCAGTTCCCGCACCAGCCGCAGTCCTTGTCGCAAGCACCGTACTCCATGTCTGACTCTGGAAACTGGAATCTGTAGTTCGATGTCTGTGGTGCGGCCCAGACTCGATCGCCGCTTCTTCTCTTTCTTGGAGCTTTCTTTGGGCTTTCGCCGTGATGGTTTGGCGAGTCTGCTTGGTGTTGGAGCACGGCTTTTTTGGTCTTGAACTTTTTACCGCAGCATTGGAAGTTGGGCTTTTCAGTCTTGGCTTCAGTCAGAGGTTTGGGCTCAGCAGGGACTGTGGTGGTTTCTGCTGGGATGTTTGGGGTACTCTGAACAGAGGTCTTCTTCTTCTTGTTGTTGTTGTTGTTGTTGTGTGGGCTCTGAGTTGTGCTTTGAGGATGGTCTTTCTGTGTGTGTAGCGGGGAATCTCGGAGGTGTTGATCGCGGGCTTCGGGTGTGACGAAGCGAGCACCGCATTCGCACGAGGTTGTGTTGTGTCTTGGGGAGTCGAGTTTGTGTTGTTTGAGGGCTTGGGCGTTGGCTACGCGCTTGCCGCAGTCACACAGGATGGTGTTCATGACGCTGGGTGGTGTGTAGCTGAGGATAGTCTGTTTCAATACTTTATTCAAGAGGAGGGACGCGGTGAAGATGGAAGAATTCTGGAAAAAGAAGCGTCGTGACATGAGAATAGAGGTTGTGTTGAAGAAGAGACATCGGATACTGATGGCCTCGTTTGCAGCCTCGCAAAGGAGTGAGGGGGCCAATCACGATGCCGGTATCTGTTAATTGGTACCTAGGTAGCCAACAGGCCTCCCAGGATGGTAAGTAGGCCTCGAAAGATGGTCAACAGACCTTGTGATATATACAAGAGACCCATTTCCCCTTTAAAGAGATGTAGGTTTATGGCTGTGACACGTTTTACTGATTTAAAGTAGGTATTATTTTGTCTACGACGTGGCCAGGTAGATACCTATCAGGGGCATATCTCAGCATGCGCTGAGGCCTACAGAACGGTTTGCAACTACATCCAAGGACCCAGAGTACTGCATCTATCTCACCTGACATCAAGTTTTTCACAGTCAAAATGATGGAAGGGTTTGTTCATCACCATTATCTAGGTATGTCCTCCAAGAGCAGGGTATTTCAAGTATTTCCACTACAGAAACTCACTCACATCTTACACCACCCCCCAACTCACTCCTCCCCCTCTCCCACCCTAATGACCACCTTCCCAGCCGCATGCCCCCCCATCAGCACATCAAACCCCTCCTTCACCTCCCCCCACCCCCAAACACTATCCCTCACCACCCTCACCCTCCCATCCCCAAGCATCCCCGCCAACAACTCCATCATCTCCAACCCCGGATCACCCAAACTACAAATCTTGAACCTCCCTCCCCGTCCCCCCCAACCACTGCGCCCTCGGCCAGAGTATATTTCAACCCAATCGTCACCACCGACCCCAGCCAAATCCCACAACCTATACGAAGCGTAAGTGTATACTAGCCGCATCATAAACCCCCCCCTCCTTCAAAAACCCAGCACAAGAATTTATACAACTCCTGATTCCCATACCCATCAATAACATGATCAAACCGCCTCCCCTCCCCACCAAACCTCTCTGTTAAATACCCAGGCAGGTCCTTGTGAAGCGTATAATCCACCACCTCATCCGCCCCCAGCGACCTAACCAACCCCTCATTCCGACCAGAGCAAACACCAGCGATATACCCCCCCAGCCCAACAACATCACGAACAATCTGCACCGCCGCGCTCCCGACCCCACCGCTAGCCCCAACAACAAGGATTCTATCCCCCTTTTTTACCCCCGCCTGACGGACTTGAAGCAAGGCGGTGCAACCGGCAAGCATCAACCCCGCCCCGTCGATGGGTTTCTTTCCTTGGGGGAGTCTGACGCAGTATTTTGCCGGGATGGGGACAATCTTCTGGAGACCGCCGATTCCTGTCTTGAGCATGTGGGGGAGGGGTGGGAAGCAGATTACATTGTCCCCCGGGGAGAATCTTGCCTGGTTGTGGGACCGGAGGACGGTGCCGCAAAAGTCAAAGGCTGGGACGGCGGAGGGGGTGGAGTGCAGGAAGAAAGGCATGGCGGTTAAGCTGACTATGTCGCCTGGGTTGAGGGCTGCGTGGGAGACGGAGATGAGGAGGGTTTCTTCTGATGAGTTGGAGGGAGGGAAGTTGAGAGGGTGGGAGGTGGTGAGGGTGAGGGCTGTGCGGGGGGTTGAGGGGGAGGTGTAAGTCCAGGCTTCGGTTGTTTTTGGGGGTGATGTTGACATTGTGATGGCTGAGCTTTGGGATTTGAAGGGTGTTTGTTTGATTAGCGAATCCGGCCGCTGTGGCTTTCAAGCGTCGGCTGGTGGTCGAAGAATGTACGTAAATCGATGAGAGGCTGGTGTTGGCCATTGAGGGTAAGCTGATCAACGACCACCGAGACGGGCTACACTGCCGATATATAGGTGAATAAAGTGTCGTCTTTGGTCTTATCTTTTCGAAAGTACTGACCAGATGGAAACCATGCAGACCAATTGTGCTGTCGTATGTCTCCGAAGCCATGCGCTGCCAGCCGCGTAATCCTCCCGCTGCCCGCTAACCAGGCTCGTTTAGCTGGCCAATGCTGCCAACCAAACAAAGAATGTGGCGCCTTGCTCAGAGTCACCGAGCTGGACACCGGTATCAAAACATGTGAAAGGCCAAAAGAAGCATTAGACTACGTAAGGTTATTAAACTGCAGCTCCAGGAAGACACAAGAAGGGCTATACACGTGCTCTGACACCGCGCACCTAGTTTGCGGGCACAGCCGGGGCAGCTTCTGATGCTGTGATCTCGGCCGTCTTGCCCTCAACCGCAGGTGCAGTGGCAGTCTTTTCTGTCGCAGAGCCAACTGCAGCCGCAGTCGCACCAGCCAGGTAGTCCTCCGACTCGCCAATTTGCTTCCCACCAGCAACCCACTGTTGCCACCTAGCCTCCCGTCTTCTGTTGCAAAGTTCCTGCAGAGCTGGCCAGTATTGACTGTGATCGTACTCGAAAGCGAGCTTGCCGCTGCTGAACTCGGACCACATCTGCTCCGTCGGTACGTACTTGCTCATGTCTTCATTGAACGCGAGCTTCTCGCGTGTGTGAGGGTCGATGAACGGTGTGATGAGCTTGAAAAAGGCAGTCACTACCCAGGGCATGTTGATGATAAGCGCCTTGCCCAATCTTTCGGGGTAGTGATTCTGAAGAATGTCGAGGACCTCGCGTGCCAAACCGATTCCAGGTGATGTGTTGGACCGGGATTTGCTCTGCTTGAAGTTGATCAAGAGCGCCAAGGTTTCTTGCCCGGGTGGCATGATGTCGATAACGCGCTCCACCATAAAGACGAGATGTTGGACCTGACGAGGGGAGGCCTCGGTGTTCTGACGGCCTGGGTTGAGGTAGTGGCAGGGACGGCCTTCCTTGTCGTAGCCCAAGAGGATCTGCTTGCCGGTCTCGTTTTCGGGGGAAATATGGTCGGCCGTCAAGTCCTCCACTCCATACTCTCTCCTCCAGGTGAGGGTCTTGAGCAGACGCTTCTCGGCTTCCTGCTGATTCCACTTGGTAGCCCTCAGATAGCGAAGCAGGCATTCCTTAGTCAGCCAGAACTTCTCGCTATCGGTGGGAGGGCCAGCCTTGCTAGTGGAGGGGATCTCTGTCCAGCCCTTCACTCGCTCGAGAAGCCAGTCATACTTCTTTTGCTGCTCGGCGTCCAAGGAAGGGCGTGGTTTGGGCTGGCTGCCAGCAATGGGAAAGGGCAATGGTAGTTTGAGAACCTCAGCCATGTTGATGTCTTGGAAGGGTTGTTGAGATGTATGCCCAAAGACTCTGAAAAGAGGTTAGCAAGAGGTATAAGTAGTTGGCAAGGGGTGGGGCCCCAATTTAACAGACAATTACCTATCGGGCAACCAAGACGCCGTTACTCCGTGTGCCTCGTATGGGCAGCAAAGTTGGCAGGATAGGTCTATAAAGAGACAGACGAGATTGCAATAACTGGAGCTGCAGAAGAAAAGCCAGGCAAGTTCTGAAGAGCAAAGGAAAAGAAACAAGAGAGAGGGCAACGAAACAGTTGGTTGATAGGGAAACCCAGCCAGAAATCAATGTCCACCGCTCCCAAGACCCCGGTTCCAACAGTCTCAATTGCATCTCGGGCACCGTTTGAACACTGCCATTGGCTCGGGAGCACCCAACAGCGGGTCGCAATTTTCAGCGCCGAGATCAGCGCAACCCCTGTTCAATCTGCCCAGTTAAGGCGGCCTAGAATGCCCCGCAGCGCGTTAAGTGGTCCTGGACGCGTCGAACGCGTCCCACTTTGACATCTCCAACCAAATAATTATTGATCAAGTAACTGCCCTCGGTCGAGGTAACCAAAAGCAAGCAACGTCGCCAGCACAGCACCGACACCTAATTATAACAAATTGAATCCACGGAATTGGAACTGTCGAAAAGATTACAACATGTCGGAAACAGAAATAGTCGCAGAGCTGAACGAGCAGTTCGGTTCAGGGAACAAGGAGCTCGAAGCCGATGTCGTCGCCGACCTGCGGTCCATCATGCGCCTCCATCAGCTGTCAGTCGAGGACCTGTTCTTCAAATGGGAGTCATATTGCATCAAGATGGACATAGACGCAGCACAAACAGCTCTCGAGACACTGCGACACTTCAAGCAAGACTTGCATGACACCCTCGAAAGAAACAGTCGGTCGCATGTAAAGATCAAGACCGAGAAGGGCATCTCATCAACACCACGGGCCCCCAGAGTCAGCGGCGGCGATGTTTTTGGAATGTTGGATAGCCTCACCACACCAGGCCCTGGAAGGGCCTCCAAGGTTGCCCCAAAGAGGACGCCAGCAGTCAGCCGTGTCAAGGCTGAGCCAGCCAGTTCGCCAGTCAAGTTGGCCGACCAGCTCGACGCTACGGGTGCTATTCCGTGAGCTTCAATTCCAACATGTGTGCGGGATTACGCAGGAGCTGACTGTGATAGACCATCATCCTTCAACGACCGAGCCAATGCCGGCGAGACAGTCGAGATCCTCAACGACCAGCTCCCAGCGCCTGAGCCCCCTATCGCCCCCTTCAGCGAATCCCGAATCAAGCTCACCGCAGCCTCTGACCAGAAGAAATTGGCCTACAAACCCCTTGCCCTGAAGGTATCCGAGTCCTCCGAAATTCTCGACGACCGGATAGACGACTTTGTCTCCCTCGTTATGCAACACCACAAGCTCGAAGAGTCCGCCTTTGGCAGCGCCGCCAGCCAAAGCACGTCCGAGATCGTTGCCGTTGGCCGGATCGCCTCCGACTCCTCAGAAGGCAAACTCAACGCCGCTTCCCTACTCCTCGAAACCTCGCGCCGAATGGGTGGCGGTCTCCGCGTCCCTCTCAACGTCTCCAGGCTCAGAGGATACCAATTCTTCCCCGGCCAAATCGTCGCTCTGAAAGGCGTAAACAGCAACGGACACGAATTCACCGTCCACCAAATCCTCGACCTCCCCCTCCTCCCCAACGCCGCCTCCACCCCCGACTCCCTCGGCGCTCATATCCAGCGTCTCCGCGGCGGCCCGGACGCAATGGACTCCGACTCCGACCCCGCCCCTCTGAACGTAATCTTCGCCTCTGGCCCGTACACAGCAGACGACAACCTCGATTTCGAACCCCTCAAAGCCCTCTGCAACGAAGCAGCCGACATCTACGTCGACGCGCTCGTTCTCACCGGCCCCTTCATCGACATGGAACACCCTCTCATTGCGTCAGGAGACTTTGACCTCCCAGAAGAATACCTCTCGTCCATCGACCCCGACACAGCAACAATGTCCACCGTGTTCAAATACCTCATCTCCCCCTCCCTCAACCGCCTCGCTTCCGCCAACCCGAGTATCACCATCCTCCTCATCCCTTCGGTGCGTGACGTACTAGATAAACACGTGTCCTGGCCTCAAGACGCCTTCCCCCGCAAAGAACTCGGTTTGCCAAAAGCGGCAAAGGTAATAGGCAACCCCATGACGCTGAGCATGAACGAGATTGTCCTTGGTATTAGCAGCCAGGATGTCCTCTTTGAGCTCAGACACGAGGAGTTGATTGGGGGGAGACCGCAGGAGCCGAGGTTGTTGGAACGGGCGTGCAGGTATCTGGTTGAGCAGAGACATTACTTCCCGCTGTTCCCGCCGACGGATAGGAAGAAGCTGCCCAAGACGGGGAGGGGGGATGGGGTTGGGCCCGGGGCGGTGTTGGATGTGGGGTATTTGAAGTTGGGGGAGATGGTGAATGTGAGGCCGGATGTGTTGGTGGTGCCGAGTAGTTTGCTCGCCTTTTGCAAAGGTATCTTTC